TCTTAACCTAAGAGCATCAAATTATTACCTGTGGTCCCGGGAATTACACGCCAATTTCCACCAACACTGTACGTTCTTTTTCCTTTTTCAGTCCCCTCTTGCTGCTACTCAGATAATGGAAAAGTGATAAAAAGTTGGTAAAAGTCATAAGATTTTCTATGGGGTCTTCTGTCAAGTCAGGCATTAAAAATTTGTCTTACATCGATGAAAAAATACATGCAATGCTTAAACTCCGTATCTTCTAAGAAATAAAATACCTGAGGCCGGGCGCGGTGGCTCAAGCCTGTAATCCCAGCACTTTGGGAGGCCGAGGCGGGTGGATCACGAGGTCGAGAGATCGAGACCATCCTGGTCAACATGGTGAAACCCCGTCTCTACTAAAAATACTAAAAATTAGCTGGACATGGTGGCGCGTGCCTGTAATCCCAGCTACTCAGGAGGCTGAGGCAGGAGAATTGCCTGAGCCCAGGAGGCGGAGGTTGCGGTGAGCCGAGATCGCGCCATTGCACTCAGCCTGGACAACAAGAGCGAAACTCCGTCTCCAAAAAAAAAAAAAAAAAAAGAAAGAAATAAAATACCTGAAAGAAGTGAAAGACCATACTAGCATTTTCTTAAATCTTGGATCTGTCCTATAGTGATTAGAAACTTTTCTGAATAATGGATGGATCTACTCATGGAAATTGTATTTCTAGTGGTAAAATTGAGTTTTAGGATGATTACATTTTTGGGAGGCTGAGGCAGGAGGATTACGAGAGGCCCAGGAGTTTGAGACCAGCCTGGGCAACATAGCAACACCTTGTCTCTACAAAATTTTAAAAAATAAAATAAAATGTATAAACTTTAAAATATTTTTAAGATTACATTTCACTAAAAAGGGCACCATTCTTTTTTTTTTTTTTTTTTTTTTTTGAGACGGAGTTTCGCTCTTGTTACCCAGGCTGGAGTGCAATGGCGTGATCTCGGCTCACCACAGCCTCCGCCTCCTGGGTTCAGGCAATTCTCCTGCCTCAGCCTCCTGAGTAGCTGGGATTACAGGCACGCGCCACCATGCCCAGCTAATTTTTTGTATTTTTAGTAGAGACGGGGTTTCACCATGTTGACCAGGATGGTCTCGATCTCTTGACCTCATGATCCACCTGCCTCGGCCTCCCAAAGTGCTGGGATTACAGGCGTGAGCCACCGCGCCCGGCCCCTAAAAGGGCACCATTCTTTAGTGCTGGGTATAGTATAAAACAGCAAGGCCCATTTGGACAGTGGTTTGGAATAGAATTTTAAAAAGTCTTAATAACTCATGGCTGACACATGCTACATCTGGGACTCCACCCTAAGGAAATAACTCTAAATAGAGGCTTTTTGTACAAAGTTTTTTCAAAGCAGAATATTCTTCATATTTAATAATATGAACTATTAAATATCAAAAAAGAGTGATTGGTTGAGGTGGTCTTTTAATCTGTTCGTTTGTTTATTTTTGAGATGGAGTCTCACTCTGTCACCCAGGCTAGAGCACAGTGGTGCCGTGATCTTGGCTCACTGCAGCCTCTGCTTCCCAGGTTCAAGCGATTCTCCTGTCTCAGCCTCCCAAGGAGCTGGGATTACAGGCATGCACCACTGTGCCCAGCTAATTTTTGTATTTTTGTAGCAATGGGGTTTCACCATGTTGACCAGGCTGGTTTTGAACTCTTGACCTCAGATCATCTGCCCACCTCATGTTCCCAAAATGCTGGGATTATAGGCATGAACCACTGCGTCTGGCCAAGATAGTTTAAAAATATATTTTTAAAAGTATATCGTGTGTGTGTATGTGTGTGTGCATGTGTGTGTGTGTTTAAGAGAAGAGGTCTCACTTTGTTGCCCAGGCTGGTCTCAAACTCCTGGGCTCAAGTGATACTCCCACCATGCCCTCCCAAAGTGTTGGGATTTACAGGCATGGGCCACAGGACCTGGCCTTTAAAAAAAATACAGAATTTTTTAATGCATTTTAACATTGTATGAAATGCCATATATTATGATTGTAGCTCTGGAAGAAAATTTTACGTATTTAAGAAAATTCCTAGAATAAAATGGGAGCATCATACTATCAAGGACTGTGCTTCAGTGGTACCCCTGTAGGCACCTCTAACGTGTATTTTTTTTTTTTTTTTTTTTTGAGACGGAGTTTCACTCTTGTTACCCAGGCTGGAGTGCAATGGCGTGATCTCAGCTCACCACAGCCTCCGCCTCCTGGGTTCAGGCAATTCTCCTGCCTCAGCCTCCTGAGTAGCCGGGATTACAGGTACACGCCACCATGCCCAGTTAGTTTTTTGTATTTTTAGTAGAGATGGGATTTCACCATGTTGACCAGGATGGTCTCGATCTCCTGACCTTGTGATCCACCCGCCTCGGCCTCCCAAAGTGCTGGGATTACAGGCTTGAGCCACCACGCCCGGCCTCTAATGTGTATTTTTAATTCCCGTGTTTCAACACAAGAAGCAGCACCCCTTGCATCATTAAAAATTGCAGTCGATGTCAGTCAACACCAGCCTAGCCAATATGGTGAAACCCCATCTGTACTAAAAATATAAAAATTAGCCAAGCATGGTGGTGGGCACCAATTCTCCCAGCTACTAAGAAGGCTGGGGCAGAAGAATCCCTTGAATCCAGGAGGCAGAGGTTGCAGTGAGCTGGAATCATGCCATTGCACTCCAGCCTAGGTGTCGCAGTGAGACTCAGTCTCAAAAAAATACACAGATGTGTGTGTGTGTGCGTGTGTGTGTGTATACACACACATATATATATATACACATATTTTTGAGTAATATGTAACAACATCCACTATATAATTGCAAAAAAAAAATTTACAGTTCCTTGCAGCAATGAATAAGAGTTGCTGTATATATATATATATGGTGGATGTTGCCAGTTGGGGTGGCTCACGCCTGTAGTCCCAGCACTTTGGGAGGCCGAGGCAGGCAGATCACCTAAGGTTCAAGAACATGGTGAAACCCCATCTCTACTAAAAATACAAAAATTAGCTAGGCGTGGTGCTGCCTGCCTGTAATCCCAGCTACTCAGGAGGCTGAGGCAGGAGAATTGCTTGACCCAGGAGGCAGAGGTTGCAGTGAGCCAAGATGGTACCACTGCACTCCATCTTGGGCGACAGAGTGAGACTCTTTCTAAAAAAAAAAAATTAAAAGATATATATATGTGTGTGTGTGTGTGTGTGTGTGTGTGTGTGTGTGTAGTGGATGTCAAGAACTGGCTTCCAAATATTTAAATCCACATGACGTCTTTTGTGCCTGTATCTAGAACTTGGTCCTCCTGTCCCAGTCTGCCGATTGTAACTACATCTTAGTAACATCGGGGCTCTTAACTCAAGTCTTCCACCCAGACAACAGTCAGGTAGAACAAATTAACTTTGGAAATAAATATGGGTTCTGTCTACTCCAACTCCCCCTCATCTTCTCTGGCAAGTCCTGGTAAAGAGCTCACTGAGTAGGGAGAAACTGCTCCGTGCTCCTGAATGGTTGAAATAATTTTTTAAAAGAGTAGGTTAAAAAGAACATCACATGAAAAGCTATGTTACTTTGTATATATCATGTGTATAAGACATATATAGAAGAGGCCAGGCACCATGGCTCATACCTGTAAATCCCAGCACTTTGGGAGGCTGGGGTGATCCCTTAGATCACCTAAGGTCAGGAGTTTGAGACCAGCCTGGCCAACTCAGTGAAAGCCGTCTCTACTAAGAATACAAAAAATTACCTGGGCATGACGGCTCATGCCTGTAATCCCAGCTACTCGGCAAACTGAGGCAGAAGAATCACTTGAACTCAGAAAGAGGAGGTTGCAGTGAGCTGAGACTGTACCACTGAACTCCAGCCTGGGCTACAGAGTGAGACTCTGTCAAACAAACAAACAAGAAATATGTAGATGCAATTCGCTTGCCCATAAGCGGAAAGAAACACAATACCCATTAGAACAGTACCATTTTCACCATTTCTGAGCTTACCTGTTTTTCCATCTTGTGGATAAGTAGGTATTGGCTAACGAAAGAACAAATGCTTGTCCACACATTCATTTGGTTTGGTTTGGCTTTTTCTTTTCTTTGAGACAGGGACCTGCTTTGTCCCCAGGCTGGAGTGCAGTCACATGATCACAGCTCACTGTAGCCTAGACCTCCTGGGCTTAAGTGATCCTCTTGCCTCAGTCTCCCAAGTAGTTAGGACTATAGGTGCCTGCCATGACACCTAGTTAATTTTTGGTTTTGATTTTTAGTGAGAAGAGGTCTTGTTACGTTGCCCAGCCTGATCTTGAACTCCCAGGCTCAAGCAATACTCTTGTCTTGGCCTCACAAAGTGCTGGGATTACAGGTGTGAGCCACCTCTCCCAGCTCTTTATCTGTAAAATTTCAAAGCATCAAATGAGGAAGGGGAGCTTAATTAATATCATCTTTAGTAGTTGGACAAACTCAAGGAGGAGAAATCACAGAAGAAAAGGTCATTGCTTTGGTGATTCCCTGCAGCCATGAGTAAGAGTTCCTACAGCTGTAGCGTACATTCCCTGGCTTATTTTTCATTCAAAAGATTGTACCTTTTGGAATTATGTCACTAATAATCAATGAATTAAAGTAGATGTTTGCAGTAGTGAGGCAGTTACTAAGTCCTTTCCACCGAAACCAAAGAATGGTGTTTTATTCATGTTTGTGTTTTCTCATTTACAATTGCTACAAGCCCCAGTGCTGAAAACACGTATTTCCGTGACTCATCTTCACCTTCATTACTTGTAGTGCTTTCAAAGAGAACAATGGCTTTTTTCTAGTTCAGAAATGGGTGTTATGTAGCTCAGAGCTAGGAGGTTTCACGTATTGTAAATATAAGCTGTTTTGTGATGAAGAACAGTACGGAGGGGAAACCCACAATGATTACAGTAGTTCTTCAGTGTATCTTTGTGTTTGCGGGGGGAAGAGGAGGGACACTGTTGTTTTGCTCTTAATTTTCTCCCTTTTCCTTTTTCCACTTTAGACAAAGCCCGTTGCATTTGCGGTTCGGACAAATGTCAGCTACAGCGCAGCCCATGAAGATGACGTTCCAGTGCCTGGCATGGCCATTTCCTTCGAATCAAAAGATTTTCTGCATGTTAAGGAAGTAAGGAAAATAATTTCATTTTCTATCAGCATGATGTTTCACCTTGAAATACCATTTCTTATTTCCTATTCACATGCCACTTCTGTGAAGTAGCATTGCACATCGCTGCAGTTGTGTGACATACATGCTAAATCAATGGCTCTCAACCTCCACTCATAGAAATAGACCTTTTAAAGCCGAAAGAAGTCACAGGCCTCTTGGAATAACTTCGGTGCTCCCCGGGGCTCTGTGGCCCAGAAATTGGAAACTGCTAGAGTAGATGATTCTGTTTTATGCTTAACTTCTACTTCTTCTGGTGTTTCACCTTGACTAGTGCAGTTTTTCCTGATGCTTGGAGTTTAGTCATCTGGGGAGGGTTTACTCATAGTATCTAGAAATCATGACTCTTCTCTCTGCTGACAGTGTCTAAATTCAAACCACTGTTGCCCTTTTTCCTCCTTAAATGCTAAATTTCTGCAGTGGATGAGAGAATGCTAAGAATTGACGCCGATAAGGCAGCAAAGAGATACCACGAAAAGTCCTTTTCCTAAACGCTAAATGTCTCCACCTCTTAGTAAGCAATGACACAACCTGCAAATTGGAAACATTCATCCTTAATTAAGGTTTGTTTGGAGTCAACATTTATCAAATGCCTGCTTTGTGAAGCACTGTGTTAACTGACCAGAAATTTCCCCCGTAGAATATTCTATGTGTATGAGCCTGAGGCTTCTCTTGGACCTGGAGGAATTATACTTGGAGCCCTTCCATCTAATGGATAATATGTCATGGGGAGCATGTGTAAATTGAACTCTTCACTGCACTGAAGGGTGTCAGCAAAGAAGGTGATGATGGCTGCCAATTAAAAGAACCTAGAAGACTGGGTACTATGGCTCCTGCCTGTAATCCAGGCACTTTGGGAGGCTGAGGAAGGCAAATCTCTTGAGCCCAGGAGTTTGACACCAGCCTGGGCAACAGGGTAAAACACTATCTCTACAAAAAAAAAAAAAAAAAAAAAAAGAGAGAGAGAGAAAATAGCTGGGCATGGTGGCACACACCAGTAGTCCCAGCTACTCAGGAGGCTAAGGTCAGTGGATTGATTGATGGAGCCTGGGAGTTCAGGACAGGAGTGACCTGGGATCGTATCACTGCCCTCCAGCCTGGGCAACAGAGCGAGACCCTATCTCAATTAAAAATGAAAGACCCTAGGCCGGGCGCGGTGGCTCAAGCCTGTAATCCCAGCACTTTGAGAGGCCGAGGCGGGTGGATCACGAGGTCGAGAGATCGAGACCATCCTGGTCAACATGGTGAAACCCCGTCTCTACTAAAAATACAAAAAATTAGCTGGGCATAGTGGCACGTGCCTGTAATCCCAGCTACTCAGGAGGCTGAGGCAGGAGAATTGCCTGAACCCGGGAGGCAGAGGTTGCGGTGAGCCGAGATCGCGCCATTGCACTCCAGCCTGGGTAACGAGCGAAACTCCGTCTCAAAAAAAAAAAAAAAAAAAAATGAAAGACCCTAAAGAATTTCGAGCCTACCATTTCGGTAACCTCTGAAAAGAGATGTCAAATACTGGCTAAGTGAGAACAATAGAAACAGTTACCAGAAGTGATGGTGTGCCTAGAATCTCACTTCACAACAGAAAGTTAGATTACTACTGGGTGTCTTCTTGATGGTTGGTACTGAAAGGGGGATCTTTCCGCCATGAAAGGAAATGAAAAACAGAATGTATATTCTTCTTTGACGTGTTCAAGGACAGATTTATTCAGTCAAGGAAAATGAAGGCAAATTGTAAAGATTTAAGATACATCTTCCAGCTGCAAGAGACAAATTGTCAACATCACACAAGTAGAGAAATCACCTGTGAATGTCACATTGTGTAATTATAAAACTTTTTGCATAAAGATAAATTATCCTGTGACACAAAATATTTAAGGGAGATTTCAATGTTTATCTCTTTCTCTCCATACTTCCAATTGGTCTGATTACATAAGAGGAAGATTTCTGTAACATTTCTTCCTAAAGATCTCTTGGTAGGATGGGCTATTGTTCTTTGGACCCAGAGAGTTTATCCCAACTCATGGTGACAGCAGCTGCTGCAACGCAATTCAGCCTGGTCCTACGGCAGCACCAGGACAGGCAAGGAATGCAGAGCCTTTGATAGATTATTGAGGACACTAGAAGCATTTCTTACATGCAAAACCCATGAAATGAAGCATTTCTTGAATGATAATATTTGAGGCATAGTTCATTGTCACTGCCACATTTCTCTCCAGTGAAAATAGTTGGTGTGGAAGAACAAGGAGCTGACCTTCTGCGTGCTGATTTTTAATGCTTTTGATTTTGTGTTTAGAAATTTAACAATGACTGGTGGATAGGACGTTTGGTCAAAGAAGGCTGTGAAATCGGATTCATTCCAAGCCCAGTCAAACTAGAAAACATGAGGCTGCAGCATGAACAGAGAGCCAAGCAAGGGAAATTCTACTCCAGGTATGAGACAGATGTCAAGTGTTTGCATAAAAGTTAGATTATACGACTATTTGTGTGCTGTTGCCTGTGGTATTCGATATCCTTTATTATGTATTAACGAGGAGGCGGGTGATAAGATTTTCTGATAGCATCACAAATCTTGCATTTTCCTGCCTTTAAAAAAACTTCAGTCCAGCGCCTGATTTTCATCCTATTTGGGAAAGTCTTAAGTTGTTATCATTAATGAAAAGAGCTAAGGTCATAGAGTATTAAATTCAGGCTCCAGTGTAGAGGAAATTACGAAATCTTCATCATTGACTGAAAAATAGTCTGGTACAGAATAGCCCTGGTGACTAATCCCAGTGTCTGTAGCTGCCTGGTATGGCTGAGAGATGACAGTCTCAGACATCATCAGGAAATGGCAGCTCTTGTCATCTGTTAGTTTCATTTTCACCTGAGAAACTCAATTTTTAGTTCTACCCACTGTTAAGAACTTAAAGAGAAGCTAAGTATGAAACAAGTTAAAACTGCCTGCGCAGATGGCAATTAGATGAGTTATGTAAGAGGCTGGGGCTGAATAATCCCTCCTAGGATGCGTGAGGTTGTCTGCCCATCTCGAAAAGCATCACTAGAAAGGCTTCTGGTACATGTACTGAATTTTACACCGAATCGTATGCAGACAGGTCTACGGACGCAAAATGCCTCTCCCTATGTGAAACGGACGTAGGCAAGACCTTTCTTAAATGTGAATCACTGGATTTCTGTTTTCTCCATCTTACATCTTATTTGTTTATCTAAGATGCAGATTCCTTTGTCAGTGATAACACTTTAATGTCAGCAAGAATTTTTTTTCAAGCATCAGCAGATGAGTGAAACAAAATATGCTTTGTGGTTTGGAGCACCCATCCTCATTAACTGGCTTTTTATAATGTCAAGTTCATTTAATTCAGATGGATTCCTCTGTGTTTTGAGACCTCCACCCCACAACTGACTTTCATTAATTCCTGGGTTATTGAGAGCACTCGGATGGGGAGATGCATTCAGTCATATAAAAGTAGAGGCATGCATAAAAAAGAACAAGATTGGCCAGCCACAGTGGCTCACACATCTAATCCCAGCACTTTGGGAGGCCAAGGCAGATGGATCACCTGAGGTCAGGAGTTCAAGACCAGCCTGGCCAACATGGTGAAACCCCATCTCCGCTAAAAATACAAAAGTTAGCCCAATGTGGTGGCAGACGCCTTTAATCCAAGCTACTGGGGAGGCTGAGGCAGGAGAAATGCTTAAACTTAGGAGGCGGAGGTTGCAGTGAGCCAAGATTGGGCCACTGCACTCTAGCCTGAGTGGGACTCCATCTCAAAAAAAAAAAGAATAAGATCATGTCCTTTGCAGCAACTTGGATGGATCTGGAGGCCATTATCCCAAACAAACTAACACAGGAATAGAAAACCAAATACTGCATGTTCTCACATATAAGTGAGAGGTAAACACTGAGAACGTGTGTACACCAAGAAGGGAACATTAACATTGGGGACTGCTGGAGGGTGGAGGATGGGAGGAGGGTGAGGATCAGCAGAACTACCTCTTGGATGTTATGTTCATTATCTGGGTGACAAAATAATCTGTACACCAAACCCCTGTAACATGCAATTTACCTATGTAACAAACCTGCACATGTACCCCTGAACCTAAAAGTAAAAAAAAAAAAAAAAAAAAAAAAAGGACAAGTTTCCTGTAAAAACAAGCCTCTTAGAATTAAAATACTTTACTCTGAATTAAGTTATCATTAGCAGCAATAAATTATTGATTAGGCCAACATATATAATGCGTATGTTGATATGCAAAGTAAACTTTTGTTGAAAATGCATTTCTTTTTTTTTTTTTTTTTTGAAACAGAGTTTCGCTCTTGTTACCCAGGCTGGAGTGCAATGGCACGATCTCGGCTCACCGCAACCTCCGCCTCCTGGGTTCAGGCAATTCTCCTGCCTCAGCCTCCTGAGTAGCTGGGATTACAGGCACGTGCCACCATGCCCAGCTAATTTTTTGTATTTTTAGTAGAGACGGGGTTTCACCATGTTGACCAGGTTGGTCTCGATCTCTCGACCTCGTGATCCACCCGCCTCAGCCTCCCAAAGTGCTGGGATTACAGGCTTGAGCCACCGCGCCCGGCCAAAAATGCATTTCTTAATGAGATAAAAAGTAGAGGCATGTAGATAAACAATGCATGTACATTTTGCCTGCAGGGTGTTTGGAGATCTGATTCTGTTCTTTCAATCCTTAGTGTTCCATTGGCCTTATATTGTGTTTTTCTACCCTCTGTATTGAAAATTGAATCGTAATACTGTTTAATAAAACCTTACGGCCAGTGGTTCAGGCTTGTAATCCCAGCACTTTGGGAGGCCAGAGGCAGGCAGATGACTTGAGGCCGGGAGTTTGAGACCAGCCTGGCCAACATGATGAAACCCTGTCTCTACTAAAAAAAGAAAAAATACAAAAATTAGCTGGGAATGATGGCACATGCCTCTAATCCCAGCTACTCGGAGGCTGAGGTATTAGAATCGAACTTGCGAGGCGGAGGTTGCGGTGAGCCGAGATCGCATTCCAGCCTGGTCAGTAGTGAAACTCTGTCATGGGGAAAAAAAGAAACACACCTTATATGGAAACACTTTGTTTTAATACGTTGTAGACATTGCTCTTACCAACTAGGTAGTATATAGTTTGTTGAGGTTTGAAGTTATTTCAGCTGGGGGACATTTTGTTTTTAATTAGGACAGTTTGGCGTTTTTCAGAATTTTCTTGTCAAATCACTAGAGAAGGGGGTTCCAAGATAAAATAAATTTAGGATAGGTGTAGGTAATAGAAAATTACTTAGGATTTTTCAGAGCCTTTTAATGTGATAATATACACTGTGAATCTCTGCTGGAATGGAGATTGTTAAGTTTATGGTATTTACTAAAATTACTTCCTCATAAAAACTCCTCTAGTTCATGTCTTAGGAATAGTGTTTGTAGAATGCATTTTGGAAAATTTGGGATGGTTTTTTTTTTTTTTTTTTTTTTTGGAGACGGAGTTTCGCTCTTGTTACCCAGGCTGGAGTGCAATGGCGCGATCTCGGCTCACCGCAACCTCCGCCTCCTGGGTTCAGGCAATTCTCCTGCCTCCTGCCTCAGCCTCCTGAGTAGCTGGGATTACAGGCACGTGCCACCATGCCCAGCTAATGTTTTGTATTTTGTAGAGACGGGGTTTCACCATGTTCACCACGATGGTCTTGATCTCTCGACCTCGTGATCCACCCGCCTCGGCCTCCCAAAGTGCTGGGATTACAGGCTTGAGCCACCGCGCCCGGGCTGGGATGGGTTTTTGCAGAGGCAGGCTTGTGTGTCCTTCTCTGCTTCTTCATATAGAGACTGAGAAATTAGAATGACTTCAAAGGGAATAGGAAGGGAGTAAATATTTTTCTCCATATTGTTAGAGAAAAGTAGTCTCTTCTGTGTCCCAAATGGATGTGCCTAGGCTAACATTAGTGCTCCCCTCATCCTATAAGGACCTGTGGGAACAGTGGGTATTCGATCTTACAGGTCACAGGTGAGAAAATAAGTTAAGAGAAGTTAGGAAACTTGACCGAGGTTGCGGAGCTAGTAAGTTTCAGAACCAAGATAGCAGTCTGACCTCCATGCTGGACAGACTTCCATGCTGTCCTGCAAATTAAGGAGCCGGGTCTTGCCTGGCACAGCGACCACCGGAGAAATCGTTAGTGCCATCTATTAGTATTTACTTTCTTAGCTATGTTGTTTTGCTGTTGCCGTTTTTCCTTAGGACTCTGAGTTATCCATATTTGAGGGAATGTAACATCTCAGAACTTACTCCAGAAAATTAGGTTCCCTTTTCTTACGGTCATGTAGCTCTCCCTTTGATTTTCATTTTATTTTGTCCCACGATTTTGCCTAAGTATGTGAAAATACTTTAACTTGCTTTCACCGGATTTTACATTTCTTGCCTTTTTTTTTTTTTTTGAAACAGAGTCTTGCTCTGCACCCAGGCTGGAGTGTAGTGGCGCGTTCGTGTTCTTGATTCACTGCAATCTCTGCCTTCTGGGTTCAAGCAATTCTTCTGCCTCAGCCTCCCGAGTAGCTGAGATTACAGGCACCTGCCACCACATACAGCTGTTTTTGTATTTTTTTTTTTTTAAGTAGAGACGGGGGTTTTGCCATGTTGGCCAGGCTGGTATCAAACTCCTGACCTCAGGTGATCCACTTGCCTTGGCATCTCAGAGTGTTGGGATTACAAGTGTGAGCCGTGCCATCCTCTCCTAACATTTTTTTTTTTTTTTTTGACACGGAGTTTCGCCCTTGTTACCCAGGCTGGAGTGCAATGGCGCTATCTCGGCTCACCGCAACCTCCGCCTCCTGGGCTCAGGCAATTCTCCTGCCTCAGCCTCCTGAGTAGCTGGGATTACAGGCACGCGCCACCATGTCCAGCTAATTTTTTGCACTTTTAGTAGAGACGGGGTTTCACCATGTTGACCAGGATGGTCTCGATCTCTCGACCTCGTGATCCACCCGCCTCGGCCTCCCAAAGTGCTGGGATTACAGGCTTGAGCCACCGCGCCCGGCCCTCTCCTAACATTTTAAATGTAGTTTTGTTTTGAGGACATAACCAGAATCTGGCAGTCTTTTAAAATTCTGATACAAAAATTATAGTTGACAGAACTCAATGGCAATGGAATTGGGGTATAGTTCAAGAACTTGGCATTTTAATAGAATTAAAACTCAAGGACAAATCTGCATCCTGGTCATTGTCACCATTTGCAGTAGTCGTCATAGTTTTACATAAATAATATTTTTGCTGTTATTAAAATTCAGAGGGAATATAAAACAAACCCATGCTTGAACTGAAATTAGACTCAAAACTTTAGAAAATGAAAAAAAAAACTTCTGGAAAAAAGATGTTTTCTTATTGGTGATAGGTCCTTGAATAACTGCCAGAAACCGCTTCTATAAATATCACTTGTCATTAATTTCACATACTGTCTCATGCCCTTATTAAATATTAGAGTATCTCTTAAGAACTTTAAAAAGATGTAGAGCCCTCCTGCTAGTTTCTTAATAAAGTTTTTGATGTTTATGCATTACAATGCTAGAATAGTAGCAATAACATTGTCTGTTACTTATATTTTAATAAAACTTTTATTTTCATATTAATATTTACATAAGCAAATATTGCCCTTTGATGCATAAACACTGCAGCAAATTCTTTCGACTAGACCCTGGCTTGGCCATAATAATAAACATTAGACAGTGAGATCTAAATTTAAAATGCTCCTTGCCATCTTCATCTGAGAGGGGGTCATTCAGTAACATGTTATTTAGCATGCCAGTATGCTGGTGAAAAACACAGATGCTGCTGTTCTAATATTAACTCCAAAGTTTCTGAGACACTGAAGTATATCTTACTATCTCAAACTTTCAAACTTGGTAGTTCTGAGTTGTCTGATCTTCAAATCATTCCCAAATTAACCAGGTTTCATTCTCGTGAGTCATGCCTGGGAAATATTCTGGGTACTATCTGATGGCTACGTCATATCATACTCTGTTTAGTCATGTTGCTTCGTGTGTCTTTTGGTGGTTGGCAGATTTTCATTTGGCTCTGCTGTTCTTTGATCGGTTGCCCATAAAAGCTTGAGTGCTTTCAATCTTAGTGTACTATTAATAAAATAAGCCAAAACAGAGGCGGTAGAACCGAACAAGGGAGGAAATACTAATCTGGGGTGTTAGCCTTAAGGTTCTATGCATTACCTCTGAGGGTCTCTAAAATAAAAAGCGGAAGAAATCTGTGCTGTTTCACTCTCTGTGTTCGGGGCAGATAACTTGAGGGCTGCAGAAATTATGCTGGTTCTTTTCCGTTCTCTCAGGGCCTCTTATACAGTTAAACTTTGAATTTGAAAACAGACACCATCATGCGGCTATTTCAGGTACTCTAGGAATCTCCACTGGGAAATACTGTTTTCCTCCTTAATTGAAAGATAAATTTAAAATGGAATAAAAACACAATGAATTATCATGTTTATTGAGTAATATACATGTTTGAAGATCTGAAATAAGTGTCAGATGTAATGGAAATTTTTGCTTTACTCCAGTAAATCAGGAGGAAATTCATCATCCAGTTTGGGTGACATAGTACCTAGTTCCAGAAAATCGACACCTCCATCGTCTGGTAAGTAGGTGATAAATGCCGAATCGTTCATACTGCAGTTCACGCCTGTCCCAGTCCTACCCAGTTTTGTGAATTTACATATACACTAAATCACTATGTTAACCCTACAGAAATTAGAAGGAATCGGAAGTAAGCATGCCCTTTTGGAGTTACAAACGATACGGGGAAGTGTTTTTTTCTGGCTTGAAAAGAAAAAAAAAGTATGTCAAAGCGTTTACATTGCTGTAGATGATCAAAGTGATGAATGTATTTAACTGGTTTTGTTTGTTTGTTTGTTGGGGTTTTTTTGAGACAGAGTCTCACTCTGTCACCTAGGCTGGAATGCAGTGGCATGATCTTGGCTCACTGCACCTCTGCCTCTAGGGCTCAAGCGATCCTCTCTCCTCAGATTCCCAAGTAGCTGAGACTACAGGTGCACACCGCTACGCCCAGCCAATTTTTGTATTTTTTGTAGAGATGGAGTTTCATGGTGTTGCTCAGGCTGGTCTCGAACTCTTGAGTTCAAGCAATCTACCTGCTTCAGCCTCCCAGAGCGGTAGGTGTACAGGCGTGAGCCACTGCACCCAGCCGTATTTAACCTTTAATCCCTAGTTCCTGTGATGGTGCTTTTTTATGGGCATTAAATGGTTGAATACTCACCAACAACCATAGCACAGTGTGAGATAGCATTAACATTAAATAGAAAGAAGGATAAAAACTATAGAAAGGTAAAGAACAGAGAAGGAAGTGAAGATAGAGGATTGGCCTGTCATGGGCTCTGCCGGAAAGGTTCTGTGGAAGACACAGACAGGAAGTAGAGAAAAAAGATGAAAATGTTCATGGAAAGAGTAACTACTATTTTCTTCATTTTTATTTACTTTTATTTATTTATTTTTTAATTTTTGCATTTTTTGAGACAAAGTCTCGCTCTGTCACCAGGCTGGAGTGCAATGGCGTGATCTCGGCTCACTGCAACCTCCTTCTCCTGGGTTCAAGCGATTCTCCTGCCTCAGTCTCCTGAGTAGCTGGGACTAAAGGCACGCGCCACCATGCCCAGCTAATTTTTGTATTTTTAGTAGGGACGGGGTTTCACCATGTTGGCCAGGATGGTCTCGATCTCCTGACCTTGTGATCCGCCCGCCTCAGCCTCCCAAAGTGCTGGGATTACAGGAGTCAGCCACTGCGCCCTGTTTTCTTTCCAAAGTGGTGGGTTCATCCTAATGGTTGCTTGATAAAACACAGCACACCTAGTTAAATATGAATTTCAGATATACAATAATTTATTAGTTTAAGTATCTATGACATGGGACAGACTTATACTAAAAATTTATGGAACATACTTATACTGAAGCATTGTTTTAAATTCAAATTTAACTGCACTTATATTTGCTAAATCTGGGAACTCTCTTATTCTGTGAAGAACTTGGAATTCTATATAAACAGGAGACCAGTGATTTGAATGGCAAAAAAGCCCACGATCAGTACCTTAGTTTGCTAAGAGAATTGTAATTGGGAATCAGAGTTGGACTGTACAGATTTGCTGCCAGGGCATTTCAGCAAAATGATACTGTGTGTGATTTCTAAAAGCTGGAAATGTGAAGAGATAAAAAGCAGAGAGTTGCACAACTGTGGCAAGATTAAGGACTAGTGACAGATGACTGATGTGCTTTAAGCACGAGATTTCCTTCTTACTAATAATCAGCTTCATTCCTCAATGTGGTGGCCTTTAGAGACCAATTAAGGACTCCTTAGCAAAAACTATAGGATTTTTCTTTTTCTTTTTTGTTTTTAGCAAAGGGGTCTCACTATGTTGCCCAGGCTGGTCTTGGAACTCCTGGGTTCAATAGTTCCTCCTCCTTAGCTTCCTAAACTGCTGGGATGACAGGCATGAACCGCCATGCCCAGCCATTAGCAAACTAAGGTACTGATCACGGGCTTTTTTTTTTTTTTTTTTTGCATTTGAAACAATTGGCCTCCTGTTATATAGAATTCCGAGTTCTACAAAGAATATTGGACTTTTTAAGTAAGCAAAATCTGAGCACAATAAAGGAATTGCTTTAAGAAGCAAATTAATTTCAGAAACGACCTCCTTATAACTTGCAGCAAGCAATTCTAAGATGCTGAAAATTGAGTAAAAGAGTATGCATGAAATGAAAATTAAGGCCCCTGTAGGTATTATGTGAAGCTCATACCTTCCCTTGGTAATTAAGGAGTCCTTGAATGCACAGGGAAGGGAGGCCTATCCTGCTCCTTCTCAAATGTGTGAAGTTGCAGGGATTACTATATAAACCTTATACTCTTCTTATATATCTTAAAGATGATTTCAGTGATTCCTAGGGACTGCTACTAGGCTCTGAAATGGAAAAGACTGTGTCATATTGCAATAAAGCAGCAGTTCTGCCTGCAAATATCAGCCTCACTTCCTTCTGTATATCAGAAACATTCTTCCATTCCCTCCAGCCATATTGTAGCCCTCCAGCGGTTTTGGCAACACACATGCTCCTCAACTTACGATGGAGTTACACCCCAATAAACCCATCATACATGGAAAATATCATAACTCAAAATGCACTTCATATGTGGACAGACACAGTAAGAAGTTATAAGTTGAACCATCATGAGTTCAGATGTTCTTTGACTTCCAATGAGGTTATGTCCTGAAAAATTCTATTAAACTTGAATAATCTTAAGTTGAACTCTTGTATGTCAAGGACCATCTATATAATGAAAGGAGGCACATGCACTTTGAAAAACAAGTTAGTATATATGTAAAATAACACTGCCAGGCACCAAGGATCACGCCTGTAATCCAGCACTCTGGGAGGCCAAGGCGGTAGATCATGAGGTCAGGAGTTCGAGACCAGCCTGGCCAATATGGTGAAACCTCATCTCTACTAAAAATATAAAAATTAGCCAGGCATGGTGGCACTTGCTTATAATCCCAGCTACTTGGGAGGCTGAGGCAGAAGAATCACTTGACCCCAGGAAGCGGAGGTTGCAGCAAACCAAGATCGTGCCACTGCACTCCAGCCTGGTGGACAGAGCAGGACTTTGTCTCAAAAAAAAAAAAATTCCATTTTGTAGACAGATGTTTGTCATTACTAAAAGTTCCACGAAGAGTTCAATATTTAAAAAGATGATTTACATGTTCACCAAGGTTTTATATAGAACATCAACTTTTGAATGACTTTTCTGAATACCAAGAGTACACTTGTGACTGAGTTAACTGGAGCTATAACCAACTACAAAATGTATATTAAGCATATCATGACTCTGAGATAATTTTCACATCAATGGCTCAGCTGATTGAAAGGAAAGCTTCAGAACGTTCTAGAGAGAAGTTCTCCCAATCTACCTCCAGGGACAACCACTCAGCTAGAAGTGTGGATGGGTCTGGAATGATGATTTTCATCTTGTTTCCCAGAGGTCTCATCTACTACTGCGCTCACCCATTGCCAGACCAAAGAATATAAGTATCAGCTGGGCACAGTGCCTCATGCCTGTAATCCCAGCAATCTGGGAGGCTGAGGTGGGCAGATCACAAGGTCAGGAGTTCAAAACCAGCCTGACCCATATGGTAAAACCCCGTCTCTAATAAAAATTAAAAAATTAGCCAGGAGTGGTGGCATGTGCCTGTTGTCCTAGCTACTTAGGAGGCTAAGGCAGGAGAATCACTTGAACCTGGGAGATGGAGGTTGCAGTGAGCCAAAGTCATGCCACTGTACTCTAGCCTGGGTGACAGAGCAAGACTCTGTCTCAAAACAAAAAATATATATAAGTATCTGCCTAAAGTATATATACCTGGATGCTCTCAAGAACTTGGAAAATTTTCCACTTGACTTCTGGGTCATGGGATCATGGCTAGTTGCGCAACACATATATCACACCCACACATGTGTGTGTACGTATGTCTCAACTCCAAGCTCTGCTTCACGTGACCCAAGCTTTTAAGGTTAAACTAAAAGTAAAATTTCAAAAACATTTTCTCGGTGCTGTGGCTCATGCTTGTAATCCCAGCACTTTGGGAGGCTGAGGCAGGAGGATCACTTGAGCCTGGAAGTTCAAGACCAGCCTGGACAACATAGTGAGACCCCTTTACACACACACACACACACACACACACACACAAATTACTGGGTATGGTGGTGTACACCTGTAGTCCCAGCTACTTGGGAGGCTGAGGTAGGAGGATCACTTGAGTCCCTGAGGCTGAGGCTGCAGTTAGCCATGATTATGTCACTGCACTCCAGCCTGGGCAACAGAAGGAGACTCTGTCTCCAATAAATAAATAAATCGAAAAAAATGTTTCCAGGGCTCTCTACCAATAATAATAATATATGCATGCTAGTGAGGAAGAATGAGACTTTTCAAATATATCAGTGTAGCTCTTTCCAAGTGAATACTAATGTTTGCTAAAGTATGGAAATACAAGTATGAAATTTTAAAAGGGTAACATCTCTCATTAAAAGGAGAACCATCTGAGTCTAATAAAATACATGTAGCTGAACAGATGTCAAAATGCTTCTTAACTGTCTTGGTAAGTTTCTTTAATATGTTTTGGAAGTGACCATGTTTCAGAATTCTTTGTATTTCAGAATGAATCCAGATGCTTTTAGACTTGAGTTAACCAAATGTCAGAACTAGTAAATTAGAAAGTTCTCAATTTGGGATTTCCAGCCCTCATGTCCAGATATAGGTAAATGTCAAACCTGACTCAGGCTATGTGTGTAGAAATTCAAACACCTGGGCAGGGTTGCAGCCAAAGATGTATGCATTTCCACTCATTCTTTCTTTATTTTTTTGAGATGGAGTCTTACTGTCACCCAGGCTGGAGTGTAGTGGCCTGATCTTGGCTCACTGCAACCTCCGCCTCCTGAGTTCAAGCAGTTTTCCCACCTTGCCCTCCCAAGTAGCTGGAATTACAGGCACCAGCCACCACACCCAGCTAATTTTTATATTTTTAGTAGAGATGGGGTTTCACCATGTTGGCCAGGCTGATCTCAAACTCCTGACCTCAGGTGATCTGCCTGCCTCGCCTCCCAAAGTGCTGGAATCACAGGCATGAGCCACCACGCCCAGCCTCACTCTTTCGTGAAAAAATAAAAATACACGTGATGATCTCAGCATGCTAGATTCAGTGGGCAAATCACAAAATCCAACTCATGAACTTGAACATCCCAGGGTCCCATAAATTCTGACATCCACCTGGTTATCTTCTTTTTCTTTTGCTTTTTTTTAATTTTTTTTTTTTTTTTTTTTGCTTTTGATTAAATGAAAGTTCAACTCCACCAACTGGGTATATTCAATTTCAGAAAAGCCCTCAAAGGCTACTGCCCCTTGAATGTGGTCTTTACAAGCCGGATAAAAGATGAGAAAGATAAAACGTATGGGAACTTGCCACCAGAAAGGAAACTGACTTGATTTTAGTTAGCATGTATTGTAGGAGTAATGAAATACTGACCCAGATCTTGCCCTTCATATCCAGGAAAGTGCGAACAACATGCTTCTTGAGTTGAGAGCTGAGGAAAACCATTCCTGAAGACTTTTGTGACTGTTTCCTGGCTTATGCCATTCAATAAGCTCCATAAGGAAACTTTCCTGTATGAGAAAAGGCTTAGCTATAGGATGGTATAAAAGTTAGCATTGGTTATACCCTTAGGCACATTGTATATTTTCCCTACACACCACATGCTAAACCTTTTAGAACATCAGTATGCATAGATGGGGCAAAGAGACAGACATACTATGTAAGCCTACCTATTACTAGCTTCCTTCGATAGAAAATCATACCTCCTGCATTATGCAAGCAATAGCTGATAGTTGTGATACTGTACAATCAATGGCGGGAATTCATTCCATCACAGTGAAAAGAATAATTAAATAAGAGATCCTAGTTGGCCGGGCCCGGTGGCTTACGCCTGTAATTCCAGCACTTTGGGTGGCTGAGATGGGTGGATCACGAGGTTGGGAGTTTGAGACCAGCCTGGCCAGCATGCTGAAACCCCATCTCTACTAAAAATACAAAAATTAGCAGGGCGTGGTGGCACATGCCTGTAATCCCAGCTCCTTGGGAGGCTGAGGCAGGAGAATCACTTGAACCCAGGAAGCAGAGATTGCAGTGAGCCGAGATTGTGCCATTGCACTGCAGCCTGGGTGATGAGAGCAAGACACTCTCTCAAAAAAAAGAAAAAAAAAAAAAAAAAAAAAATCCTAGTTTTCAAAAGGCTGGTTCATTTAATATCCATACCAAGATCAAAACTAAAAAATAATGTGATGCCTGTCACATGACCTCCCATCCTTTGAAAAGTTAGAGGAAGCTGTTGTGAGCAGTTCAGCTTATATTTCACAGGGAATGGTAGCTGTATTGTAACACCATGCTGTTATTTCAAAGTAGTAATTTGTTCCTTCCTTCAATCTAAACGTACTGTGGTTTTTGTTAGAGAGCTAACATGTATAATATGATGCTTTCCTGGGGTGAGTAAATTTTTTTCTTCTCCTTGACCAATTCTTAACCATAGAAAGATTTTTTAGCTAGCTCAGCTCCACGATGTCATCTTGAATCCTGACACCAGGGACATGACCCCGTTCCAAGAAGTGAAGGGAACGGAAAAAGAGTACCCAGATTGAGAAGGGACTTCACCGGGATGGGCAATGTGGTATAGGGAGTGTTACAGATTCACGTAGGCAGGTGGAGTCATTCTGAATCCTGGTTCTGCCAATTTTTTTCCAAGATCAAGTCCCTTAAACTTTTGAGTTTTTTAATCTTAAAAATAAGAGCATTGAAGTTGATCTTTAAAATACTTCCAACTCTGATTCTGCAGTTGATAAAATTCTGTAGCTCTTTCAATTGTACTTGGAAGCATTTTGTAAAGTCTGAAGTGAGATTATGCATCTTTTTTTCTTGTAACACATTTTAAGTCCTCTATTTTCAGGTGGAACAATGGGAAAAGTAAAAGCGTGCCATGCAACAAAGCTAACCCTTCGTTTTACAGATGAGGAAGCCAGCGCATATCCTCTGGGGTCCTCGTGCCCTTCCACTCTGCCGCTTCTGTTAAACCCAGTGGCTTCGCATAAGTCACCAGAAGTCTTTCAATGTCATTTTATCAGACTGATTTCATTCGGATATCTTGGGACCCAGTGTTTTCCCATTAGTCTTCATCAGGCCTAAAATCATTTTAATCCTGTCCTTCCTGGAGCCCCCCTTGAATCATTTGCCTTGTGTATGACTGGGTTGATAATTTTCCATTCTCTCTTTCTCTCAAATGTCTGTTGCAATTTTAGTGAAACTTTTCATACTGCCCTTATTTTTACATAAACTCGGCAAAAGGAGGCACATTGTATTATTGGTACAAATGTAATTGCGGTTTCGGACCATGGATTTTAAATCATAACTAGGCTGAAATACATCTTTATTAATCAAAATAGGGACCATTATAATGAACACATTTTTGCCAATGAGAAATAAGTTTGTTTATTCCTATAGCATAAAAATCCGTGCTTTGGGATTTGACAAACTCTTGGAAAGTATTTTCTGCACCCTGCTGATTGTGGAAGCGTTTTCCCTGCAACAAGTTGTTGAGGTGCTTGAAGAAGTGGTAGTCGGTTGGAGAGGTCGGGTGAATGTGGCAGATGAGGCAAAACTTCATAGTCCAATTCATTCGACTTCCGAAGTGCCGGCTGCGTGATGTGTGGTCAGGCATTGTTGAGGAGAAAAACTGGGCCCTTTTTGTTGACCGGCGCCGGCTGCAGGCGCTGCAGTTTTCGGTGCAAATGTTATCAATCTGCCGAACATACTTCTCAGATGGCATATTTTCGCTGAGATTCAGAGAGCTGCGGTGGATCAGACCAGCAGCAGACCACCCAACAGTGACCGTGACCTTTTTTGGTGGAAGTTTGGCTTTGGGAGGTGCTTTGGAGCCCCTCAGTCCATCAGCTGAGCTGGTCGTCACCAGTTGTCATATAAAATCCACTTTTCGTTGCACGTCACAATCTGATGGATAAATGGTTCACTGTTGTTACATAGAATAAGAGAAGACGACGCTTCCAAACAATGATTTTTTTTTTTTTTTATTCTCACTCGGCTCATGGGGCGCCCACTTATTGAGCTTTTCCACCTTTCCAATTTGCTTCAAATGCCGAACCACCGTAGAACGGTCCACGTTGAGTTCTTCAGCATCTTCTCTTGTAGTTGTAAGAGAATCAGCTTTGATGATGGCTCTCCAGTGGCCAGCACTATGCTCCTTGTCTTCACGGCTCTTACCTCCTTTGCAAAGCTTCTTGAACCACCACCGCACTGCGCGTTCATGAGCAGTTCCTGGGCCAAACGCGCTGCTGATGTTGCAAGTCGTCTCCACTGCTTTCCAACCCATTTTGAACTCGAATAAGAGAATCACTCAGATTTGGTTTTTGTCTAACGTCATTTCCATAGTCTAAAATAAACATAAACAGCAAGTAATATCATTAGCAAAAAAGCATAAAGTGAGAAATGCCCCCTACAATGATATATAACGTAACCACATTTATTTGAGAATGTATTCCAGTAGCAAACAGCTAATTCCAACAATGCAAAAACCGCAATTACTTTTGCACTCACATACAATAAAAGTTTTCAAAGTAGTTGCTTGTTATCTCAAAGCTGGTTTAAGATATTATAAGATATGTAGTCAAATGTTCTGTGCTGCACTTTTATACAGTTGATACGGAGAATATCAACATTACATTTGAAACTACAGATATAAAATGTTTCTCTTAAAATATTCAAGTGTTCTAGCATGAAACTGATTAATCCAAGCAGCTTATATAAGGGTATCTTTCAGTTTTGTTAGATTTGATTACATTGCATTCTTAACATGCTTTACCTTTAAATTTTATTTTCTTTGCGTACTGTTTTAAACATTCATGATAGTTTTATTTATTTTTTTTACTATGGTTAGTTTTATTTGCTTTCATTTTATTTTCTTTATAACTGATTTTTCCTCTCCTGTCCACCTGATGATTTTTGAATTGTTTGTCTGTATATAGCTGTAGACATAGATGCTACTGGCTTAGATGCAGAAGAAAATGATATTCCAGCAAACCACCGCTCCCCTAAACCCAGTGCAAACAGTGTAACGTCACCCCACTCCAAAGAGAAAAGAATGCCCTTCTTTAAGAAGGTAACATGAACTTCCGAGCTCCCATTGTCCACCTGCTGAAGTGCACTGTGTCACATTTCTAGTCCTGTTGACTGTCTGCGTCCTTTGACAAGCCAATAACGTGCATGCTCTGTTATTTGTTTCCTTTCCATGCTGCTGTAGCTAAGCAGAAGCAGAAATCGGTAAGTTTACATTGACATAAGCTGTGTTTATCCTGCCACTGGCATCATTAGCATTAATTCCCACAGTTGTATGAAATACAATCATTTCTGTCCCAAGCAAAGAACCTATCAACAGCTAATTGAGCTCATGCATTTCAAAGCAACTAAATTCAGGGAGTGACCTGTTAAAACACCATTACAGTACTTATCCTTTTTGATGGAATAATATCTACCACCAAGGGAATTTGTTTCAATATTCAAGGATGTCAAACACCGACAGCTCCATATAATGCACCTAAATTGTGCATGCTTATTCTGTCTGTCTGTCTGTCTTCCAGAAATTTAACTTATGATCAAGCATATTAAAGCAGTTATTAAATTCTGATTAATGATATCCAGATACGTAGCTTGTACTAAAAAAAAAAAAAAAAATTCAAGTTTTAATTTAGTCAGTATTTAAACTTCTAATCCACTAGGTGCAAAATCTGCAGATGAACAAGACCAGTGGAAAACTGCAGGCTTGTTTTGGCGGTTTACTGTGAGTTTTTCCTATTGTCATATATAAATATTCTCCCAATGTTCTTGCCTTCTCCATCAGTCAGATTTCAGCATCTCACCCGTTGGGCAGTGCAGCCGGTGGTCACGCGTAGAGCGTTTGCCATTGGCCGCCCAAGATGCTGCACAGTAAGGCTCCTTGTCCCCTAAATGGAAACCGTAAGGTATTCTCAAGCTCTCGTCACTTCAGACAAAGCCTGTTTCCTCTTACCCATTTTGTAGCTGTGAAGCATTATTTTTTAAAGACCACTACCATCCCCCACAAATTTCCCTTTTTTTTCTTCCTCTTTTACCCATCAGTTTCCACAGCCACCATGCTGTCTTTTAGAACCATACTCATGTTGCCAAGTCTGGCAAAATCATGGATATATTCTCACACACAGATGTGAAGTCAAGTCTTTCCTCGATCTCCTAACTCTCCAAACAAGTATTTTGGTTTGTGGAGGAACTCTAAAGTCATTAATGAGGTGTCGGATACTGAACTGTAAAGTTAGGTTTTTTGCATCAATTATGATTACTTTAGTAAGGGAAAACTTCAGCACTCCAGGCAAAAATTAATAACACTTAGATTTTTGTGTTAACACACAAAGCCTCAGCTTGATGTTCATCTACAACAGTGGGCCCATCTCTCAGGTCCGATCTTGTTATAGCTAAAGCTTGCAGCCAAGTGACTCACAGTATCCATCATTTAGAAGCTTAAAAAATAGACGTCGGGCCAGGCGTGGTGGCTCAAACCTGTAATCCCAGCACTTTGGGAGGCCGAGGCAGGTGGATCACGAGGTCAAGAGATCGAGACCATCCTGGTCAACATGGTGAAACCCCGTCTCTACTAAAAATACAAAAAATTAGCTGGGCAGGTTGGCGCGTGCCTGTAATCCCAGCTACTCAGGAGGCTGAGGCAGGAGAACTGCTTGAATCTGGGAGGCGGAAGTTGCGGTGAGCCGAGATCGCGCCATTGCACTCCAGCCTGGGTAACAAGAGCGAAACTCCATCTCAAAAAAAAAAAAAAAAAAAAAAAAATAGACATCGCTAAGACATTCTGGACTTGACAGAGCAGGAGCGTGAACTAAAGCCATGTTCGTCAGGATAGGTTTTTGAAGTTTTCCTACCTTATAATTCTAAAACTTTAAAAATGTTGATCACAGTTTTTTCACTAAATAATTCAAGTAGCCAGGGCCTGATGGCTCACACCTGTAATCCCAGCACTTTGGGAGCCTGAGGCAGGTGGATCACCTGAGGTCAGGAGTTTGAGACCAGTCCGGCCAATATGGTGAAACGATGTCTCTGCTAGAAATACAAAAAATTAGCCCAGTGTGGTGGCAGGCGCCTGTAGTCCCAGCTACTTGGGAGGTTGAGGCAGAAGAATTGCTTGAACCTGGAAGGTGGAAATTGCAGTGAGTCAAGATAGTGCCACTGCACTCCAGCCTGGGCAACAGAGCTGATTACTCTGTCCCAGAAAAAAAAAATAGGGTTAATAGGAAAGAGTAGATAAAAATGATGGTGTCATTCTCTATAAAGCACAAAGCACCAATATTCCATCAAATAAGGTAATTTCTGTAGCTACCCCATTGATGAAGAAGCTGACTGATTACCAGCAATGGGTGACCCTTTGATAGTTGGCAGTTATAGATCAAAGGAGCCAAAGACCTATCAAACACTGGGCCACTTCAGAATTAAAGTCTTGAGGTAAAATTTCTTGGTAGCTGTTACTAAAATGCAGAAAATTTACATGACTGATTTCAACAGTGGAAAAGGTGTTCTTATACTGCATGGTTATAAGGACTTGGCTTCTAAACATTTTCAGTATGATCCCAGGTGGTATAAATGAAATAATTTAAGAAATATGCTTATGATGCCTTCGGCACTGGTATTCATTCTTCTTATGTTACTGATAATGTGGTTAACGTCAATCTAGGATTCAAAGACGAAACAACCTGAGATTCAATGAGAAGATCGTTTTGTGTTTTAGGTTGCTTTTAGAGTGGTGCTTGTGTGGCATGTGTGCTATCACTGTATTATGTTTGTCTTTTTTTTTTTTTCTGTTAAAAAATGTATTCTACTTTGTGTCAGTTAAAATTAATTCTGAATGCTAGGTGAAATTTTAGGCAGTGAAATTTAACAGCACAGTCAGGGTAATATTTTTCTCCCCTCTGATTGTATCATCTCTGACTACTGGTGAAATCTCAGATGGAAGCCTTTGAATTTGAAATGCTTTTTAATTTTCCCCTGAGGCAATGTGAGTTCAAATGAAGCCAGAAAAGTTTGTAATGGGCAATTTTAAGCAACAATAAAATGTTCTTGAGTGATGGGCAGATGCAAAAATGGCATTCATATTTGCGCATCAGTGTATCTAATTCTTAAAATTGCTTAAAGAACATTTTTCTGTTGGTGTGTGTGATTCTCAAGTTATATTTTTTGACACTCCTTAACCAGAAAGATTCATACAGCAATGATTTGCTTATCCCAGTGTCTAAGGCCATATTTCTCTTCTGCATTTTTTAAAATAAGTCATTCTTGGGTCAGTTTAATATTTTATGTTATCAAAAGAGCCAACTTTAATATAAACCAATTAGCTGTTAACTAATTTTTTGAAAAATGTTATTTAACCATTTTATTTGAAGCAATTAAGCTAAAAAGTGTTGATAGTTTTAGAAATTGCTACAAAATGTGGCTCTTTCCCTACCCTTCTTAAAAAGAAATAAATTATTGCAGAAAGACGTCAATTAGTTATCTAACAGAAACACTACTGAAACTAATTTTGAGAATCATATTAGATATGCACACTGATAATGAACCTTCTGAGTCTACTATAGCATGGTTGAGTATATTATAGTCACCTTCCCTTGAAGGCATATAAACCTTACCTTTGAAGTACCCAGGTATAAAAACTAAAAAATCTGAAAGCATTAATCACCAAGCTGTGAGCAGTAATCTAGTAATCATGATTACTGTTTACTAGAATAAGCATGGATGCTCATTTAAACTTTCACAGTAAAATAGAATTTCGACAACAGTGAGAGTTGGAATATTTTGAGATTAGGTAAAAAGTATTGGTAGTGAGCGTTAACACATTTTGAAATTAGGTTTTACACAGGTAAGAAAAACACCTAACATGCAAAGGTAATGAAATCTTTCTTTTCTCTGTAATTAACCACATTAGGTCTAATCCTTACAGCTCTGTAGAAAATTCAAATACATCCGAAAAGCAATATTAACTTCTCGTCAAGCCTAAGACACCTATCTTGCATGAGGCATGTTTCTCTTGGTTCTATCATCTCGTTTTTGTTCAAAAGCAGCATCTCTTGGTTTAGGAACTAATAGGTCAGTAGCATTTCTTGAGATAAGCAAGAAACACGTAGACAACAGTAACTTGAAACTTTAGGAAAGTGAACCCATCAGCCTTCGTTTGGGTTTATGTAGAAAAGGGGCAAGTAGAAAAAAAAAAAGTGCCTGGAAAGTCAGTGCCTCATATTACAGAGTTCAGAAAGAGTGCTTTATACATCAAGTATTTATGTTCCACCTGCCTGTGAGATGTCTAAAGCGTCTCCTCTCTCTGCAGACAGAGCACACTCCTCCATATGATGTGGTACCTTCCATGCGACCGGTGGTCCTGGTGGGCCCTTCTCTGAAGGGCTACGAGGTGAGTAGCAGCCTTCCACAGAACACTTGACTTCTGCATCTTGAACTCCTTTGTGACTCCGCCTCCTGTTCCTGACCCTCTCTCTGAATTCCGCAGCTGAAAGAGCCAAATTTAGAGCTTAAAGAGCTCATAGCAGCAAAGCATGTTGTGCTTCAAGCTGTGGTCTACACTGCTTCATCCTTTTTCTGTTTTGTTTACCTGGCTGTTGCTTTGAAGATTTCTGCTAGTTGCAATGTACTAAGTCCAAGAAATAGTGTCAAATGGAGACCGACTAAAAGCACTTGCAATGTGATTTGTCAGTAGCACATCATCATGATAAGTTCAGCTCAATTGTCATTGCATCAGAACTCAGAAGCAGAAAAATGCAGCATCCTCACACCACCTCTTTTTTCCAAATACGAAGCTCGGGTTTTCAGGCATTCCTGAGAGACGTAAAACTGTTTTATTGATGTTTTTTGTCGTATCTTAATTTATTCCTTGCTCAATTGCAGGTCACAGATATGATGCAAAAAGCGTTGTTTGATTTTTTAAAACACAGATTTGAAGGGCGGTGAGTATTTCAGCATACTGGGTTTTGTGGATTTTGTCTTAAAGATGGCAAAATCCTGGTGGGACGGGCATGTGATTCCAAGAGAAAACTGCTCTCTGATATCTACATGATGATGGGAAATGTTTCCCTCAATTTAATCTGATTCAATCAATATTTGTCATATTTGCTTTGTACATCCCTAACCCTTGATGTCCAGTTCTTGTACCCATAAGCCGACCTTGGGCATGACTCCATTGGCCAGTCTCACCCTTAGTTCATGGTCAGCTGGCCCCCTATTGCTGCCCAGACATCGCACTAAATATCCCTCTTCCATTCACTTTTCCCCAAAGACTTGTGTGCCATCTCCCCCTCTTTAAGCCTCTGATAACCCTCTCTCATCTCACGCTTCCCCAGTGAACTTGCTTCCCTGTGTCATTGAAAAAATAGAGGCAAATGGAGAATACCCAGGCATTTCCATAACCCCGCCTGTGGAGCTGCGTGTTTGCCTGGATGCTCTGCTTTATCTTCCATTACTGTGTTCCCAGCAAGGGCCAACCCACCCATGTGGGCACTGGCTGTCACTCCCCATCCCCACTCCGCTAGAAGTATCCACACACAGCATAATTATCCTTTGCTCTCTCCTCATCAGTATTTGCCATTCTAATGGAAATTCCATCAGCATGTAAAAATGCTACTTCCCCTTACATAGGACCTCATATTCCTCTAGGTATCTCATTTATCTTTTCTTTACAAGAAGATTCCTTATAATAATTGTGTTTACTTGCTTTCCTTCCACTTTCTTTAGCCTACCCCAGTTATGTTTTCACCCACACCACTCAACTAAACTAGTCATGTCAAGATCACCAGTGACCTTCCCATTGCTAATCCGGGGATAAATTTTCAGCTCCAATCTTACTTAACCATGAGCAATAGTTGACGTGGTGGATTATTCCATCTTCTCTGAAGAACTTTATTCGCTTGGTTTCTGGAAGCGCACTTTTCCGGTTTTCCTTCTATTACACGGACCACTCCTTTGTCTCCTTTGCTGATTCTTCCTCATCAACTGGAAATCTTGGGCAGCACAGGGCTAAGCTCTTTGATGTCTTTTATTTACATTCCTTTAATAATTTCATTCAGTGTCAGATTTTTTAATTCCAGTCCTTTGCCAGTCTTTCCTCTAAATTCTAGACCCATGTATCCAACTGCCTATTCAGTATCACTACTCAGATGTCTAATGGACTTTACAAACATAACCTCCCCCAAAACCTACCCCTCCCGTGGTCTTCCCTATCTCAATTAATGGCTTCTTCGTCTTTCAGTCTGTATTTACAGCCACTCCTTATCACTCGAGTTAGTGCCTGGGCTCAGCCTCTTGTCGGATCAGCAGTGGCATTAGATTCTCATAGGAGCACAAACCCTACTGTAAACTGTGCATGCACATCATCTGGGTTACGAGCTCCTCATGAGAGTCTAAGGCCTGGTTATCTATCACTGTCTCCCATTATCCCCAGCAGGGACCCTCTAGTTGTAGAAAAACAAGCTCCCACTGATTGTACATTTTGGTGAGCTGAATAATTATTTCATTATATATTCCAGTGTAATAATAATAGAAACAACGTGCACAATAAATGTAATGTGCTTGAATCATCCCAGAACCATCTCCCCACTCCCACCGAACTGGTCCATGGAAAAATTCTTTCACAAAACTGGTTCCTGGTGCCAAAATGGTTGGGGACTGCTGCAATAGATAGTATTTGTTGGTTTCAAGATTCTTTTAGATTTCTTAATATAGTACTTTGTTTCTAGACCACACCTATTACTACAACCATTTTTAATTTATATTGAATTTTGGTAGAGGAGGCAAGGGCAGGAGGGAAACTTTTATAGGAGGACAAGTATTGTTAGTAAGTCATCAAGCAATCTGGGTGTGGTGGCTCATGCCTATAATCCCAGCACTTTGGGAGGCCAAGGTAAGCGGATCACAAGGTCAGGAGTTCAAGATCAGCCTGGCCAACATGGTGAAACCCTGTCTCTATTAAAAATACAAAAATTAGATGGGCATGGTGGTGGGCACCTATGGTTCCATCAACTCGGGAGGCTGAGGCAGGAGAGTCACTAGAACCCGGGAGGCACAGGTTGCAGTGAGCTGAGATCCCACTGTACTCCAGCCTGGGCGACACAGCGGGGCGTGTCTCCAAAAAAAAAAAAAAGTAAGTGATCAGGCAAAGGACTGAAAGGAGAGAATGAGGAAAACAGAAACTATTTTAAGTTTCAAGGTATGAAAAGAGTTTATGATCAAGGTCTTTATAACCAAATACCCCTAGTTAGATTTTTAAAAAATTTTCTATAACTTTACAAAATATTTTTTAGTTTGTGCCAGGAGAACAGAATCTTTAGCTGTTTTGTATCATACTTTAGCACTGGCCAAGTATGAAAGGCATACCTCCAATCTGCTCCATTTAGTTTTTGTTTCTCTATTCTTGGCTCTGTCATTTATCACAAGTTGGAATTGTGAACACTCCAAAAATTCTGCTAACAAAGGCACCGTGTTTTCCATGCCTGAGTTAACCCACTGCACTGTCCTAAATGCCAACGATGGGGAGATGGGATGGACTTTCCTGGATTACTACTTATATTTAAACCTGAGTCAGTTTTGAATTTGGAAGACACATTCCAGCCAGAGAGGGTGTACCTTGGACCCATGTTCAAGTGTATCAGCCACCCAAATTGGTTTTATTTAAGAAACAGATAAACAAAATATCTTAATGTATCTATTATTTCTAGCCAGAAGTATTTTCCTTATGGTTTAATTAATAGACTTGCCTTGGCTCATCTTGACTTACAGAGCTGGGGATCAATTTTCTAGACCTGTTGTCACCAATTAACAGTCCTCAGAGGAAGAAACAGAGTCCATAGGCAGAATTTAAAAGCCATGTAAAAATTTAACACTTTTACCCATGGCAGGACATCTACAGTAACTGAATTATTGAATGTTTTTGCCTTTGGCAAGGCAAGACAGCAGTAGAAGATGAAAAGTCATCAAAAGCATCAGGTGTGTATATACACATGACATTCTAAAAAAGAACAATGAATTATTCCTTAATCATCTGTTAAATAAGCTAAATTTATTTTTTGAAAAGTTTAAGCCCAAGAGGAGAAAATATGAAAGGAAATGTTAGTTATGAAAAAGGTTCTAGGTAGTCAATAATTCCTTTTCTTTTCTGAAACCCACTTAAATTCATTTGCAGAAGTACTGGGGGGTGGGGTGCTGTCAGAATCACGATTCTGGTTAAGTAGCATCAGCGTGTCAGATCAAAGAAATAAATCCTCCTCCTTCTGTTATGTGCAATAAAGTAGCCCATTTAAAACTGGATTCACAGTACCCAATTGTGTCATGTAAACAAAGCAATCTTCAGATTCACCTTGTAGGATGGTGACAGGTAAATTAACAAGGAAATTGAGAAAAAGAAGGAAAGCTACTACCTGGGATAAATTCAGGTTGCTATCTCCCCATCCCCTCCCCACACCACCCTGCCTTTCAGTGACTTGCAAAATGTCAGCAATCAGCCCTGAAGTGTTTGGAATGCATACTGAATTGCTATAGGGATAAATATACCATTGCCAGAATCTTCTGCAGGACAATCTTATTAGAAATCAGAATTCCTGGGCTGGGCGCAGTGACTCACACCTGTAGTCCCAGCACTTTGGGAGGCTGAAGCAGGCAGATCACTTGATGCCAGGAGTTTAAGACAAGCCTGGCCAACACGGTGAAACCGGTCTCTACTAAAAGTACAAGAATTAGTTGGGCACAGTGGTGGGCACCTGTAATCCTAGTTACTCAGGAGGCTGAGGCAGGAGAATCGCTTGAAGGAGGCAGAGGTTGCAGTGAGCCAAGGTTGTGCCACTGCACTGCAGCCTGGATGACAGAGTGAGAGACTCTATTAAAAAAAAAGAAAAAAAAAGTAAGCAAATGTTAAGAAGTTGTTTATCTCATGGAAACTATGAGGAAGATACACCAGAAAAATACACTGGGCTGGGCGCAGCAGTTCACACGTGTAGTCTCAGCACTTTAGGAGAACTGGTTGAGCTCAGAAGTTTGAGACCAGCCTGGGCAACATAGTGAGACCCTGTTTCTACTTAAAAAATTAGCTGGTTGTGGTGGCATGCACCTGTCATCCCAGCTACTTGGGAGGCTGAGCCAGTGGGGATCACTTGAGCCTAGGAGGTTGATGCTGCAGTGAGCTATAATCACACCCCTGTGCTCCAGCCTGGGTGACAGAATGAGACGCTGTCTCAAAAAAAAAAAAAAAAACCACACACACATTATGTGACATCGTTCATTTAATGATTATTTACAGTTACAATAAATATTAAACATGGAGCCAGCCAAAATTATAGTTTATTTGAATCTCTCTGGGATGTTCTAGCCTGCTGCAGTCTAGACCATTTCTGTGTTGAGTGTCATTCTGGAACATTCCTTGTTATTATCCCTGGGATTCCTTTTACCTTCCTTTCAGGCTGAAGCGCCTCTTTCCTAGAGGTCTTGATTTCTTTCAAACTCTACTGTCCTTTGAGTCAAAAACCTTCTCACTTCCCTAGGAAGAGTGTATCCACTTTTTTTCAATAGCCTGCATGTTTACAAACCTTTCTGTTTAATTGCTAGTTTAAATGGTTATGGAATTCTGATTGAAATAGTTTGCCCTCCAACTTTTAAAGGCTTTTTGCTCCATTACCTTCTGGCCTCCATTGTTGGTTTGAGAAGTACAACGCATTCTACTGCTTGATGCTTTGAGACATGCTTTTTCCTCCAAAAGCTTGTAGGTTTCTCTTTGTCCTTAGCGTGATGAAATTTATAAAAATATGTCTTGGTATGGATCTTTCAACTCTTGTGCTAGACCCTTTCAGTTTGAAAAATCAGACCCTTAATTCTATGATTACTTCTTTATTTCCTCTCCTCTGTCATCTTTATCTTTTTCTGAACTCTTCTAATTTGGAATTTGAACCTCTTGTTATTCTCCGCTTTTCTTACCTTTCTTCTGTCTTCCAACTGTCTTTTTTGTTGAATCCTTTAGAGATGTTACCTTACTTTTAACCCTTCTTTTGATTTTTTAAATTTCTATTACCATGTTTTTATTTTCAAAAGCTCTTAAATAGAAATTTGTTCTCGTTTCATAGACAAAACCATCTCTTAGCTTTTAACTATGAATAATTTTCACAGTTAATTTTTCTGTTTGTTTTGGTCTGTCATGTTAGAGGTTTTCTGAAGATGCCCGACAAACAGTCCTGTGCTCAAAGTTTAAAGTAAGGCATAAAATAATTACTCAGAAGCTCTGTGCTCACAGGCGGAGCTTGTCAACTTTGTGCTTCTGTGTGTGGCAATCTTGCTGGACAATTTACATAGGAAACCTCCAATATCATTATCTTTGGGTCTTTACTCTTTGGCAGTCGATTCCCCAGAGACGAATCTTCCATTCTGACCCCTGGGGATATAAATATAAGCCAGGCTCCCAAAATTCTACAATGAGGAAGAAGGTTGAAGATTCAGCATTCAGAATCTTTTCTTTTTCGTCCAGTATTCTCTGCCCCTGGTCTGTCTAGGGTCCCCTGGTCAGAGGCCGTCTTGTATTGTCTGCAAGAGAACAAACTTGGGTCTTTTACCACACAGGAAAAGAACTGTCACCTGGCCATTTGATGTTGTGAAGTTGCAGTAGAGGGCTCTAACTGAAACAGACTTTTTAACCAAACCTTTTCTTTTTGCCCCACCTTCATTCACTACCTTCTTTAGAGATTCTGTGAACCTTCAATTTTGCTTCACAGCTTTTTCCTACTGCTGACTTGAATATTCAGCTTTCTGCAGTCTAAGTAATTTGCTATTTCCAGCTCCCGAATTTCGTTGCTCTCATTTCTCCCTTATCATGTCATAATACACTGTTCTTTTCACAACAATCATCATCTTTAATTATTTTCTTTTATTATTTATCTCTGCCACTAGACGATGAGCTCACTGAGGAAAAACCAGTTCTTACTTATTCTTCATCCCTATCACAGCACTGAACTATGGCACAGACGGTAGGAATGTAGGCTCAGGAGTCTGGGTTCAAATCCCAGCTCTACCACTTAGTACATAGCCTTGGAAAAATAATCTCTCTGTGCATCTCATTCATCATTAGCAAAAGTAGGATAATAATAAACATTTCTCTGAGAGCTGTTTGGATGATTTAGTAATTCAAATAAAGGGCTTAGTACTTATCTGACACTTGATAAGCAACCAGTCAATGCAAAGTAAGGCAGGTGCCAGATAGGGCCAGTGCAGTGGCTCACACCTGTAATCCCAGCACTTTGGAAGGCCAAGGCAAGCGAATCACTTGAGGCCAGGAATCTGAGACCAGCCCGGCCAACATGGTGAAACCCCCTCTCTCTTAGAAATACAAAAATTAGCCGGGTGTGGTGGCATACACCTGTAATCCCTGCTACTTGAGAGGGTGAGGCAGGAGAATTACTTGAACACCGGAGGCAGAGATTGCAGTGAGCCAAGATCACGCCACTGCACTGCAGCCTGGGCGACAGGGCAACAGGGCAAGACTCTGTCTCAAAACAAACAAACAAAAAGCCAAGTAAGGCAGGTGCAAGATAAACAAAAATCAGTAAGTGAAAAGAAAGAGGAAGTATCCTAATACATACGGTTTAAAATATGACTACTATAGATATTTCATACTCAGATGAATTTTGTGCATATACTTCTATCCCCTTTGATTAGATTAATAATGTTAGGGTCTTCTGTGACTTTTCTCTCCAACAGGATATCTATCACAAGGGTCACTGCTGACATCTCACTTGCCAAACGCTCAGTATTAAACAATCCCAGTAAGCATGCAATAATAGAAAGATCCAACACAAGGTCAAGCTTAGGTAAGTCTGTGCCGTGAGCTTAAGCTTTCTAAACACTCCTCTCCTGAAGCTGATGATGAGAAGATCTAGCAAGATGAGAATTCCATGTGTCACAAAGTACTGAAAAAACAGACGTGTGTTGCCAGTAGCTATTGCTGTGGTCTTAATGATTTCATGGTGTGGAAGGATTTGTTATGATAGTTTCGAGGTAAGAATTCCACAAGCTGTCAGCATTCATGTTTTGGTTATCGTTTGTTTTCACTAATGTGAGCTTTGGTGCCTGTAGACTAAGATCTCCTGGCTTTGCATCAGTGTGACCATAAGCAAGTTTATTAACCTTTTGAAGGTTCCATTTCTTCATCTTAAAAAGGAAATAAAGTAACGACCTTGTAGAATTATTGCAAGGATTAAACATAATACATGCTCTATAAATAATAGCCATTATTTTTGTAAATATTCCTTAATTCACAGTGCATATCAATAATGAAATCATAGGAGAGTGTAATTTGTGGGTGCGGAAATCGGTAAAGGATGAAGTGAATCCCTGGCTACTTTTATTGATATCGATACGTTTGTTTTATCTGTAAAAACAGCTTAAGGAGTTATTGTGATTACAAGGTGGTATGTGGATATTGCATATTAACGTGTACTGAATTGATCAAATTGAGACCCTTCAGCTGCTATTTAATCTTTTGGGCACATGCTTCAAGTTTAGGTTAATCACTGTTACACATGTTGCTTACTGGATTGTTAGGTTTCTGTTTTTTATAAAGTAAACTTTGAGAGTTGTGTCAGATCTTTCAGCTTTTTTTTTTTTTTTCATATATATATACATATAATTCCACTTTAGGTTCTGGGGTATATGTGCAGAACATGCAGGATTGTTGCATAGGGATATATATGGCAATGTGATTTGCTGCCTCCATCCCCCCATCACCTATATCTGGCTTTTCTCCCCATGTTATCCCTCCCCAACCTCCCTACCCGTGCTGTCCCTCCCCTCGCCCCCAAACAGACCCCAGTGTGTGATGCTCCCCTCCCTGTGTCTATGTGTTCTCATTGTTCAACACCCGCCTACAAGAACATGTGGTGCTTGATTTTCTGTTCGTGTCAGTTTGCTGAGAATGATGGTTTCCAGATTCATCCGTGTCCCTACAGATGACACAAACTCATCGTTTTTTTATGGCTGCATAGTATTTTTTTTCTGTTTACATGTTAGATATACAAATCCTCAGAGGCTGGTTTCTAACATAGAAGTTCTTCGTTTATGCTGAAGCATGATTATATAAATAATAGAAAAACTGTTACAAATAATAAACTTTATCTGTTAGCAATGAGCAAGATACATTATAGAACTCGGTTTTGCCCCTCACCTGACAACCCTTCATTGACAAAGCTTCAGTAACAGGTTTAGAAATATATCCGAGGAAAAAATGTGATCGCATGTTTTGCTTATAGCAATTCCTTTTTATGTCCTTATCATCTGTCACAGTTAAAATTCTTTCCACACATCATCTGATGCTCACAAGAATTACTTTTTATTTTTATTTTTTGAGAGAGGGTCTCACTGTCACCCAGGCTGGATTACAGTGGTGTGAATCATGCCCACTGCACCTCGAACTCCTGGTCTCAATCAATCCTCCCATCTCAGCCTCCTGAGTAGCTGGGACTACAGGCACATGCCACTCCCCTGGGCTAATTTTATGTAGAGATAGGGTCTCACTGTGTTGCCCACGCTGGTCTCAAACTACCATGTTCAAGCGATCCTCTTGCCTTGGCCTCCCGAAGTGCTGGGACTACAGGCATGAGCACTGCATCTGGCCAAAAATTATTATAGAATGCTCCTTTCATAGATTGAACTGATTAACAAAAGTGATTTTTTTAGACTGATCAATGGAATTAATTACGTAACAGATTACCCTGGATTGCCAACATTTTTTTTGCAACTACTGATTATATATTGTTTTTAAATAAATCTTCCGGTCTATGTGTTTCATTGAGCATACACTAGATACCAAATATCAAGGTAGCAGGTGGATTTTTAACTGTGCAGGGGGTCAGCACTCTAAACCCCTGCATTGCCAACTGTAGAGTCACAGAAAGTCTACCCATATGACCACCTGTAACATAATTACCTCTTATAAGGGCCTATCTCCAAGTAGAGTTACATTCTGAAGCATTAGAGAGGTTGGGATTTGAACACGTGAATTTTGGAAGGTGGGGGAGATAATTTAGCCCATAGCACTCTTTCAATGAGTGCCTTCTGTGTGCCATGGAGTCTTTGCATCTCTGCTCCCTCTTCTTAAATTATACTTCTCTCTCGTGTCGTAACACCTGTGACTCTCAGTATAACTTAAAACTTAGCATTTTACATTTATTTGAGTGAGTGCCTTATTGTCTGTAAACTGTGTGAGTTTTAGGATTGAATCTCTTGCTTCATCAGTCTCCTCAGTACCTACCACAGTGACTGGCATATACTAGACACTTGGTAAAATACTTATGGGATAAATGGGCGGTCACACCTTGACTCTGCCTTCCACCTTCCCCTACCACTCTGGGGTTTGTGACCTATGTTTATGCAATCTGAGAAACTGGCTTTGGACTCAATATTTGTTATATATCACTGCAAATGACACCACTCAAGGAAAAACCACCTTGGACGGAGTCAGAACACCTGGTTTCTGGTATTTTATACCTTAGCAGGTGCCTGACTACATAGCCTGTCACATCTGGTGATTCTAGGATTTTTTTACCATATGGTGATGGGCTTGCACTAGAAACGGCAAATTTCTGTATCACTGTACTCCAGGGCAAATAAGTTATTTTCTGTTGTTGTACACTTTTAAGTTGTATTTTTACAGACATTAAGAATATTTTAAAGCTTTAAGGAAAGAGGTATTATTGCTAGTATGTTGCCCTAGAAAAGGATAAAATGTTATTACAGTATCACCACTAAAATCCTTGCTTTTATTGAAGTCAGTTTTCTTGTCCTTTAAAAGCATTTCTTTGTCATATTTTTCTGTCTCCACAATAGCTGCATATTTTAGGCAAGCGGATCACAAGGTCAGGAGATCAATACCATCGTGACCAACATGGTAAAACCCCGTCTCTACTAAAATACAAAAAAAAAAAAAAAAAAAACCTAGGTGGGCATGGTGGTGCACATCTGTAGTCCCAGCTACTCTGGAGGCTGAGGCAGGGGAATAGCTTGAATGCGGGAGGCGGAGGTTGCAGTGAGCCAAGATCCCGCCACTGCACTCCAGCCTGGCAAAAGAGCAAGACTCCATCTCAAAAAAAAAAAAAAAAAAAAAAAAAAAAAAAAAAAAGTACTGACACTTCAGAGATCTAACTACCATTACATCAATGCTTATGTTTAGTATTCATGAGCAGATGGAAAGTGAGTTGGAGGGAAGGTAAACACCTGGAGTTTGGGTACAGAAAGACCACTAAGAATGACTGTTTTAAACATGACTTACGAGTTGCAAGTTTAGTTAGCCCAAAGATGGGTAGGCGTGAACAGGGGGTGTTTATGTTAAAACCATCATTTCTCTTATATAAATTTAGGAAAAAGTGTAATTTGAAAAATTTACCTCAAATTTAATAGATGAGATCAATTACAACAGTTATTGTTTTGTTTTGTTTTGTTTTTCCAAACGTCTTAGTCTGTTTGGGCTGCTTAAAAAAATATTTTAGACTGGGTAATTTACATACAACATAAACTTATTGCTCAGAGTTCTGAAGGCTGGGAAGTGCAAGATCAAGATGCCAGCAGATTTGGTGTCTGGTGACAGCTTGCTTTCTGATTCATAGAGAGAGCCATCTTCCTGCATCCTCACATGCTGGAAGAGGCAAGCATGTTCCTTTGGGTCTCTTCTCTAAGGTTACTAATCTCATTCATAAGGTCTCTGCCCACATGACTTAATCACTTCCCAAAGGGCCCCACCTCTTAATATTATCACAATGGAGATTAGATTTCACATGTGATTTTGAAAGGAACATATTTGGAGTGCATTGCACCAAAAGAGGAAGGATAGAGCACACTGAAGGCATAATGTGATAGATTAAAATATGCTTTTATGCGTTACGTTTTAGAAAACGTTAGTTATGTAAAAGAAAGTATAGAACGTTGTCTCTGGAGTTCACTATGCTACTGTATTATTGTATGGGAGGGAAAACCTAACCCTGGAGAATGTGAAGCTTTACTCACATTTTGGGGGTGGTACAAAACTTCTTTGCATGTATGGATGGCTTCATATAGGTTCATAAAAGTCCTGCCTTTTTCCTCAGTTGTAATATTGGTCAAGAATCATATTTAAAACACTTATAGTAGCATTATTTCTACTTTTCAAACTTGGAGAATGCAAATGAACACTATTATGCTCTTAAAATAAAAATATTACTTAAATTAGTAGAAAGTATAGTGATACAGATATTTGCCAGTTTCTAGTTCAAGCCGATCACCAAATGGTAAAAAAATCCAAAAACCACATGTGAAAGGTTGTGTAGTGAGGCACCTGCTAAGGTCTGAAATCCTAAAAGCCAGGTGTACTGACTCAGTCCAAGATTGTTTTTCGCTGAGTGATGCCATTTGCAGTGATGTCGATTGCATTTACTTAAACATCTACCTTTCCTCAGGAAGCAAGCAAACAGTTTATGGAGAATAAAGGGCTGATGAGACCAGGTTTTATCATTAGCCTTGCAGATAACTGTAGAATTTATGAACTAGTTGATCTGTTGACTCTAATTTTTTCCTTTCTTTTGAGCCATCCATTATCAGGGTAGCTGTGCTGATCTTGAAAAATTAGCACAATTTTTGTTATACTAAATTTCTATGATGGCCCAACTAAGGAAATGTCTCCATTCAAAGGGTGTACTTCACTTCTTCATAAATTTGGTAGTAACATGTATTTATTTTGAAGACATGTTTAAATGACTCTTTTCTGTAACAGCTTTTTGCCATTGTTTATATATATTTTTAAAAACTCTCTCGACTAATTCATTGATATATACTTGGCACTTTTTGAGTACCAGCTATGTATCAAGCACTGTGCTGAGGAGAACTAGACATAATTTCCTATTATGTCAAGCTTTCAGTCATTTCACTGCCTATTGGAAAAATTTTTAATTACATCATGGAAAGAGATACACATAAGTATTAACAGAGGTAGGTACAAAGCCATACTTGACATTTATTAAGTACAGATGCTTCTCAACTTATGATGGGGTTATGTCTCAGTAAACCCATTGTTAAGTTGAAAATATCATAAGCTGAAATGCATTTAATACACCCAGCCTACCAAACATCATAACTTAGCCTAGCCTACCTTGAAGATGCTCAGAACACTTACAGTAGCCTGCAGTTGGGCAGTTATCTAATACCAAGCCCATTTTATAATAAAGTGTAGAGTACCGTATATATTGAATACTAACAGTGAAAAACAGTGGTTGTGTGGTGCTCAAAGTTCAGTTCCTACTGTTTGTATATTGCTTTCATACCCTGTAAAGTTCAAAAATCGTTCAAACCGTTGTAAGTCATGGACTGTCTATACTTACTGTAGGTCAAGTACGGTAATTACTGTAATGGAAGCGTTGCATGTTGATTCATTTAGTCCTCATTTCCGTAATACAGGTAAGAATACTTACGTTCTAAGAGGTTCAGTATGCTACCCAGTGACCATACGACCATACAGCTCAGTGATGCAATGACACTTCATTTCTACCCATAAGCCACTTTGATGTATGGCGTTGGGAACCCAGAAGCAGAATTTACTGAGCCTGGGGGAAAAGGTGGTTAGAGAAGGCTTTACTCTTTTTGTAAGATAAGGCAGGCACTGCTCAAAATTAAGAGTTGTGTGTGTAGTAATTATGAAAATGGCACTGGAATTACATGTATAGCATTAGATAACTCATACTAGAGCTACCTCCAGGTCTTATTAACTCCTAACTGACCACTTAGGTGTCCCTCAACCCTAGCAGCAATGAAAGTAACCATTTCCTCTGTTATTACAGTATTGTTTGATTACAGAAACCTCCTTCCAAACAAGTTAACTTTTGTTTTTTTTGTTTGTTTCTAACTAAAGTTCACCCAGGTAGTAAGACTAGTACCCATCAGTTATTTTTCCTGATTCTCTTCCCCCTCCTACCCTGATAGGCCCCAGTGTGTGTTGTTTCCTTCTATGTGTCCATGTGTTCTCATCATTTAGCTCCCGCTTACAAGTGAGAACATGTGGTATTTGGTTTTCTGTTCTTCTTGTGTTAGTGTGCTATGGATAATGGCCTCCAGCTCTTTCCATGTCCCTGCAAAGGATGTGATCTTGTTCTTTTTTATGACTGCATAGTATTCCATGGTGTTTATGTACCACATTTTCTGTATCTTGATTCTACCCCTTTGCTATTGTGAATATTGCTGTAATGAAAATACATACATGCATGTATCCTTATAATAGAATGATTTATAGTCATTTGGGTATATACCCAGTAGTGGGATTGCTGGGTCAAATGGTACTCCTGTCTTTATGCCCTTCAGGGATTGCCACACTGTCTTCCACAATGGTTGAACTAATTTACCTTCCCATCAACAGTGTATAAGCATTCCTTTTTCTCCAGAACCTCACCGGCATGTTTTTGATTTTTTAATAATAGCCATTCTAACTGGTGGGAGACGGCATCTCATTATGGTTTGATGTGCATTTCTCTAATGATTAATGTTGTAGCTTCTGTTCTTTATCTTAGAGGAAACAATGATTGCTCCTGAAATTTATAGATATTAGAGGTATAAAGCATAGAAAGGTGTTATTCCTTTTTCAGTTTAATTCAGTGGGATGCAGGGAGATGAAGAAGGCTGGCCCCATCTTCCGGATGCTGAGCTGCATTCTTTCATTAGCTAGGACAACTAGAAAGAATCAAATTGACTTTCAGTTTCAGAAATGAACATCAGGGAATGTCTTTATTAAATTCTGAGCATGGTATGTATGTAAGACTACTAGAAAGATCTTTATATATGTATATATATTAAAACCCGTGTTAATATATTGACCTAATAGAAATAATATCCATATATGTAATTTTTAAAATGTCATCCAGATTTCATACAGTGAGCATATATTACGGTCAGGTGCAGTGGCTCATGCCTATAATCCCAGCACTTTGGAAGGCTGAGGTGGACAGATCACTTGAGGTCAGACGTTTGAGACCAGCCTGGCCAGCATAGTGGAACCCTTTTACTACTAAAAATACAAAAAATTAGCTGGGTGGGCCTGGTGGTGCATTGCCTGTAATCCCAGCTACATGGGAGGCTGAGGTGAGAGAATCAGTTGAACCAGGGAGGCAGAGGAGGTTGCAGTGAGCTGAGACTGCACAGCCGCACGCCAGCCTGGGAAACAGAGCGAGACTCTCTCAAGAAAAAAAAACACATGTTAAACTTATAATCAGTGAAGATATAGTGCTCAAACCTTTAAATGCAAGGAGTTACACTGAAGATGTGAGATGCTGTGACTGTGTAAACACTTATTAAGAGGTGAAACAAAGATGAAAATCTTTGTGATCTGATTTCTTAATGCTTGCAATAAATATTAATTTAGGTTGGAACTTGAGTGGGCTTAGTGGCCCAACATTATTTTAAAGCTAGTATGTCATGTAGTTTGGGCCCTGATTTTTTGAAGATATCCAGGTAAACAAAAGGACTCAATTCATAACATATTGTGAGGCAGATCACAATAGTGATCAGGGACTCGCCTTTTCTTGAATAATGTACTAGTTAAAATTATCTCTAGGAAGCTTCTGGCATGGATCTAAATACCTAAGAGGTATTAAAAGGTAATTGTAGGTCCACATTTGCTGGCATAAAAGTCTCATGGAATTCAGTCTCCATGACTGCAGTGGGAAACACAAGCTATGTATTACGCTGTATGTGCTGCCTGGTAATAGTAGCTTCTGGCTATTTAAATTGTTAAATTTTAAAAATGTAATTGCCTGTTCGCACTAGCTTAGTAGCCACAAGTGATTAGTTGCTGCCACACTGGACTACATATAGAGAGTATTTCCCTCATTGCAGAAAATCCTGTCAGGCCTGTTTTTGACTCTTTGGAGATCATGGAGCAGTAGATGAACTGAATGTCATTTTCTTGGAGTAGAATTTTAAATGTTTGGAGACAAATTTCTATAAATTTTATACTTTAGATTTCTGTAGTGCTGCCTCTGAAAACTGCCCTTTTACAACATGAGTATTAAAGGGAATTCCTTTGGTTGGAAAATATGCGGTGTGTTTCTGGATAAGTTTTTTACTGGTGCCAATCATGTCTTTCTTATGTTGTATTTCGGCTTGTTAATAAACATATCTAGACAGCATACAGGTGACATATAAACATAGTTCAGCCCATGCACTGAAAGGAAAACTTGTAACGGTTGCTAGGCAAAGTGGTCTGCAGTGAACACACGAAGATATTTCACGGTTTTTACAACAATTTTTCTGAAATTTTATAGAGTGGAAGCACAAAGAATGTCAGCAGAGAGAGCTAAAAATTTCCATAATCCAAGTATTATACTAAAAGTAAATTCTGTAACTGTCTGAGAGAAAAATTCCTTAAATGCTAATGATGTGTGGGAAAACAGCCCTTTCCAAAAGGATGAATTACTGTTGTAATTTTTTATCAATTCTATTGCCTATAAGCATTAACATGGCTGACCTAGTCACCTTTCTGTTGAAGAAATAAGATATCATTTTACTTTATCTTAAAAATACTGCACTTTAAACTGTTTCACCTTTTACAGCTGAAGTTCAGAGTGAAATTGAAAGGATTTTTGAACTTGCAAGAACATTGCAATTAGTGGTCCTTGATGCAGATACGATTAATCATCCAGCTCAACTTAGCAAAACCTCCTTGGCCCCTATTATCGTATATGTAAAGATTTCTTCTCCTAAGGTAAGTAGGATTACTGCTGTTTGCTCTGTAATCAAACTTCACTAAAATGTACTTTATGTTCTGCTGTCTATAATAAGGCTATTGTGATAGGCTTTATCATGTATATAGAATCTGAAGAGACATGGTAGTCAAGAATTTCTAAATTAATATAAACAAGGCATGGTTAGTTTCATGGCTTAGAACAGCCATTCTCAAAGTGTGGTCCATGGATCCCTGGAGGGTCTTGAGACACTTTTAGACTGTTCATTTAGTCAAAACTACCTCCATGATACTACTAATACATTATTTGCCATGTTCACTGGACATATGCTTGGCTCATGCAAAAGCAATGGTGGGTAAAACTGCTGGCATCTGAGCATGAATCAAGACTGTGGTATCAAAGTACCAGCAGTTACTGTATTCATTACCACCATGCTTTCACAGTTCAAGGAAGAAAAAGCCATTTTCACTTAAGAATGTCCTGATGAAGTAGTAAAGTTCATTACTTTTATTGAATCTTGACTTTTAATATTCAGTGTAATCAAGTACACACAAAGTTCTTGCTGCATACCAACAAATGTCAGAAGGAGGAGTGCTGGTGTGATTGAGTTGTGAACTAAACTAGCCGCCTTTTTCATAGAATTTTTATCTGAAACAATGACAGGATATGCTTATTCAGACTTGGGTATAGCAGGTTTTTCTTGGACAAAGCAGACCTGTCACTTCAAAGAGACAGCACATGTTGCGAATGATAAAACTCAAGCTTTCTGACAACAATCAGAATTTTAGAAAACCTGTATGTACCTCTGAGAACTTGGAAGCTTCCCAATAATTATTTCTCTGATGAGACCAAGGATAATACAGTGTTTCAGTAATGTATAATGAAATATGTCAACATTTGGAGGATCTGAAGTCAGCGAACCATTACTATCTGTATGATCAATGAATAATGTTAATTTCAAGACAGACCAGTTGAATGTCATGGAGTAAGAAAATTTCACTGAGCAACTAGTCTTTAAGGAACTATCATTTGTTGAGTTTTGGTATAGTATCAAAGACGACTATCTGAAAAGGCTACTAAATTGTTTCTCCTTTTCTCAATTAAAAATCTGTAGGAGGCTGGATTTTCTTCACATATTTCAAGCAAAGCAAAACATTGCAGCAGGTTGACCGTAGAAGCTTGGGAGATTTCAGTTGTCTTCTATGAAGCCAGCCATTAAATTTGTCAAAAATGTAGCTATTTTTATTTTAAAAAATTAATATTTTTCCATTTTAGCTAATTTAAAGAGGTTGTAAGACAAAACATTTGAGATCTGCTACCTTAGAAAAAAGAATGTGAGTGCTGAAAGCTTGCAACTGTGATTTATGTTAATTTTGCAGATACTCTTATAGCTCAAACTATTACAAGCCCCTTGGGTATATATACAAAGGCCCCAGAGAAAGGAGTCAGTAATGTACCTTGTAGTTTACCTGAGTGTACTTACTACTCTTTTAAAAACTCATTATCTTTTACAGGTTTTACAAAGGTTAATAAAATCTCGAGGGAAATCTCAAGCTAAACACCTCAACGTCCAGATGGTAGCAGCTGATAAACTGGCTCAGTGTCCTCCAGTAAGTTGTCTCTATATACAGCATAATCCAGTTACTGAGATCAGACCTGGCTTTTCTTTTTTGAGGCAGGGTCTTGCTCTGTTGCCCATGTTGGGAGTAGAGTGCTGTGATCACAGCTCACTGCAGCCCTGATCTCCTGGGCTCAAGTGACTGTTTTGCTTCAGTCTTCCAAGTAGCTAAAACTATAGATGCATGCCCCCATGGTCGGATAACTTTTTTTTTTCCTGTAGAGATGGGGTCTTGCTATGTTGCCCAGGCTGGTCTAGAACTCCTGGGCTGAAGCCATCCTCCTGTCTTGGCCTTCCAAGGACTACAGGCATGAGCCACCATGCCTGGCCAGACTGGCATTGTGTTTTTAAAAAACAGTCAAACACCTGTCAGAGAAGAGAATCCTCATCACTTAAAGTGGTATTCATTCCAAAGTACACCCTCCTCCCTCATTCCATGACCATGTGTTTTGAGCACAAATAATCCAAATGATGATCTTAGCTTACAAAAAGCTACAGTACATCCTGTAGTAACTTCACTTTGTTAATACCTAACATAAGATCATGGTTCCAAAAATTTGACTTGTATTATGAAGTTGGTATATTATTCATTTTTGATCATGGGACACAAGGTATCTGCTCTTAGTAACTATCTGAGACATTTAATCAATTTCTAAGCAATGAGTTACCTAGATTCTTTCCTAGGTTTACTTTTGGAGGTAGGGTCTTGCTCTGCTGCTTAGGCTGGAGTGCAGTGGCGGCCTCTCAGCTCACTGCTGCAACCTCTGCCTACCGAGCTCAAGGAATCCTCCCACCTTGGCCCTCCAAGAAGCTGGGACTACAGGTGCATGCCACCACGCCCCATTAAGTTTTGTATTTTTAGCAGAGATGGGGTTTTGCCATGTTACCCAGGCTGGTCTCAAATTCTTGACCTCAAGTGATCTGCCCATCTCAGCCTCCCAAAGGGCTGGGATTACAGGCATTAGCCATTGCGCCGGGCTTTCCTCCACCCCCACTTGGTAAGCGCAGCTATTTCAGAGGCTATAAATATTTGATTGCTTAATAAGTTAAAATTTCTGAATTCTAAAAAATCTTTTGAAAAGCGACACATTTTTTCTCTAGTGAACTGATTTGAAGTTTGGACAATGTCAGATTATCAATGGTTTCAGCTGCTTCTGTCCAAGTTCACATCCTAATTTTATTAATTTCTAAATTCAGATTTCATAATCTTGGGCTGGGCATGTGGCTCATACCTGTTATCCCAGCACTGGGAGGCTGAGGCGGGCGAATCACTTGAGGCCAGGAGTTCGACACCAGCTTTGCCAACATGGCAAAACCCCATCTCTACTAAAAATACAAAAATTAGCGGGGCGTGGTGGGAGGCACTTGTAACCCTGGCTACTCTAGAGGCTGATACACGAAAATTGCTTGAACCTGGAGGCCAAGGTTGCAGTGAGCCGAGATCAGGCCACTGCACTCCAGCCTGGGCAACAAAGTAAGACGCCATCTCAAATAAAGATTTCATGATCTTGACGTCAAGAGTAGGCTTCTTTCTATTCTGCTCACATCTCTTTTCTATCATAGTATCCATATCTTTTGTCACTGAGGATAGACAAATGTCCTTAACAACTGTTACCATTCTGGCCATTATTAGTTAAGCATTCGTTCAGTGCCCTAAACAATGATTTGAGGTAGTCAGCCACTTGCTGACTAAATAAAAAGGAGACAGTAGGAGCAAGTGCCAAGGGGTGCAGCTCATGAGCCCCTCCTTATGGAGGTGGGAACAGGGTGAAAACGGGGCTGGCGTCAATGTGGTCTGGAATGTCTCCCTCTGCAGGAGTTGTTTGATGTGATCTTGGATGAGAACCAGCTTGAGGATGCCTGTGAGCACCTTGCCGACTATCTGGAGGCCTACTGGAAGGCCACCCATCCTCCCAGCAGCAGCCTCCCCAACCCTCTCCTTAGCCGTGCATTAGCCACTTCAAGTCTGCCTCTTAGCCCCACCCTAGCCTCTAATTCACAGGTAAGGGAGTTTTTATGTATTCTGTACACACAGTCTTCATAGAAAACAAGGTTGTCTGTGGTGACACCTCTAGGATCCAAGCCCAGTAGCACGCTTGGGGTTTGTTCCAGTGTATTAACTCTAAGCAAGTCCAGCATGAGCTGTGTAAGAAGAGCACCATCGACAGAATATACTGGGAACATACACAGACTACAGAAACTTTCTAAACAGCATACACTGGAAGCAGATTACCTAAATTCAAATCCTGGCTCCACCTCTTACCAGTTCTGGGGTGGATAACCTTAGGCAAGTTTCTTAGGTGTTCTTGCCTCAAGAATAATTAATAATGGCAACCTGTCCATGATGCTGCTGGAATTACTAATCTCAAAGGGCTGTTGTGTTAATGAGTTATTATATGCAAAGGGTCAAGAACAGTACCTGTCCCATGTTGTATCTTGTAAGCATTTTCCATTTTTAATATTCTTAACATACAGTCAAGCAGAGGTAGTTAAGTTTATACTCCTGTGTAGAAAAATATCAGGGACCTGCATCTGTATTTGAACCACAGGAGAACATATAAAAGAACATTTTCACTGCTTATTTTTAAAAGAAAAAGGTTATCATAGCTGGGCACGGTGGCTCAAGCCTGTAATCCCAGCACTTCAGGAGGCTGAGGTGGGTGGATCACAAGGTCAAGGGATCGAGACCGTCCTGGTCAACATAGTGAAACCCCGTCTCTACTAAAAATACAAAAAATTAGCTAGGCGTGGTGGCACGTGCCTGTAATCCCAGCTACTCAGGAGGCTGAGGCAGGAGAACTGCCTGAGCCCAGGAGGCGGAGGTTGCGGTGAGCCAAGATCGCGCCATTGCACTCCAGCCTGGGTAACAAGAGCGAAACTCCGTCTCAAAAAAAAAAAAAAAAAAAAGGATATCATGAGTACTGTTCTAGGCACTTACGAAGTCCAATTAATATAGTATAAGCCTTGTAAATGTTACCAAAGGAAGTAAGCTAGGTTAGACTTCATTGCAGCTTTTCAGATGCTTAAAAATGACTCTGTGGTATGTTTTGTACACACTGACCTTGGTTAACACCAGTGTGCTCCTTTGGCTGCCAGGGTTCTCAAGGTGATCAAAGGACTGATCGCTCCGCTCCTGTCCGTTCTGCTTCCCAAGCTGAAGAAGAACCTAGCATGGAACCAGTCAAGAAATCCCAGCACCGTTCTTCCTCCTCAGCCCCACACCACAACCATCGCAGTGGGACAAGTCGCGGCCTCTCCAGGCAAGAGACATTTGACTCAGAAACCCAGGAGAGTCGAGACTCAGCCTACGTGGAGCCAAAGGAAGATTATTCCCATGACCACATGGACCACTATGCCTCACACCGTGACCACAACCACAGAGATGAGACCCATGGGAGCAGTGACCACAGACACAGGGAGTCTCGGCACCGCTGCCGGGACGCGGATCGAGAGCAGGACCACAACGAGTGCAACAAACAGCGCAGCCGTCATAAATCCAAGGATCGCTACTGTGAAAAGGATGGAGAAGTGACATCCAGAAAACGGAATGAGGCTGGGGAGTGGAACAGGGATGTTTACATCCGCCAATGACTTTTGCCCTTTTGTGTGTGTGTGTGTGTGTGTGTGTGTGTGTTTGTGTTTTTTTTTTTTAAAGTCTTTGGGGTCTACATTGCAATCATATGTGATCTGTCTTGTAATATTTTGTATTGCTGTTGCTTGAATAGCAATAGCATGAATAGAGTATTAAGACACATTTTTTTTTTCTTTTGTAAGTGCTACATAAATTGGCCTGGTATGGCTGCAGTTCTCCAGTTGTATACTGGACTCTTCAAAAACTGTTTTGGGTAGCTGCCACTTGAACAAAATCTGTTGCCACCCAGGTGATGTCAGTGTTCTAAGAAATCTAGTTGATGTATCCAACAAGCCAGAATCAGCACAGATAAAAAGTGGAAATTTCTCATTTATCCAGATTTTTAATACACAGGCACCTGATTTGCATATTCATTCATGGACCACTGTTTCTTGCTTGTACCTCTGGCTGACTAAATTTGGGAACAGATTCAGTCTTGCCTTACACAAAGGGGATCATAAAGTTAGAATCTATTTTCTATGTACTAGTACTGTGTACTGTATAGACAGTTTGTAAATGTTATTTCTGCAAACACCTTCTTATATATTATATATATATATATATATATATATATCAGTTTGATCACACTATTTTAGAGTCTTAATGCCAAGTCAGCAGATTTGCTTTATGAATTACAGGGACTAGAAATGCCCACATTCAGGAAATTTGTAATAACATTGTCTAGACACCTATCCTCATTCTAGTAGAAAGTCTGTACATACTGTAAATATGTGTGATTGCTTGAATTGAAAAGGTTTGAATTCTGAATGTCATACCATCCTTGTAAGTTTGTAATTTTCACCATAAATTATGGTAAATATAAAACTCCAGAGGTGGTTGTCCTCCCTACAGTTCACACTGATTGTGACACATTCTTAGTAGCTAGTGTTTGTTCTAGTCACTGCACTGGAGTCTATGAGCCGGAACTCGCTATATGCACGTGTGTGTGTCCATATGTAAGAGTGTGCACGAGTGACTGAATGGCTGAGATAAAAGTGGAATGCTGAAGACTAGTGAAGAAACTAGAACTGATATCGAGCATTCTGCCCACCTGGCTCTGTATTTAATTGTGCTGTATGTTGCTTTAATAACTCATTAAGCAGTCAGGGAATGTGAGTAAGCTTGCTGCCAAAGGTAACTAGGAAAGCATTCATCTGCTGCCTCCTTGTTTCTGCTCCTAGAGAGTAAAAATACAGGCAATTTTACTGTGAGTGTTTCACTGGAAATGTATAATCTTTGCGTGTTAGAGTATTTGTCTGAGTAAGAAACGTTTACACAGCTTGTGGAATTATTTCGTGGGAAAATAAATTTTTATAACTTCTCCCACTTCATTTTCTAACCTTGCCTACTATTGCTGTTGTTTACCTCCCAGTTACCTATCACTCCTCCCCACCACCAACTCCAGCAGATTCACTGTCTGTCAGATCCCAAAAGTGCTTCTTAATAACCAAAGTTTCTGTTCTTCAGAAGTAATCAGGGCAAAATGGGGTGACTTAAAGTGAATAAAATGTTAGTATTATCCTACATAAGACACAGGGGAACCCTGAAGACCTTATCTCCATGCCTCAATTACACTGCTTACAATGTCATCATGCTTAAGGCCAAGACCTTTTCTGTGTCTCAAGTGTCTATTTTGTCCAATCATAACTGGATAAGATAGTATTAAGAGTGCAAGTACCTGGCACTTGAAGTTTGTCCCTGGAAAATGCCTGTCTAAAATTATCTAATTTCAGATCTGCACATTACCTTATGTAACAAAATAATCGGCCAGGTGTGGTGGACCATACCTGTAATCCCAACATTTTGGGAGGCCGAGACGGGTGGATCACCTGAGGTCAGGTGTTCAAGACCAGCCTGGCCAACATGATGAAACCCCATGTCTACTAAAATTACAACAAAGGATTAGCAGGGTGTGGTAGGCTGCACGCCTATAATCCCAGCTACACAGGATACTAAGGCAGGAGAATTGCTTGAACCCAGGAGGCAGAGGCTGCAGTGAGCCAAGATCATGCCACTGTACTCCAGCCTGGGCGACAGAATCAGACTCCCATCTCAAAACAAAAACCAACTTTTAACAAAATAATAGTTATAAAATTATCTTTGTTTTGCTTCCTTGATTACTGCAAGTTCTTGCCAAATATGCCTAGATTTTTATAAGTAAAACAGTTTTACATTTAACTCCTTATTTCCCTTACCCCCAAGAAAACTCAGTATTAAAAATGATTAAGCTGGGGTGGTAGAGTGTACCTGTAGACTCAGCTACTTGGGAGGCTGAGGCAGGAGGATCACCTGAGCCCAGGAGGTGGAGGCTACAATGAGCCATGATTGCACCACTGCACTCCAGGCTGGTGACAACCTGGTGTCTGAAAAAGAAAATAAAAATTAGCTACATATATAATGTTTTATCAGCTTATATATATAAAATTTCCCTCAATTTGTTAATTAGCTCTGTACTGTTTACATGAATTTATTTATTGAATATAAAAACAGTCTTAATGAACTTGACAATTCTTACATTGGTAGGAGACCATATTCTAATTAAAATTGCTTTTATAAAATATTCCTGATAAAACTTTTGTCATGGTAAGATATTCACAATTGCTAGTTCAATCCTTTCTTACTATTTCATCCCAATTAATGATTGCAGAATAAATTCTGGAAACATAGCTGGTATTTATCGTACTTGCTGCTATCATTAATCCTTTTCAAAGAGGAGTGGTGAGCGTTTCCATCTTTTTTATTGTGTACCTGGATTCTTAGCTTGCACTTTACTGTGGAACGTATTAGTGCAAATCAGAATATTTCTCAAAAACCTAGCCTGACGGATTAGACATAACAGCATCTATACGTGAAAACTGTTTAGTTGGCATATGTGTAAGCTGTGTAGCACATTTGTAAATGAAAAAATGATCCCAAGGGCAATGGGATATTTACTGACCTGTGGAATGTAAAATTATAATCTCTTCACACAACAAAGGCTTAATCTTAACCTACTCAGTTGTAGAACCATGATTTTTGTAGTCAACCTAGAAAATGCTGGAAATGTACTTAATAGTTCTTTTTTTTTGGTCATACCCATTCCAGTCTTTCCTATGCTCTTTCTCCACTGCTCATTTAAGTTACTGTTACAAAAAGGTGCTGCTAAATGTAGGATGTCTTAGTCACGTTGTATTTTGGGACAATGCCACATTTTTAACATGGTCTGCTATGCATTCCTGTTACGGCAACATTCACTGTCAGCTACACTGAACTGTCTAACAAACCTGGTTTAAAGTAATTCATATAAAACAAATAAAGAGCTGGCTTCTGCACTGTTTATTAGTAGTATTAATTGCCATCTTAGGAATGATTGATGTAGTTGAGACTATAGTAAATATTCACTTCCCATCTGCAGGGCATCTTTCTTTGAGTAATCTTCCTATTATGTCTGACTTTAAAAAAAAAGCTCAAGGTAGATAAAAGAGTTTTTTAAAATCTGAGCTGTAGTAGAATAATCTGGGTCCCTGATGGGTTCTGGATCAAGTGTTTAATTTCTGCTACGTTGTACTTTTAACTATGTCAACTAAAACATGACACAGGGTTTTGAAGTAAATGTACTCACTGTATTTTTTCTGTTTCATAGAAATGTTAATACTAAATATGTTAAAATACATAGTAATTTTCCCTCCCATTTCCCTGATTTTTTCACCTTCTTACTGCATTTTTTCCTAGTATTTCCATGTCCCTTAAGATAATGCGATTTTCCAATTTGCATAAGTTTTTGAAAGGTAGAAACCCACTAAAAATTGGCTATGTTTAAGGAAAAATTCTGAACAGTATTCTTTGTCTTGTTTTCATTATGTAAGTATTTTTCTTCTATTTGCTGGCATTGGTTGTATTTTGGTATCTGTTGGTATTAATCAAACATCTACATGAGTACAGGTTTGTTGCTAGGCTAATTTCCTGCGATTTTCGTCGCAGCTTAGCAAATAAGGATTTGCAGCAAGCGTGACAGAAAATGATTTTTATAGAGTTTCTTAAAACACATTTAAAGTTTAAGGAGGTATGCTGAGCCCTGAAAAGATAAGTCACACAGGGCTCTTCAGTCAAATGACATCTACAAGATATAAAACAGAATGAGGGATGTAAGAGAGAGACATGCTTGCTTGCTTGAAGTAATTTTTCTCTCAAACAATAAGTATCTACTGACTGCTCTGAAGCTGTGATGGCGAGAAAAAGCAGGACAGGGTCTCTGCCTGGAGGATGTTTTTCAAGTGTGGGGGTGAGGCTTCAGCGGCACGGCTAGAAAAGTTGAATCAGTACAAAAATTAGCTGGGCATGGTGGCGTGTGCCTGTAATCCCAGCTACTCAGGAGGCTGAGGTAAAAAAAAAAAAAAAAAAAGAAAAGTTGAATCAGAGTGCGGTAAGTGCCAAGAGAACATTAGATGTGGCTGCTAGGGGCAGAGAGAAGGGGAGCAATACCTATCCAACCTCAGGGAAGGGTATTCAAGAAAGACTTCTTTAAAGAAGAGGCCATCTAAAGGTCTTACCTGATCCAAGAGACCTTGCAATCCTTATGGATACAATAAATAGTTATGAGAAAGTCCTAGAGAAAACCTGTGAGGGGGGAAAAAATCAAACTGTTAGGCAATTGTCCACTTCCTATACCCAAGGTCTGATAACTTTTGGGTGATCTGACTGAAAGCTAACAGTATGATGGATTTACCACCACATGAGACAGCCTTAAAACTATGGCTGGGTACTGAGTATTCTGATTGATCTAAAAAGCCAACAGAAAAGCAAAATCCTAAGGCTGTAGTTAATTTTTTTTTAAAAAGCAGGCTGGGTACAGTGGCTAACATCTGTAATCCCAGTGCTTTGAAAGGCAAAGGTAGGGGGACTGCTTCAGGCCAGGCGTTCAAGACCAGCTTGAGTAACACAGCAAGATCCCATCTCTTAAAAAAAAAAAAAAAAAAAATTAGCCAAGCATCCTGTGTTGTCCTAGCTACATGGGAGGCTGAGGCAGCAAGACTAATTCAGCCCAGGAGTTTGAGGTTGCAGTGAGCTATGAAATCATGCCACTGCACTCCAGCCTGGGTGGCAGAGCAAGACCTTGTCTTTAAAAAGTAAAATTAAATTGAAAAGCAGTCACTTACATTGGCCACTACAGTGGGATGCTTGGGTATTTTTGCAGTTCGAAGGATGATCTGTTTTTTTGTCTGAGTTCAGACTTGACTGTGGTCTTTTTTGTCTGGATCTATGATAGGTACAGCTGCCTTGTCTAATGTTGGTGTTAAGTGAAATGTTTATGTTCAACAGGAGAACACAAAGCCCAGCTACAAGGGTCAGACCAGGCCACTTCCCAGGGCCAGAGCTGGCTTTTTCTTTCTCACCAAGCAGTTTCTAATAACTTATATGTTTCAAATACGTAAGTTACCCACACTGCAAAATAATCTCATTTTCTAAATTACAAAGTAAATACTCATTTTACTTTAAGATTATAAAAAACATTATAGTCTATCATTTTAGACTATGATAGTCTAGCACACTATCATTTAGAGGAGGCCCAGACATCATTTCAAAGGGGTTGACTTACCAAATAAGCAGATAGAAAGTCAGGTAAAATATTTACCTCCATTATTGACACATAGTAAATGTTTTATTTTTCATGCCCTGAGATCTTAAGAAACTACTATTTAGGATCCTGGGAACAAAAACGACTTTTCATAACCACATCAAATATTGCTAATTTATTCCTTTTGTTAGATTCACTAATTTTTAACATTAAAAATGGCTTATATTCTTTACAAATTAAAACCATTAGAACACAAATGAAAATATGCTCCAGACATCTACAGGTTTCTCCTTTTCCTTATACTCTACTTAATACATGAAAAAATTCTTTTAAAAATAAAAAATACAGTCTCATACCACCCTCTACTTCCTCTATGTCTCTGGATCCCTGGTAAAACAGCTGGCAGCCTTTTCTGTTTCCTTAGCAACCACGTCATCATTCAGTTGGTCTGACAACACTTTGGTTTAAAAAAAAAACAAAACCACAGACAGCAAATGTTTGGAATTTTCATTTCTGAGGATCCATCCTCTCCTAAGTGCTTTTGCATTTTACAAATTTTGCAATAAAAAAACCTATAGAGTCCTTATTAGCCAGCTGCAACATGTCTTCTCTTCTGGTCTCTCTCAGAGAGTCTACATCAGTGTTTGGTAATGGCACAGCCGATGGATCAAATCGCTGCAGCTGTTTCAATTGTTCACAAGAGAGGCCAGCTCCCCTCATTCCTTCTCCTCCAATCTGTGGTTCCTGTTTGGAGAAAGTCAATCAATATGGATGAACATCCTGTAATTAGCAAGTATGCCTGCTACAATTTAAGTTAAAAGACAAATTGAGTTGCAAGGACTACAGCTTCCAAAAACATAAAAATGAGTAAATGCCTTTTATTCTGGTAGAAAATACGTGCTGCTTTCTAGACAGTAAAGTGGGAAAGCAATACTATGTGTCACCTGATGAACAAATACCCTGTTACATGATTATCAAGCACTGTGACATTACCAAAGGCCTGTGCTTAGTAGCTGGAAACACGTGGACTCAAACTGCAGCTCTATCACATTTTAGCTGTGTGACTTTAGGTACCTTTACCTAACCACATTTCCTCATCTATTAAACAAGGCTTAAGTGAAGAAGGTGGTATCATACTTGGTATATAGTGGGCACTCAGTAAATTGAACATTATCATCAATAAAGCAGCAGAGGTCAGGCACAGTGGTTCACACCTGTAATCCCAGCATTTAGGCAGGCAGATCACCTGAGGTCAGGAGTTCCAGACCAGCCTGGGCAAGATGGTAACCCCCTTCTCTACTAAAAATTCAAAAAATTAGCCGGGCATGGTGGTGCACGTGTGTAACCCCAGCTACTCAGGAGGCTGAGGCATGAGAATTGCTTGAACCCAGGAGGCAAAGGTTGCAGTGAACCAAGATCGTACCTGGGTGATCCAGCCTGGGTGACAGAGCGACACTGTCTCAAAAAATGAAAGAAAAGAAAAGAGAAGGAAGGGACAGGGGAGCAGAAGGGGGAGAGGGAGGGAAAGAAGGAAAAGAAAAACAAAAGAAAACAACAAATAAAATTCAGCTAAGAAAAAGTAAAGAAAGCAACAGGTAAAATTCAGCTTTAACATTTTCCATAACTGAAAGGTGGTCTTTAGGCGTCTAGGGTACCTCTCTCTGACCCATACTAATTGGATGATAAAAGTTTTCTTTTTCTCATTTTTTCATGTACTAGAAAAACAAACATTAGAAAGGGATACATAATTTAAGGCTGTATCAATTAGTTTAGAGGAATCATAAGGCCTTGAGTAATACTTGCAAACTACTGAAGAAGATCTATAATCCTAACTTAAGTCACCATTTTGCAGACAATTATTCGTATGTTAATGAAGATAGTTTTTCAGAGATACTTAAGAAAACAGATCATTTCTTATCCCATGGGGTCTGGGCAAAACTTCCCATATCTTTTAGGTACATATTTTGAGTATGTGTGTATATTTCCAAGTGAATTCAGAAGTCTTCCTTTCATCTACAATGTAATTATCTTAATTTCTGAGTCTGGAAACCATCTTTGAATTGTTTTTATTTATGTATTCTCATTACCTAATTTCTGTATAGAAAGGTACTAAAATTAGATGTTCAATGTATCTGAATGTGAGAAAGCACTATTACAGATTTAAACTTAATCCCAAGGCCGGGCGCGGTGGCTCAAGCTTGTAATCCCAGCACTTTGGGAGGCCGAGGCGGGTGGATCACGAGGTCGAGAGATCAAGACCATCCTGGTCAACATGGTGTAACCCCGTCTCTACTAAAAATACTAAAAATTAGCTGGGCATGGTGGCGTGTGCCTGTAATCCCACCTACTCAGGAGGCTGAGGCAGGAGAATTGCCTGAACCCAGGAGGCGGAGGTTGCGGTGAGCCGAGATCGCGCCATTGCACTCCAGCCTGGGTAACAAGAGCGAAACTCCGTCTCAAAAAAAAAAAAAAAGAAAAAAAAAACTTAATCCCAAATGCTTTTCTAATAAAGACCATAACAAAGTTGCCGGGCACATTGGCTCATGCCTGTAATCCCACCACTTTGGGAGGCCAAGGTGGGCAGATCACGAGGTCAAGAGATCAAGACCATCCTGGCCAACATGGTGAAACCCTGTCTCTATAATAAAATACAAAAATTAGCTGGGCATGGTGGTGCGCACCTGTAGTCCCAACTACTCGGGAGGCTGAGGCAAGAGAATTGCTCACTGCAAGATCACGCTAGTGCACTCCAGCCTGACACATCGTGACAGAGCAAGATTCTGTCCCCAAAACAAAAACAAAAACAAAACCGTAACAAAGTTACAGTGTGTTAGGCAAAAGAAAGTACAAAAAAGCTTTTTAAATATTATGCATTTTATATAATAAGCAATCATTCTGGAAGCACTTTTTTCCCTTTAGGCTGGTCTTCTGATACCGCACAGTTGTGAAAGCTCATTTGAGCTTTGATGTGACATGAGAGAAAATGCTCAACATGTTCCACATCAGAGAAATACAGGATTGGGAAGGAAGAAAAAAATCTTTTTAGAAGATAGGTGCTGAGTAACATGAACAGCTACAAGTGGAGTAAACACTTAACAAAAATACTCCCAAGCTCTGTGCCATTTTAACACAATGGCAAGAAACAAAGAAAAGAAAACACTTTGTCAGGACATACAAATTATGGGCAGTCTAAAATGGATCTAATTAGACAAGCATTCTCATGTGTTACAGTGTTCATTTTGGAAATATTATTTATTTCTTCATTAACACCCTGTGTTTACCACCATGCTTCGGTTTCTGTGATTTATCTTGTTACACAGAGAAAAATGAAATTACTCCTACCTGGGGCTGAAGCTGAAGACAAGGAAATTTTGTGAGGGCCCAGGCAACTTGCTCTTCATTTTCAGCCAGTGTTATGGTGCATGTGCTATAAACCAGCACACCTCCTGGCTTCAGCAGCTGAACTGCCTAAAGAAAACTGTGATCAGACCACACACAGCACAAGACCAAATAAACATCTGAATGAATTTCATAGCATAAGGTGTATCTTTCAAGTGTTTGGGATAAATAAAATGATGTTCTAGGTGACAAGGATTTCTTCTGTAATTATAGTACACAAGAGCAATACTTGCATCCAGACTAGATGCACTGCGTTATCTCGGAGCTGTCATACTCCATATGCACCAAGACTTCCCCAAATACATTCATTCACCTTCATGCCTTTAGATACTTTTCTTTTTAGGCTGAAAATTCACTAATTTATATTTTTTGGCCAGACCTCCTTATTAAATTTCCTACTTAAACATTCAGTTGCTTTCTTAACATTTTTTATTCTCATTTTTTTTAAAAATAGAGATGAAGTCTCACTGTTGTCCAGGCTTGTCTTCAACTCCTGGCCTCAAGCGATCCTCCCACCTTGGCCTTCCAAAGTGCTAGGATTGTAGGCATGAGCTACGAGCCTGGCCTTTCTCAACGTTTCTATAATATTATCAAACTTCACATATCCCCAAATGAACTCGTATTTTCCCTCTGAAATCTACTGCAGAAGTCTTCATATCTTTCCAGAATCTCAGGTCCCAAATCTCAGATTATCCTTTATGCCTCTTTTTCTGACTTCCCAACCATCAGCAAATTCTATTGGCTCTACCTTCAAATTATCCCCAGAATCTGGCCACTTCTCACCACTTCCACTGCTAACACTGTGGTCCAAGCCTCCACCTTTTTTCTAGATTATTGCAACCATCTCCCACTTTGTCAGCCTGCTTTCTTCCCTGCCCTCCTGCAATCTACTCTCAGTACAGCAGCCAAAGCAGTCCTTTTAAGCTTGTCCCTTCTCAGCCTCAAGCCCCTCACATGTCTTCCATGATCACTTAGAGTCAAAGACAAAGTCCTTACAGAGGCCTTTGAGGCCAGACTTAAACAAGTCTCTTGTTGGCTCTCTGACCTCCTCTTGTACACCTCTTACCCTGGCTCATTCTACTTCGGCAACAGCAGTCTCCTGCTGTTTCTGGAATACACAAGGCACGTTCGCACCTCAGAATCTTTGCAGCAGCTGGAAAAGCTCTCTTAATTCTCTATACTGCTTACTCTTTATCTTTGCGTGTATGTCACGTTCCCGACCACTCTGTAAAATTGTAACTACTCCAATCTAACACTCCCATTCCCACCTTCCTTTAGCTTGCTCCATAGGGCCACAGCATTACTGCCTTCTAATATACTATAAAATTCATTTATGGCCGGGCGTGGTGGCTCACGCCCATAATCCCAACACTTTGGGAAGCCGAGGCAGGCAGATCACGAGGTCCAGAGATCAAGACTATACTGGCCAACATGGCACATGCCTGTAGTCCTAGCTACTTGAGAGGCTGAAGCAGGAGAATCGCTTGAACCCGGGAGGCAGAGGTTGCAGTGAGCCGAGATCGCGCCAGGGCACTCTAGCCTGGGAGGCAGAGCGAGACTCCATCTCAAAAACAAACAAAAAACAAAAAACCAAAAACAAAAACTCATTTATTTCCTCCCCTGGTTAGAACAGAAACCTCATTAATAAGGGCGTAGAGTGTTTGTCTACTTTCTCACAGCTGTACTGTCAACATCTAGAATAGTGCCTTGCATATAGCAGGTGCTCTATGAATATTTTTTGAATAAATGAATCAGGAGACAAGGTGCTACGTTAAAATGGATTTGTCTCAAATACCTAAAGTTCAACTTTTTAAGCTCCTAATTTTTCAAATTTTAATGGAAATCTTGAAAAACAGAGTATACACACTTGGGCTTTTTAAGCCAGAGTACACTGACCAAAATTTAAACTTTGTTATTATGTGCCACTTACTGTACTTTACATGAATTCTCCACAAATCCTTTTAACAACCACAAAGCGAGGTGACTATCACCAATGAAGTATTCCTAGTAGGTACAGGTGTTACCGCCACTACTCACATACAGAAAGCAATGTACCTAAAGTCCCTTATGTTATGCCTTATGTGGCACAGCCATGGCTCAAGTCAACATGTGTCTGACTCTAACGTCCACATTCTCAATTTCTCTCCATGCCAAATGGCACACCTGCTATATTCTCAAGACCTCTCTCACATACTGTCAGCTTTTCCTTCTCATTGAGATCTTTCATCTACTCCTAGTAGCCTTTTAAAATTTTTTGCTATGACCTAAAAAGAACAAAAATCCAAGTCCTTTATAGAAGTATCCTAATTTTATTCTCAAGTCAAAGTGGGTTTCGGCTATAAGTAAAGCTTGCTTTTTGCTGCTTGCTGTTTTAATTCAGAGGATGTGTTCTTTGAAGACTTTATAAAAAAAGAAGTTAAGTAATCCACAACCAGCGCTACCTTTGTGTATGAAAGGAAACACCAGCAGAGTTGAACAGGAATGTACTCAAAGACAACTTTAGAGACTAAATAATTATAGAACATCCATTGTTGTTGTAGCCTTGTATTTTGGAGGGATGGGGGGAAATAATGAATTCATCTATGATCAAACACTGTCTATACTCTCTGAAATCCACTGAGTCATTTTCGCAAGACTAGAAGAAATCCTCAAAATGTTCTATCAGGGCTTCTTCTCAAAGTACTGGAGACAAGTTAAATTGGTAGTTTTTATGGTTCTCCTATATCCTACAGTGGCCACTGTCTCTTCCTGCTTTTTTCAATGAGTTTTGCTTCCTATTGGACTTTCTTCCTCTAAAGATGACCCAAGAAACTTTTTTTTGTTTGTTTTTGAGACAGTCTTGCTCTTTTTGCCCAGGCTGGAGTGCAGTAGTGTGACCTAAGGTCACTGCAACCTCCACTTCCCGAGTTCTAGTGATTCTCCTGCCTCAGCCTCCTGAGTAGCTGGGACTACAGGCACACACCACCATGCCTGGCTAATTTTTTGCGTTTTTAGTAGAGACGGGTTTTGCCATGTTGGCCAGACTGGTCTCAAACTCCTGAGTGATCTGGCCCCCTCAGCCTATCAACGTGCTGGGATTACAGGCGCAAGCCACCACACCCGGCCAAGAACTCTATTTTTTTTAAAAAGAGTAATTTATTTTATATCTAATTGTTGATATCAATTAGTAACTAGAAGTTAACAACTCAGTGACCTTTTTTCAAATAGGGCAGAATATTTGAAATTTATTAAATGTCTCAGTGAAGGAATTCTACTATTGCCTGTATATCTTAAAAGTCAGTCCACTTAAGGGAAACCTTCCTATATTTAAAACTAGGTCCTCTTAGTTATATGTGTGCGTATGTGTGTGTGTGCGTGTGTGTAGTAAAATATACGTAACATAAAATTTACCATTTTAAGTCAATAATGACATTCAGTACAGTCACATTGCTGGGCAACAATCACCACTATCCATCTCCAGAAGCTTTTCATTATCCCAAACTGCAAGTGTGTACCCATTAAACAACAACTCCTCAATCTCCCAGCCCCACAATGTCTGGTAATATCTATTCTTCTGTCTCTATGAAGTTGCCCAATGCTATAAGCAAAATCATATAGCATTTTTCCTTTTGTGTGTGGTTCATGTTACCAAATATAATGTGTTCCAGGTTCACCCATGTTGTGCATGTATCAGAATCTCATTACCTTTGAAGGCTGAATAATGTTCTATGTATGGATGTAGCACATTCTGTTCATCCATGTATCTGTCAACAGACTCTTGGGTTGTTCCCATTCATCACAATACTCTTGGGTATTATAACGAATGCTGCTATGAAGATTGCTCTTAGTGGTTTAAACATCAAACTAGCAAAAGTCAACTTTCTTTCACAGCAACAGACCATCACATACCGCAGTGAAGAGTTTTCGCTGTAATGGCTGATATGATGTCACTTCCTTCAAAGACCAAGTACAGGCCATGTTTGGTCTCTGTCCCATTCCACTACAGGGTGCATCCAGAAGAATTCGGTCAAAGGTTTCTGGCAGAAACGGAGGTTCCCCTATAAAGACAATTATAAACTTGTTTAGTATATGCCATACAGGTTAAGACTAGAAAATTCCTGAGATAATTAGGAATTAAAAATCATCATCTAGAATTAAAAAAAAAAATTTCTCCCTTTAATCATGTAGCTGGTTAATTCTGACTTATACCTAATATATATTTGATGTGATAGAAAGGTTAAAAATGTAGTTATAGTTGGGAGTTACTCTGTTGATACAGTACAAACCAAGGCCTAATCACACAAGACCTTGTACCATAAACTTCTGAAGCCACAGTTAATCAAAGCTAGGACATGGAATTAATTCTAGTGGTTCTGGAAATGGATACTTCTCTTGGTGATTCCTATTGAAGGCAGCTGCAGAGAAAAAGCCTGTTCGGTTGTAGGGAAACACACTGGTTCTGGTGTTCTTCAGTCTCCTTAGTTTCTGTGGCCATCAGAATGGCTATGGTCTAGAATGGGTAGAATGAATCAGTACCCCCTGTTGATTCAATCTTCCACCAAGTTTTCCTTTGCATTCACCTGAATAATTTTCTTCAAATTCTGACCTATTTAATGTTACTGGAGGAAGTTGTGAAATTAAGTGGTCTGCTTACATATTTATGCTATCTACCTGCAAGCAAGATATTGTTCCTGATTTATCTACTTACTTACTTTTGAGACAGAGGCTCACCCTCTCACCTTCTAGGCTGAAGTGCAGTGGCGTGAACTCGGCTCTCTGTAACCTCTGCCTCCCAGGTTCAAGTGATTCTCATTCTCCAGCCTCCTGAGTAGCTGGGACTACAGGCATGTGACACCATACCCAGCTAATTTCTGTATTGTTTAGCAGAGATGGGGTTTCCATGTTGGCCAGGTTGATCTCGAAGTCCTGGCCTCAAGTGAGGCCCACCCACCTCAGCCTCCCCAAGTATGGCTGCTTATATTTAAAGGTGGTTAGTATTCTGCAGGACTGGCAGCAACATTACAAACCTCACTCCAAGGTCACCTTCTGCTTTTCTCTGATTGCAAAGCTGTTAAATGGAAGTGATTACCAATCAAACTCACCTCTGTCTGTAACCATCTTTGCTTTCTTACCTACTGTCTTAGAAGAAATTCTTTTCAAAGTAAGCAATTATTTTTAAGGTCTGTGACCCGCCTTGGCCTCCCAAAGTGCTGGGATTACAGGCGTAAGCCACTGCACCCAACCAGATTTTTTTACACACATAAATATTGACTATTAAATCTATCTGTTGTTGCAATCTATTATCTTTGCTTTCATGTGTTAAAAATCTTCCCTCCTATAATATCAATACTCATCTATATCTGCCTCCAGTTATTCTCAGTTTAAACTCTTGATACTATTTAAGCCATCTTGAGCTTACTTTTGTATATGGTCCTTTTCCCTCTGCCTCTTCGTGTGCACGTGTAAGCCCACTTGCCCAACTCCTGAGATCTTATTAGAAAGCTAATCACCAGATTTGGTTTTTTTCTGTCTTTTGGGAGACTGCCTTTCCCTGGCACTGGCTGCGACCAATGATTATTTTAAAGACAGTTAACAAACACCCGACCATCACCTGATGCTTGCTTGACATTCCTGATACTGGGGGCTCTCTCCTGCCCTGTTTCTGTCTGACTAGCTACCTAATGTAACAAACTAACTTTATTTAGCGGGGAATTTTCAGAATTTTCAGCGTCAGCACACTCGAAAATAATAGAGACTGTGGTGATGAGCAATTAAGAGGAGGCTGGGAGCACCATGAAAATCAGCAGCTAAACCAAAGAGAAGAGAAGTTGATGAAAGAATCAAGGTGTGAGACAGTGAGAAGAGCCTTCTGGGTTGGGAAAAACCTCAAAGTCTGGTCAAAAAGATTACCTATGCCAAGGCTCTCATATTCATTGGATCAGATGATGGGACTACTTATGTCCCAGAGCACTGTTGAAAAGAGTAAAGCAATCAGTCTGCAATTTTGGAGGGCAACAGTGTTTTGTAATACCGGAAGCACACAGTTTAACACACAGAGCAGAGAAAGACACAAAGCCCTGCTAAAACTAAAACCACTGTGATCCCAGGATTACTGTGCCCATATCAAAAAAAAAGCTGCTGAGGAGTGACATCTCAGCTGCACATGCTGAAAAAATACACTTTACTAAAAGAGTCCAGCCACAATGCTAAACAAATAAGCAAACAATGGCAACAAGCCTGGGGAGGAGATGAATTAGCATTCAAGGTGTTGTTACAATGTATTACCTAAAATGTCCAGTTTTGAGCCAAAAAAAGAAAAATATATGAGATATGGAAAGAGAAAGGACAGTGTGACCCATTGGTAGGGAAAAAAAAAAAAGCAGTGAACAAAGCAAACTGATCGAGTTTAGCTGCCAGACTTAGTAGGCAAAAACTTTAAAGCAACCAATAAAAATATGTTTAAAGAATTAAAGGAAAGGAAAACATGCTTTAAAAAGTAAAGGAAAATATGATCATCGTGCTTCATAAAATAGAGAATTTCAATAGAGAGAAATTAATTTTTAAAAAAGGAAATCAAAATGTTGAAAATACCGTATCTTTAAAAAAAAGAAAACCACTAGAGGGGCTCAACCAGAGTTAAGCTGACAGGAAAAAATATATATACTTTAAGACAGCTGAATATAGATTATGTAATCTTGTAATCGAGTACCTGCATTTTTCTAAGAAAAAGGAATGAATTACTATTTTTTAAATTATTTTCTGTTCTCTTCTCCCCTTTTCCCATTCCCTGTTTGTTTCCTACTTAGCCCTTCAAAAATGCAAATTTCACCTTTTACATACTGTCCCCTCACCAGATATTCCCTGCAGGGAAAGTTCTTCTAACTAAGCCTCCAAGACAGATCTCTCCTTGAGAACTGACAGTCAAGTAGTAGATCAAACAATACTGGCCAGGGAACTTTCACTTCGAAGGGGTGGTCTTGAAACTTCCACCCTCTAGGGATTGTAGCTCTTGTAGGGAGTAGGGGGAAACTTTCATCCACCTCGAAGGGGTGGTCTTGAAACTTCCACCCTCTAGGGATTGTAGCTCTTGTAGGGAGTAGGGGGAAACTTTCATCCACCAGTAAGACATATTGAAATCATGCCTGCTTGGCCACAACTTGTTTCTGCCCAGGAAGGTGCCAGTTCAACTGTCTGTTAGATTATGCACCAGATAGCAGTGGGACCCCTGCCCTTGTTCACTTCCCCACTTAACTTATAAAAAAGTGTCTGCTTTCTGCTCCAAAGGTGAAGCAGCACATACAAAGGCAGGATGCTTTGTGCCTCATTACCTAAGCTAGCTTTGGAATAAACCATTTTCCTTTTACCAGACCTCACTCTTGTTAATTGGACTCTAAATGTGGCATGCAACTAACCTGCTTTTTGGTTACAATCTGAGGGTCAGAAAGAAATAAAAATCAACATCAACTTCAGAGAAATGTGTGATATTATTAAGACAACGTAAGCATTATTAAGACAACGTAGGTAGTCCCAAAAGGAAAGAAAGAAAAAAGGCAGGAAAATATTCAAAAAATTATAGCTGAAAATAATCCACATTTGATGACAATCAAGCTATGCATCGAAAAAGAACAACTAACTCTGAGTTGGACAAATGCGAAAAGATCCACAACCAGATACATCATCATAAAAATGTTGAAAGTCAAAAGCAAAGAGAAAATGTTAAAGGCAGCAAGAGAATAACCACTTGTCATGTACTAGGGAAGTGTAAAAGATTAGCAGTTGGCTGTTAATCAGGAACAATGGAGGCCAAAAGATGGTAACATGACATATACGAAGTACAAAAAGAAAAAAAAACCCTGTCAACCAAGAATTTAATATTCAGTAAAACTATCTTTAAAAAATAAAGACCGCCGGGCGCGGTGGCTCAAGCCTATAATCCCAGCACTTTGGGAGGCTGAGGCGGGTGGATCACGAGGTCGAGAGATCGAGACCATCCTGGTCAACATGGTGAAACCCTGTCTCTACTAAAAATACAAAAAATTAGCTGGGCATGGTGGCACGTGCCTGTAATCCCAGCTACTCAGGAGGCTGAGGCAGGAGAATTGCCTGAGCCCAGGAGGCGGAGGTTGCGGTGAGCCGAGATCGCGCCATTGCACTCCAGCCTGGGTAACAAGAGCGAAACTCCGTCTCAAAAAAAAATAAATAAATAAAATAAAGACCTATTTCAAAATAGGTCTTTCAAAAATACAGACCTATTAAAAAAAGACAAAGGACCTAAAACACATTTCTCCAATGAAGACATACAAATGCCAACAGGTATATGAAAAAATGCCCAACATCACTAATTATCAGAAATGCAAATGAAAACCACCATCACCTTACGCCAGTTAAAATGGCTATCTCACACACACACACACACACACACACACACACACATACACACACTAATAAATGCAGGCAAGGATGCAGAGAAAAGCAAACTCCATAGGAAAGGAGAATGCTCCTGCACTACTGGTGAGAATTTAAATTACTAGAGCCACTGTGGAGAACAGTATTGAGGTTCTTCAAAAAACTAAAAATAGAACTCCTGTATTATCTGGCAATCCTACTACTGGGTATACAGACAAAGGAACGGAAATCAGTCTGTCGAAGAGAGATCTGCATTCTCATTTTACTGCAGCATTATTCCCAACAGTAAAGGTATGAAACCCATCAAGAAAGGAATGGATAAGGCCGGGCGCGGTGGCTCAAGCCTGTAATCCCAGCACTTTGGGAGGCCGAGGCGGGTGGATCACGAGGTCGAGAGATCGAGACCATCCTGGTCAACATGGTGAAACCCCGTCTCTACTAAAAATACAAAAAATTAGCTGGGCATGGTGGCACGTGCCTGTAATCCCAGCTACTCAGGAGGCTGAGGCAGGAGAATTGCCTGAGCCCAGGAGGCGGAGGTTGCGGTGAGCCGAGATCGCGCCATTGCACTCCAGTCCTGGGTAACAAGAGCGAAACTCCGTCTCAAAAAAAAAAAAAAAAAAAAAAAAAAAGAAAGGAATGGATAAAGAAAATGTGGTACATATACACAATGGAATACCTTAGAAAAAAAAAAAAGAAATTCTGTCATCTGCAACAAAATGGATGAACCTGGAAGACACCATATTATGCTAAGTGAAATAAGCCAGGCAGTGAGGGATAAACAAACATTACATGAGCTCACTTAAGTGGCGAATCTAAAAAGGTCAAACTCAACAGATACAGTGTAGAATAATAGTTACCAGAGGCTGGGGGAAGAGGAAGGAGAAAGGAATGGGGAGATGCTGTTCAAAGGGCACAAAGTTTCAATTAGACAGCAGGAATAAGTTTTTGAGATTTACTGCACAGTATGGTGACTATACCAATGTATTTTATATTTCAAAGCTGCTAAAAGAGTAAAATTTCAAATTACCACAAAAAAAGGGTTAAGTACACTGATGGATATGTTAATTAGCTTATTTTCATCATTCCACATTGTATACAAAATTATATACATGTCACATCATCACACTGCATCCCACAAATATATATGATTTGTCAATTAAAAAAAAAGAAAACCAAATTTCTCACCTTCTGTGTCCACCATATCAAGCTTAACTGCCTTTGTTCCGTCAAAGCAGAATGCCCTGATGGAATTCAGTCCTAACAATAATGCATTTTGCTTTATTTTTTCTACTTTGTTGAAGATTTTATCTAGTGCTATGACTTCTCCCTAAAAAGAAAACAGACACATCAAAAAATTATAAATCCAAAGCAGTCATAAAAATGAGAAAAACAGACGAAAAATTATACTCTTTACCACTATCCTCCCATCCCCACTTTAAAACCTGAATCCATTAACCAAATGTATATCCAATTTACATTAAATACCATGTCTTTACATTAAATATCATGTCTTTACATTAAGAAAATACACATTCTTGCCAGAAAATTAATTTTTTTTTTTTTTTTTTTTTTGAGACAGAGTTTCGCTCCTGTTGCCCAGGCTGGAGTGCAATGGTGCCATCTCAGCTTACCTCAACCTCCACCTCGTGGGTTCAAGCGATTCTCCTGCCTCAGCCTCCCGAGTAGCTGGGATTACAGGCATGTGTCACCACGTCCAGGCTAATTTTTTTGCATTTTTAGTAGAGATGGGGTTTCTCCACATTGGTCAGGCTAGTCTCGAACTCCCGACCTCAGGTGATCCGCCTGCCTCGGCCTTCCAAAGTGCTGGGATTACAGAAATGAGCCACTGTCCCCAGCTTAAAAAAATAATCTTATAATGACTAGCTACTTTTAATCAACAAAACTCAAAACCAAAAAGTATTTACAATCTTACAAAGAAACTTAAAAACATCCATTGGAGGCAAACATTAAAAATCACCAATTTGATGTCCCTTGTTCACCTCTGGAAGAACATCAGCTAATGCTGTTACAGCGGCCTTAAACTGCTTTGAGACAGGCAGATGCAAATGAATGTTACTTGTAAAAGGGTCATTTTAACACCTTCCAGCTAGCCACATAAAATTCCTACAAATTCTGGCAGTCAGAACTGGAAAAATATGAGCCAAAACCTCTATATAGCATAGCAAAACGTTCTGGTGTGGTATAAAACATAGTTTAAGAAAATTTTATAGAGTAACACTTTGTTTAAGTCAAAGTCAATAAAGATAAGAGGTGAAAATCTGGGAGGGGCTGAAGAGAAACAGCTCTGGTCTGCAGCTCCCAGCAAGATCAACCCAGAAGGCAATGATTTCTCCATTTCCAACTGAGGTACCCAGTTCATCTAATTGAGACTGGTTAGGCAGTGGGTGCAAACCACAGAGAGTAAGCAGAAGCAGGGTGGGGCATCATTCAACCAGGAAGTGCAAGCAGTCACGGGAACTCCCTTCCCCAGCCAAGGGAAGGAATTAACTGTGCTACCCAGCCCAGGTATTACGCTTTTCCCATGGTTTTTACAATCCGCAGATCAGGATATTCCCCATGAGCCTACACCCCAAGGGCCTTCGGTTTCAAGCACAAAACTGGGCGGCCGTTTGGGCAGGCACCGAGCTACCTGCTGGAGTTTTTTCTGTACCCCAGTGGTACCTGGAACCTCAGTGAGATATAGCCATATATTCCCCTGGAAAAGGTGCTGAAGCCAGGGAGCCAAGTGGTATCACTCATCAGGTCCCACTCCCATGGAGTCCAGCAAGCTAAGAACCACTGGCTTGAAATTTTCACTGCCAGCACAGCAGTCTGGAGTTGACCTAGGATCATTGAGCTTGGTGGGCATCCACCATTACTGAGGCTTTAGTAGTCGGCTTTCCCTTGACAGTGCTAAGGAGTCTGGGAGGTTTGGACTGGGAGGAATTCACCACAGTGTAGCAAAGCAGCTGTTGCTGGACTGCTTCTCTAGATTCCTCCTCACTGGGCAGGGCATCTCTGAAGGAAAGGCAGCAGCCCCAGTCAGGGGATTACATTTAAAACTCTCCTCTCCCTAGAACAGAGCACCTGGGGGAGGGGGCTGGATGGCTGTGGGTGCAACTTCCGTGGACTTAATCTTTCCGGCCTGCAGGCACTGAAGAGAGCATCTGATCCTGACAAGGGGGATTGTCCTAGCACAGTGCACCATCTCTGTTAAGGGACAAGACTGCCTCCTCAAGTAAATCCCCAACCACTGTGCCTCAGGAATGGGAGACACCTCCCAGCAGGGGTCGACAGACACCTCATACAGGCAAGCTCCAGCTGGCATCAGGCCAGTGTCCCTATGGGACAAAGCTTCCAGGAGGAGGAGCAGGCAGCAATCTTTGCTGTTCTGCAGCCTCCACTGGTGATACCCAGGCAAACAGGGTCTGGAGTGAACCTCCAGTAAACTGCAGCAGACCTGCAGAAGAGGGGCCTGACTCAGAAGAAAAACTAATGAACGGAAAACAGTATCAACAAAAAAGACCCCCGCACAAAAATACCATCTGAAGGTCATCAGCCTCAAAGATTAAAGGTACATAAATCCATGAAGATAAGGAAAAACCAGCACAAAAATGCTAAAAATTCCAAAAACCAGAAAGCCTCTTCTCCTCCAAATGATCCCAACTCCTCTCCAGCATGGGCATCTACAAAGAAACTTAGATGCCCACACAGTAACGGTGGGAGACCTTAACACCCTACTGTTAATATTAGACAGATCAATGAGACAGAAAATAAGGATATTCAGGACTTGAACTCAGCTCTGGATCAAATGGACCTAACAGACATCTACAGAACTCTCCACCTCAAATCAACAGAATATGCATTCTTCTAAGCACCACATGGCACTTATTCTAAAATCGACCACATAATTGGAAGTAAAACACTCCTCAGCAAACGCCAAAGAATGGAAATCATAAGAGTGTCTCAGACGACAGTGCAATCAAATTAGATCTCAGGATTAACAATCTCACTCAAAATTGCACAACTACATGGAAATTGAACAAACTTCTCCTTAATAACTACTGGGTAAATAACAAAATTAAGGCAGAAATAAGAAGCTCTTTGGAACAAATGAGAACAAAGAGACAACGTACCAGAATCTCTGGGACACAGTTAAAGCAGTGTTAAAAGGGAAATTTACAGTACTAAATGCCAATATCAGAAAGCTAAAAATTGACACCTGAACATCACAAGTAAAAGAACTAGAGAAGCAAGAGCAAACGAAAGCTAGCAGAAAACAAGAAATAACTAAGAGCAGAACTGAAGGAGACAGAGACACAAAAAACCCTTCAAAAAAAAAAAAAAAAATCAATGAATTCAGGAGCGGGTTTTTTTTTTTTTTTAAAAAGATTAACAAAATAGACCATTAGCAAGACTAATACAGAAAAAAAAGACAAAAATCAACACAATAAAAAATGATAAAGGGGATATCACCACTGATGCCACAGAAATACAAACTATCATCAGAGAATAAACACCTCTATACAAATAAACTAGAAAATCCAGAAAAAATGGATAAATTATTGTACACATAAACCCTCCCAAGAATAAACCAGAAAGAGGGGAATCCCTGAATAAACCAGTAACAAGTTCTGAAACTGAGACAGTAATTAATAGCCCACCAACCAAAAAAAAGCCCAGGACCAAATGGATTCACAGCCAAATTCTACTGGAGGTACAAAGAAGAGCTGGCACCATTCCTTCTGAAATGATTCCAAACACAGAAAATGATTCCTAACTCATTTTATGAGGCCAGCATCATCTTGACACCAAAACCTGGCAGAAACACACATACACAAAAAGAAAATTTCAGGCCAAGACCCCTGATGAGCATCGATGCAAAAATCCTCACTAAAATACTGGCAAACCGGATGCAGCAATACATCAAAAAGCTTATCCACCATGGTTAAGTCAGCTTCATCCCTGGGATGCAAAATTGGTTCAGCATACACAAATCAATAAACATAATCCATCACATAAACAGAACCAATGACAAAAACCACAATTACCTCAATAGATGGAAAAAAGGCCTTCGATAAAATTCAACATCCCTTCATGTTAAGAATACTCAATAAACTAAGTATTATAGAACATCTCAAAATAATGAGAGCTATTTATGACAAACCCACAGCCAATATCATACTGAATGGGCAAAAGCTGGAAGTATTCCCTTTGAAAACCATGTCCTCTCCCATGACTCCTATTCAACATAATATTGGAAGTTCTGGCCAGGGCAAGAAACAACAGATGCTGCCGAGACTGTGGAGAAATAGGAACACTTTTACACTGTTAGTGGGAGTGTAAATTAGTTCAACCATTATGGAGGACAGTGTGGGGATTCCTCAAGGATCTAGAACTAGAAATACCATTTGACCCAGCATCCCATTACTGGGTATATACCCAAAGGGTTATAAATCATTCTACTATGAAGACACAATGCACACATGTGTATTGCAGCACTATACACAATAGCAAAGACTTGGAACCAACCTAAGTGACCATCAACAACAGACGGGAAAAACAAAATGTGGCACATATACACCATGGAATACTATGCAGCCATGAAAAAGAATGAGTTAACGTCCTTTGCAGATACATAGATGAAGCTGGAAACCATCATTCTCAGCAAACTAACACAGGAACAGAAACCCAAACACATGTTCTCACTCCTAAGTGGGAGCTGAACAATGAGAACACAGGGACACAGGGAGGGAAAAGTCACACATGGGGGCCTGTCGGGGAGTTGGGGGCAAGGGGAGAGGTAGCATTAGGACAAATATGTAATGCACATGGGGCTTAAAACCTAGATAATGGGTGGATAGGTGCAGCTAACCATGGCACATGTATACCTATGTAACAAACCTGCATGTTCTGCATGTGTATCCCAGAACTTAAAGCAAAATTTTAAAAAATAAAGAAAGAAAGATGTCAAAATTTTAAGAATGCATTGTGGGTCGGGAGCAGTGGCTCACACCTGTAATCGTAGTACTTTGGGAGGCTGGGACAGGCACCTCACTTGAGGCCAAGAGTTCAAAATCAGACTGGCCAACACAGTGAAACCTCCTACTAAAATTAGTACAAAAATTAGTCAGGAGTGGTAGCAAACACCTGTAATCCCAGCTACTCAAGAGGATGAGGCATGAGAATCACCTGAACCTGGGATGCAGAAGTTGCAGTAAGCCAAGCCTGCACCACAAAGCAAGACTCTGCCTCAAAAAAAAAAAAAAAAAAAAAAGAGAGAGAATGCGTTGTGATATTCACATATTTTTAAATATACTATGAAATGAAATTGCAAAGACAGTGAAAATGACTCTTCTATATATTTTCTTGCTTTTTTTTCCCCCTTTTCTTTTATATGGTCCTTGTATGCCATATGCAGCAATGGCATAGCCTACAATGCAGAAAATGTGTAAATATTCCTCAAATGCCACCAGGTTGAGTGATAGACACTTTCAATTAATACTGTGACAAACAGGAAAACCATTTAAAGTGAGGTGAACTAGGAAAGCAGTCAACAACTAGAATAAGGGTCAAATGTATTGCACAGTAAAGGAGAAACTAGCTGAAGGCTACTTTTATAAAACTACAAGGCTGGAGGCTGCAGTCAAAAAAGATTTGTTTACCTACTAAAACAAATAACAAATTAAAAGCTGCAACACAATTTGGGATTCAGTTCTGGCTCAAATATTTGTATTCTGGTTGTTCATGTCTACGTTGCTGTCCCATTATAGTTGATTGCTGCCTACACAGCCTCAATTCTTCAACTTTCCACATATATTCATCCTTCACCAGAAAATCCTGCAATACCAAATATGCTGACACTCTGATCAGATTCAGCCATGTGATTTGTTTTGGCCAATAAATGGGATGACAGTAAATGTGATATAAGCAGAGATTTGTAAAAACACAATGAAAAGCGCTTGAACAGTTGCTCCTGCTCTGCTTTGCTCTCTGCCATCACCAGCCCCCAACTATTGCCCTCTGCTGGGCTACTCTGCTGGTCCTAGCCAGAGAACTTACACACTGACCAGAGGCAGGGCATCCCAGCTGTCTCAGCTGAGGCCACTTTAGCTGAGCCAACAATTATCCAAGTCTAAGTGAATGGGCCCACCCAAGATCATCAGAAATGCCTAGTTCACCTGCAGCTGACTAGTACATGAGTGAGCCCAGCAGAGATCAGCTGAATCCCATAGACTCACGAGACCCCAAAATGTATGCCACCAAAATTTTGTGCCTTTACATATTATAAAACCAATAGAAAACTGAATATCCAGACTCCCTTTGGAAAGCCTTTTTTTACTGAGAGAAAGTCAAATCTCTACGAATAATTATCTTTAAGCAAATACAATAAATACACCATAAATTAAATGAGAATTAAAACTTTCTCAAAACCTATCACGATCAAACTTAAATCTTCCATATAAACTGAAAAAAGATCTGCATTAAACATTACAACTGGCCGGGCGCGGTGGCTCAAGCCTGTAATCCCAGCACTTTGGGAGGCCGAGGCGGGTGGATCACGAGGTCAAGAGATCGAGACCATCCTGGTCAATATGGTGAAACCCCGTCTCTACTAAAAATACAAAAAAGTAGCTGGGCATGGTGGCACATGCCTGTAATCCGAGCTACTCAGGAGGCTGAGGCAGGAGAATTGCCTGAACCCAGGAGGCGGAGGTTGCAGTGAGCCGAGATCGCACCATTGCACTCCAGCCTGGGTAACAAGAGCGAAACTCTGTCTCAAAAAAAAAACAAAAAAACAAAAAAACATTACAACTCCACAAAACGAACTCTTATTTCAGATGCTTTATTTTATGCACTAGTGGTATTTAATAAATTTTCCCTCAAGAGTTTTTACCACTTTAAATTCTTTTGAGGCAGAGAGGAATATAAATAAGCAGACAAGTATATTCTCTCTAAGGGTATTAAATTCCTGAAAATTTAAACAACAAATATCCTTTGCTCTTTTTTGATTCTCATTTTCAGCATTTAAAAAACATCCTTTTCTATTAGAGATATTTCTTAGACCAAAATAACTTTAAATAGTAAATATTCTAAATGTATGTGTCTATCTTTACGTATTATAGAACTATGTGTATATATATCTTAACATATACACATTTCACACTTTGATAATGTACTGTGAAATTAGTTTTTAATGGCAAAATATACTTTAATCGTTTAAACTACAAAATCTTAAAATTAGGAATATGAAATAATAGCTAAATGTATTAAATTTTATAACAGAAGTAGTCTATAATCTTATTAGCAAACTGTAAAATTCAAGGTCTTGAGACAGTCTTCATAAATGATCATTGTCTACTGAGCTTAATATGTGGTGACTGACATCACTGAATAGTTTTCATTTTGGCTGAATCTGAAATAGACTGTGAATGGCTGTGTTTCAGAACTTACACATTGTTCCACCTTCACTACTGAAATGTATACTGCTTTGAAAGTGGTTTTGCTGTGAAGACAGTCTCACCTGATCATGCATTAGTGCTGCAATGTGTGTTGTTTTGCCTCCAGGTGCTGCACACAAGTCTAGAATCTTCTCTCCAGGCTGAGGATTTAGAACATGAGTTACTACAGCAGATGGCAAATTCTGTAAGGAAAAAAAAATGTTATTAATTATGAATAATCGTAAACCATTTTTGAGAACCAGAGAATGTAAAGAAGCCTCTGGGTTGAATCCACTATACAGCATCCCCAAGTCTGCCAAGAGGATAGTTTTTATAAATATACTGAGGAAATTCACAATTTCCTTGACTATCCCATGATCTCCCAGGACTGACACACAAACCACCTATGAAAGAACACAAAACGTACCTCATTTATAATAGTAAGTCATATTAATTCATTAATTTATTAGTATTAATTATAGAATGACAGCCTTGAATAAAACAGATGGAATAGTGTCATAAAATAACTCATTTCTAAAATTACCTTGCAAGAAAAACAGAGTCTAACATGCATGGAGTTATTTGCTTATTTTGGAGAAAGGGTCTCATTATTTTGCTTAGGCTGGGTTTAAATTTTGGATCCTCCCAATCGTGCCTCTTAAACCTTAAAGAGTTCAATTCATTCTTACAAAAACATCCTCAAGAACTTTGAGTTGGCTCCAACATTCTCAAGGGAATCTAAGATCACCACTTCAAAACAAACTCAATGGTGAGAAAGGAGTTTCAAACAAGCAAATTTCTTCCTCTGAATATAACGAGCATTAAAATCAATGCAAATAATGTAGGCATCCAAAGAGCTATAAACACTAAAAATAGCTTTACCATAGTTTATCCAGCAAGTTCTATGATTTATTTATATTTTTGAGACAGGGTCTGGCTCTGTCACGCTGGTTGCAGTGCAGTGACACAATCACAGCTCACTGAAGCCTCAACCTCCTGGGCTTAATTAATCCTCCCACCTCAGCCTCCCAAGTAGCTGGGACTATAGGCACACATCACCTAGCCCAGCTAATTTTTTATATATTTTGCAGAGACAGAGTTTCCTCATGTTGCCCAGGATGGTCTTAGGACTCCTGGGCTCAGGCAATCTGCCTAGCTAGGCCTCCCAAAGTGCTGGGATTACAGGTGTGAGCCAGTACACCTGGCAGCAAGTTTTATTTATTACAAAAATATTTAAATGGAACTCCAAGATGAAAACACTAAAACATGTTTGAAGCTGCTAAAGGTTTGCTGATTCTTTATCTGGAGACAACTTGCTATGCTTCACTCCTAAAAATGGTAACATTAATGGATTGGCTGAAGATTACATAAGTTTCCATTCAAACATAATATATTAAGAACCTTCTGATTATAGTTAAGTCAAATAATATGAAAGAGTCCATGTCAATATGCTTCATTAAAGATTCAAATGACAGTTTTGAAAATTTATTTATTTTTGGAGATATGGTTTTGCTCTGTCACATAGGCTGGAGTGCAGTGGTGCAATCTTGGCTCTCTGTCGCCTTGAACTCCTGGGCTCAAGAAATCCTCCCAGATCAGCCTCCAGATTAACTAGGACTACAAAGCCTGGCTAATTTTGTAAATTTTTTGTAGCGATGGTGTCGCACTGTATCGCTTGCTGGCCTTTTGGCTAAGATCAAGTGTGGAGATCGGGTTTGCAATATGTTGCCTAGGCAGTGTTAAACTCCCAGGCTCAAGTTATCCTCCAGCCTTGGGCTCCCCAAGTGCTGGGATTACATGTGTGAGCCACTGTGCCCGTTGACAGAGTTTTCTTAAAATCATTTGCTACCTTCCTCTATAATATTCCTTTACACTGGTTTTGCAATATAATCACCTGGTAAGCTTAGGAAAAAAGTCTGGGCCTTATCTAGTAACGTGAGAATTTCTAGCACTGGATCATCAGTGGTTTCAAAATCACCCTCCATGATTCTAGTGTGCATCCACCCAGGCACCACTGCTGGACTAGCCTACCACTTAGTTGCACATTAGAATCACCTATGAAGGCTTTTAAATATCTGATCCAGGTTCTAAGCCAGACAAAGGAAGGCAGCCACAAGTGGTAGGGCCAGGCAGGAGTATTTATTCAATGATCCCTAGTTTGTGCAACCTCTTTAAATTGCTTAGAAGAAACGAGGCACTTAAAAAATTAAGGGCCGCGCGCAGTGGCTCACGTCTGTAATCCCAGCGCACTTTGGGAGTCCGAGCCGGGCAGATCACCTGAGGTTGAGAGTTTGAGACCGGCCTAACCAACTTGGAGAAATCCCATTTCTACTAAAAATACAAATTAATTAGCTGGGTGTGGTGGTGCATGCCAGTAAACCCAGCTACTCTGAGGCTGAGGCAGGAGGATCGCTTGAACCTGGGAAGTGAAGATTGCAATGAGTGGAGATCACACCACTGCACTCCAACCTGGGCAACTAGAGCAAAACTTCATCTCAAAAAAAAAATTAAGTTTCAGGCACCAATTTTTTCTTCCAGTGAACCAATACTATAACTTTGAAAGCAGCTGCTGTAAGTATTTAACTGTTAAACCTTCATCAGACAATTAGTTCAACTGAAGGGCATCTAATACTTCTTAATTCCATGGATTGTGTTTAAGCAATTTAAAAGTTTCCTTTTTGATTTTGAGAACCAAATGATATAGCAGAGTTGCAATTTTAATGACTGTGTACAATACTACTATTAACTTCTATTAACTTTACAAAATATCTTTGGGTAATCTGAGACGCTAAAATTAAAAATAATCCCTATCACAAGCCCCTGCTCATAAACCCCCCTACCACTATAAAAGCCCCCACCACAATGTGAAGCTTTTTCATTAGCTGTTGGTATTCCCCCCAGGTATAGGTTTGGGGGAATAACAATTTTCAGAAAAAGGCAAGAAGCATCAACAACCAAACCAAAATGGAAAACCCCCACAAATTTCCCAAATATTTTTCCGAGACAAAGCATTTAATTATGTCCTTCTGTCCTGCACAATAACAAAACAATAATCACATAGAATGAAAAGAGAGGCCGGGTGTGGTGGCTCATGCCTATAATCCCAACACTTTCAGAGGCCTAGATGGGAGGGCCGCTTCAGACCAGAGGTTCCAGATCAGCCTCGGCAACATAGTGAAACCTTATCTCTATAAAAAAATAAAATAAAAAATTGGCAATGCATAGTGCTGTGTGCCTATAGTACCAGGTACTTAGGAGGCTGAGGCAGGAAGATCACTTGAACCTGGAAGGTCCAGGCTGCAGTGAGCCATAATTCCACTACCACACTCAGCCTGGGAGACAAAGTGAGATGTGAGATACTGCCTCAAAAACACAAAAGAAAGAAGACTACTAGCTGGCCGGCACAGTGGCTCATACCTGTAATCCCAACACTCTGGGAGGCCAAGGCAGTGGATCACCTAAGGTCAGCAGCTCGAGATCAGCCTGGTCTACATCATAAAATCCCATCTCTACTAAAAACACAAAAATTATACCAGTATGGTGGTGGGCGCCTGAAATCTCAGCTACTTAGGAAGCTGAGGCACGAGACTCACTTGAATCAGGGAGGTGGAGGTTGCAATAAGCTGAGATCATGAGACAATACTCCAGCCTGGTAGACACATTGAGACTCAGTCTCAAAAAATAAAATACAGAATCAAAATGGTAGACAGACGCTTTATTCATTTACTCCACAAAATGCACTGAGTGCTTACTATATATCAGACACTGGTCTATGCACTGGAGTTAAGTAAGATCCCTCTCTTCAATGGAATTTACATTTTGCTTGAGGTACAAGAAAAGCACTCCTGACCTGTGTGCATGTCCTTTTTATTGTAACAACAGTAAGATGACATCCTCCTTTTACACTCAATAAGCTGAAAATGAGTTACTGCCAAAAGCAACAGCTGAGCACTAACTACACACAACTTAAAGCATCAGACTGCCAGGTGCAGTGGTTCACGCCTGTAATCCCAGCACTTTAGGAGGCCAAGGTGGGCAGAAACAAGGTCAAGAGATCGAGACCATCCTGACCAACATGATGAAACCCCGTTTCTTTTTTTTTTTTTGAGACGGAGTTTCACTGTTGTTACCCAGGCTGGAGTGCAATGGCGCGATCTCGGCTCACCGCAACCTCCGCCCCCTGGGTTCTGGCAATTCTCCTGCCTCAGCCTCCTGAGTAGCTGGGATTACAGGCACACGCCACCATGCCCAGCTAATTTTTTTTTTGTATTTTTCGTAGAGACGGGGTTTCACCATGTTGACCAGGATGGTCTCGATCTCTTGACCTTGTGATCCACCCGCCTCGGCCTCCCAAAGTGCTGGGATTACAGGCTTGAGTCACCGCGCCCGGCTGAAACCCCGTTTCTACTAAAAATATAAAAATTAGGGCCAGGCACGGTGGCTCAAGCCTGTAATCCCAGCACTTTGGGAGGCAGAGGCGGGCGGATCACGAGGTCAAGAGATCGAGACCATGCTGGTCAACATGGTGAAACCCCGTCTCTACGAAAAATACAAAAAAAACTAGCTGGGCATGGTGGCGTGTGCCTGTAATCCCAGCTACTCAGGAGGCTGAGGCAGTAGAATTGCCTGAACCCAGGAGGCGGAGGTTGCGGTGAGCCGAGATCGCGCCATTGCACTCCAGCCTGGGTAACAAGAGCGAAACTCCATCTCAAAAAAAAAGAAAAAAAAAACTAGCTGAGCACAGTGATACACACCTGTAGCCCCAGCTACTCAGGAGACTGAGCCAGGAGAATTGCTTGTACCTGGGAGGCAGAAGTTGCAGTGAGCTGAGATCACACCACTTTATCCCAGTCTAGGTGACAGAGCAAGTTTTTCAAGTTATTTGATAAATATGAATTTACTGCAGAGTCTTGGTGAATGGCGTGATTAAATTATAAAATTTGTGAGATAATAAACCTCGCTATGTAGCCTAAGACCTATGAAAGGCTTGGCATCTTCTCTATTAGATCTAAGTTAATTCCCAAAACCAAAATGAAAACTGTAAATTATGGATACAATGAACTTCTTAGCTGTTAGAGAAGCATGGATACTGACAAAAGCAAAAATTTTAAATTTCTTATTAAAGTATCAGCATCTATTGCAATAATTTAACACTACTGAAAAGTACTTTCATTTAGATGATGCTTCTTACATGATGTACTTTCAGTGACTGTCATTTAATTCACTTTGGTATTCAAGTATGTTTGTTTGAAAAGAAGGGCAACTTGTTGAAACATTCCAAATGTTTTATATTACCATTGTATGTAAATGTGAAACTTGTTCTATTTGTGAAAATCATTATGTATGTAAAAATTCAAGGATAATAATGTATTTTTTAAATTCCACATTCTTCTTAAACTTACTCTTCTGCACTTTCTTTTAGAATTTTCCTTAGAGAAATGAGTATCACCCGGTTCTGGTCTGCACTGAATTAAGCTCTTTAGGTTTTATGGATCACTTAACAATCTGGCAGTTCTGAACCAGGTTGAAAAGGAAAATCTAACACAAAAAGATCAACTAATATCTTATATTAAAACACTGACCACAGAGTTTTTGGGAAATTGTCAAAGAAGCACTTAGGAAATTTAATGTCATATGTGAATTGCTTAAAGCCCTCACCCTCTGAACTTGGAACTCAGTAAATCTAATTTATGTCCCAAGAACTGCATTTTCAAAAGGTCCTGCAGGTGATGCAGATGCAGATCTTCCAAGGGTTATACCTGGAGCACTGGCATGGGGCCAACAATACGGGTTAGAAGTCAGAAGGACCTGTATTCAAATTTTGACTGTGATAATTTTTTATCTACACAGCACACGGCAAATCACTCATTTAATCACTGAAAAACTATAAATACCTACCATATGCTACGCATTTACTTTTCTAAGGCTCTATTTCCTTATCTATGAAATTGAAGGTTTCCAGGAAATAAATGTAATAACTTATGTAAAACACTCAGCTCAGTACATGGACCACAAGAAGCACTCAGTCAATGTCAGCGGCGATACCATTAGTATCCCTTATAATAAGTCTCACTGGCCATCAGAAACTGGCCATCAAAGCAGATTACATAAAATAGAACTGCTTTCACTGGAGAGATGACAAAAGGTTACACTCTACCCTCTGACACAAAAGCTTTATTCTGGCAGGAAATTCTCATGTCCCTTGCTATTAGGTGACAAAGAATATAGCTCTATGGTAGTCTGGATAGTATGAATCAGAAAATGACTCACAATATTTCATCAAGTCATCATTAAACTGATTTTAAGGTGAAGGAGTACAGCTATATATAGCAAAAAAATGTAAAAAAGATTTCTTTTTTATAAAGTCAAAACTAAATTACGACCAGGCACAGTGGCTCATGCCTGTAATCCCAGAACTTTGGAAGGCCAAGACAGGACAATCACTTGAGCTCAGGAATTCAAGACCAGCCTGGGCAATATGGCAAAACCCCATCTCTACTAAAAATATAAAAATTAGCTGGGTGCTGTGGTACATGCTGTAGTCCCAGCTACCCAGGATCACCTGAGCCTAGGAGGTCGAGGCTGCAGTGAGCCAAGATCATGACACTGCACTGCAGCCTGGGTGACAGAGTGAGATCCTATCTCAAACAAAACGGAACAAAAACCTAAATTATGGGATGAGTGGGTACTGTCAAACCAAAGAGAAAACTAACATGGCATTAAACATTACTAATTTGAAGGAGTGCAAGTGCAGGTATCATTAGCAATGATTCATGGCTACATTTTCAAATTAGCACAAATGTTTAAAAATGAATTATATAATCAAGCACAAAAAAAAACACCAAACTTCATTGAAACTAAAATTAGCAAACAAAAATCCCCAAAATGATTCATAAGCAATTAAATGTTAGATTATATATCCTAACGTGTTAGACCATCACCAATGTGCAATTAGAGTATAATTAACATCTGTTTTTCTGTTCGTTTACACCAGAAATAATCTCTGAATTTATAAAATGTCTACTGGCTAAATACTGGGAAGAGGCCAGGTGCAGTGGCTCACACCTATAATTCCAACACTTTGGGAGGCCAAGGTGGGAGGATCACTTGAGGTCAGGAGTTTGAGACCAGCATGGACCAGAAAGTAAGACCCCATCCCTACAAAAATGTCAAAAAAATTAGTCAGGCATGGTTGTGCACGCCTACGATCCCAACTATTTGGGAGGCTGAGGCAAGAAGACCACTTGAACCCAGTGGGTTGAAGTAACACTGAGCTTCGATTGCACCACTGCACTCCAGCCTGGGCAACAGAGTGAGAGCCTGTCTCAAAAATAATACTAATAACACCGGGTGCGGTGGCTCAAGCCTGTAATCCCAGGACTTCGGGAGGCCGAGGCAGGTGGATCATGAGGTCAAGAGATTGAGACCATCCTGGTCAACATTGTGAAACCCAGTCTCTACTAAAAATACAAAAAATTAGCTGGGCATGGTGGTATATGTCTGTAATCCCAGCTACTCAGGAGGCTGAGGCAGGAGAATTGCCTGAACCCAGGAGGCGGAGGTTGCAGTGAGCCGAGATCACGCCATTGCACTCCAGCCTGGGTAACAAGAGCGAAACTTCGTCTCAAAAAAAAAAAAAAAAAAAAAAAAAAAAAAACTACTACTACTACTACTAATAATAACTGGACAGACAAGATAAGACAGCACACAGCATTTGGACTTAGGTTTGAGTTCAAATACCACCAATTACCAGTCATGTGACACATGCCAAGAGCCCTAACAAATCTGGTCTTCAGTATCTTCATCTTATATTGCAAATAATAATAATACACCTAGCCAACAGACTATAACAAATCAAATGAGTTACTAATGGAACAGCACACACATATAACAAATGCATGCAATATTCAGAGATTAATATTTTGAGATGGAAAACAGTAATTTTAATCAATTATTAAATCACCTTTGAGCAAAGAAAGATTTTTTTAAAAGGTAGTTTAAAAATCAAATGAGTAAAAGAAGAATATTTATGAAGTTTTTTCTTACTGCTTAACCAAAGGGAGATCAGTGTATATAAGTAGACCACAAAAAGTATCTTAAATTTTTAAAAATCCTAGATTTCAAATAATTCACTGATGTATGTTTCAATGCCACTAAATATTTTACTTTTATACATACTTACTTGTAAAAATAAGTAACGCGGCAGTACACTGTCAAAAGAAGGGCTGAGATATACTGGTTCTGTCATTCTTATGCCCATGCCTCTGAAAAACAGGAAATCTAACATTAGTCTGTATAATTCCACAGTCTATACAAATTATATTTCCGGGAACATTCTCAAGTAGCCCGTCAAACATAAGATGCTATGCCTTTTTAGGAACTCTTTTATTCAACAAAATACATAGAGTAGTCCTGTGAATTATTTTTGAATTTTTACCTGTGGAACAGGAAGCCATCAGAACTAAAAAGGAAAACGTTACATAAACCTTGCATTTAAGCACAAATGAGTTTCCGTAGAGATTTGAAGATGACCTCATTCTTTACTGCTTCCTGTCAGCTCTTTATAGAATAACTGCCTGAACTGACACAATCCCAAGGATAACCTTTTTCACCTTTGTCCCGTTTTATGAGGGGCAGTGTAACTGTTCAGACCAGGAAGGGCCAGGACTCACAATGGCCTCATGGACAGTGACTCATCAAGACAAACATCACAATCTCAGAGGTTGTCAGACACTATTGAAGCAGAGAAAGAACACCCAAATCCTGTCAGACAAAGCCAAGCCTGGCCTTGTGTGTCAGGCCAAACCAGAGAGGGCAAGAAAAAGGAGAAATCAAGAGTGTTCTAGGGATTAGGAGGGCACAGAAAAAAGTACAGTCTAATTAAAAGGGAAGGATAAAAATGAGGATTTAAGCTGGCATGGTGGCTCATGCCTGTAATTCCAGTACTTTGAGAGACTGGCGCAGGAGGATCACTTGAGGTCAGGAGTTTGACACCAGCCTGGACAATATCTCTACAAATAATAATAATAATAATAAACTAGCCAGGCATGGTGGAGTGTACCTGTAGTCCCAGCTACTTGGGAGACTCAATCAGAAGGTTCCATTGAGGACTCCAGGAATTACAGGCTGCAGTGAGTTATGATCCTACCACTGCACTCCAACCTGGGCAACAGAGCACCCAAAGAAAATAAAAACTTCTTTAAAAATCAAGACTTAGCCGGGCGCGGTGGCTCAAGCCTGTAATCCCAGCACTTTGGGAGGCCGAGGCGGGTGGATCACAAGGTCAAGAGCTCAAGACCATCCTGGTCGACATGGTGAAACCCCGTCTCTACTAAAAATACAAAAAATTAGCTGGGCATGGTGGTGTGTGCCTATAATCCCAGCTACTCAGGAGGCTGAGGCAGGAGAATTGCCTGAACCCAGGAGGCGGAGGTTGCGGTGAGCCGAGATCGCACCATTGCACTCCAGCCTGGGTAACAAGAGCAAAACTCCGTCTCAAAAAAAAAAAAAAAAAAAAAAAAAAAAAAAATGAAGACTTAAACCTGGTTTAAAGGTACAAGCAAAGGAGAGCTCAATTAGGATGAACAAAGATAAAGTCTCAGAAGCAATATGGTAGACAAGTTCATAGCTAGCTTATAGAACAGCTTATGAGTTGATCTTGGCAGGGAAGCAACTACACAGATGGTGTATACCCTATCTGATATTGACAGGTTAAGTTTATGCTGGTCTTTAGAGTAAAATAATGCCAGTAGCCATCTGTGGACTATTACTGCAGTGGCATGATTATAAATTCCCCTCAGTTTTATTGTTGTCTGTATGTCTGTATGTAGCTATGTATGTATGTAGGTATGTACTGACACATGGTCTCATTCTATCACCCAGGCTGGAGTGCAGTGGCACAATCATAGCTCACTGCAGCCTCTAACTCCTGGGTTCATCCTCCCACCTCAGCCTCCCCGGTAGCTAGGACTACAGGTACAAGGCACCATGCCCAAACTGACATCAAATTCCTAGCCTCAAGTGATCCTCCTGTCTTAGCTTCCGGAGTTGCTGGAGTAACAGATATGAGCCAGCATGCCCAGCTCCCTCAGTTCTTACAGCCTTTAGCATACAATAAACGCGGATTCATTTTCTTCCTCTTCCCACCCCTTTACCACGCTAGTCATTTGTTTACCACTTGAAATCCATGAATGTGAACTTTTAATCAGAGGTAAAACTCAAGTCAGGATCAAATCAAACCACTGTATTCACTTCCAGGGCAAACAGTCCCTGCTATACAAAAGAAACTTCTGAAATGTCACTGACTCACATTTGAAAGCCAGTCCTGGTTGGGTGTGATGTCCCATGACTATAAACCTAGCACTTTAGGAGGCCAAGGTGGAAAGACTGCTTGAGACCAGGAGTTGAAGATCAGACGGGGCAACATGGCAAAATCCCCATCTCTATGAAAAAAAATTTAAAAGCTGGGCGCAGTGGCTCACGCCTGTAATCCCAGCACTTTCGGAGGCTGAAGTGGGCAGATCACCTGAGGTCAGGAGTTCAAGACCAGCCTGACTAACATGGAGAAACCCTGTCTCTATTAAAAATACAAAATTAGCCAGGCATGCTGGCACATGCCTGTAATCCCAGCTACTTGGGAGGCTGAGGCAGGAGAATTGCTTGAATCCGGGAGGCAGAGGTTGCCATGAGCCAAGATCGCGCCACTGCACTCCATCCAGCATAGGCAACAAGAGCGAAACTTTGTCTCAAAAAAAAAAAGGAATTTAAAATATTACCTGGTCGTGGTAGCATGTGCCCATAGTATTAGCTATTCAGAAGCTGAAGTAGGAGGATCGCTTGAGCTCAGGAGTTCAAGGTTACACTGAGCTTTGATCACACCACTTCAGCCTGAGTGACAGAGCTAGACCCTATCTCTACAAGAAAAAACAAAGCAAGTCAGTCCTTTGTGGTAACACCTGGTACTCTTACCTTGATTAACAGTCTACAACTATTAGCTGTAGACACCTGGTACTCTTACCTTGATCAACAGTCTACAACTAATACTTGTAGACCAGAGTCTACAACTATTTTTGAGTATCTTGAATTCCATAGTCTGATCACTCCATAATTTAAATGACTTTCTGACTTGCAGGACTCTGGTCCTCTAAAAATACTGAAACTTTAAAATGTTCATGCCTGTCTTCCTCAGTTCCTAACGGCCACTTTAGGTTCTAGTGCTCTTTGACTATCTCCTTCTGACTATGCCTATCAGAATAAGTGACTGCTATAAATCACTGAACTTAAAATAACATAATAAAGAAGAATTTAAGCCAATTATTATTCAGGTATGAAATTACATGTTCTTTTAAAATATATTTTTGTAGCCATGTATCTCCAAATAATGCAAAGTACAAGACTGCACAGGATAAAACAGTCTGTTAGTAAATTAACCTACCTCCATGAATCTATGAATGATTCAACCCCCCTGGAATTCAAGAAAGCAAAGGGCTCAAATTCACTAAATGAGTAACAATTGTACCATTAGTTGTGTTGGTTTAAAACTTTTTAGGCCGGGCGCAGTGGCTCGTGCCTGTAATCCCAGCACTTTGGGAGGCCGAGGCGGGTGGATCACGAGGTCAAGAGATCGAGACCATCCTGGTCAACATGGTGAAACCCCGTCTCTACTAAAAATACAAAAAAGTAGCTGGGCATGGTGGTGTGTGCCTGTAATCCCAGCTACTCAGGAGGCTGAGGCAGGAGAATTGCCTGAACCCAGGAGGCGGAGGTTGTGGTGAGCCAAGATAGGGCCATTGCGCTCCAGCCTGGGTAACAAGAGTGAAACTCTGTCTCAAAAAAAAAAAAAAAAACTTTTAAAAAAATACAAGTAAGAAACAGGTAGCATTTCTGTTACAGCAGCCTTGCTTCTCACACAGGAAGAGAAAAAACTTGCAAGAGTGTAACTGAATAAATTGAGTTTAAAAACCAATTTTTTTTCCTGTTTTGAAATTCTGAAGTCTGGCTGTGTCACCCAGATTGGAGTACAGTGGTGTGATCTTGGGCCAACTGCAACCTCTGCCTCCTGGGTTCAAGCGATTCTCCAGCCTCAGCCTCCTGAGTAGCTGGAATTACAGGCACCCACCACCACACCTGGCTAATTTTTGTATTTTTAGTAGACACAGGGCTACGCCAAGTTGGCCGGGCTGGTCTCGAACTCCTGACCTCAAGTGAGGTCACCCATCTTGGCCTCTCAAAGTGCTGGGATTACAGAAGTGAGCCACCATACCCAGTCAAAAAACCAAGAGTTTTTTGAAAGATGGCTGCCTCCTAACTTCCGCCACCAAAACGATTATCCAGAACACTGTTCAGAAAACATTATTCAGCACAATAACTGGAATCACATCAAATAGCATAAGAGAATGAAGAGTATACTATTAACAATTAACTAATGGAGGCATTCAAAATACCAATTACCTGTTACAGGTCCAAAGATAAACATAGTAGATATGTGCATAATCTTTATATTCATGAAGCCTTCTAAGGAGAACAAAATCTTTGTTCTCAGCCATTTGGAAAGTGCTTCTATTTAGATCTAGGGAATCCAACAGTCAATTTCTTCAGAAAAACAAATGAATTTCAACGGCTAACTCAAATTGTTGTAACATGAAAAACTTGTAAGAATCAGGGATATCATTCAATCCTAAATGGAGAAATCCACAGCTTTCAGCAGGTCTATGTTAGCCATGAACTTTGAAGTAATCGAGCTGTCCACAGAATTCAAAATTCAAACAGCCTCAGAAGACTAAGCAAAAGAAGAGCCTGGATTTACCAATTTGTTTAGGGCCATTAGCAACCCGAGATGATTTAGAACAGACAATATTTTAATTTAGTTTTAACAAACCTAAACATTCATTTTTACCCATAAATATTCATGTGAGTGCTAGCTTTCTGGTAAAATTTATTTTTAATCAAAAAATATTTTAATTTATATTAAAATCAAACTTTTTCGTGACAAATAAGAATGTTAAAAATGATCTGGATAGATCATCTAATGCAGTCTCCTTCAAGATCAACATGGTTTTTCAAAGATGCAAAATATTTCAAAAAAAAATAAAATTCAGAAGGACAAGTAAAATTATTTGATAATTACAATGTAACTGGTTGCTTAATGAGGCTCTTTAATTTGATCAGTTACCCCTTTTGACCAAAAATCATGAAAATATGGGTTAAACTATCTTTTTCTAGTTGGATTTATACCCAAAAAAAAAAAAAAATCCCTCATATAATACAACTAGATACATTTTACATTGTTTTTAATTTTCATTGACCCACAAAAAGGATGCTGATTTCCCCAAAGCACTTGATGACATACTTCAGTTCAGGTAACCCATTGAAGATTTCTTTGCGGCTTAGTTCAGAAATCCCATTTCCAAGAAATACTTTTGTTCCATCAAACTCTTTGGCTCCTTTCTTACATTTTCCTTTAATATCAGAGTATACAGATATAACGTCTCCAGCTTTCATAACTAGAGAAAGAAGAAAATCAGGTAACATTGATCTATACTTTAGCAGAAGAATCCTGAAAATTATTTGAGCTAGGCGATCTCCAGAGGCATCTATAGTGGGCCTGAAGCAGTTCAAACTGGCTCATTATCTCAATATAATCTTTAATAGAAAATCTGACTTTTTACTTTAAAATATTCCCTAACAGTCCGGGCGCGGTGGCTCAAGCCTGTAATCCCAGCACTTTGGGAGGCCGAGGCGGGTGGATCACAATGTCAAGAGATCGAGACCATCCTGGTCAACATGGGGAAACCCCGTCTCTACTAAAAATACGAAAAAAAAAAAAAAAAAAAAAAAAATTAGCTGGGCATGGTGGTGCGTGCCTGTAATCCCAGCCACTCAGGAGGCTGAGGCAGGAGAATTGCCTGAACCCAGGAGGCGGAGGTTGCGGTGAGCCGAGATCGCGCCATTGCACTCCAGCCTGGGTAACAAGAGCGAAACTCCGTCTCAAAAAATAAAATAAAATAAAATAAAATAAAATATTCCTTAACAATAAAACTCACTCAAGAATCTTTTTCGATGAAAACAAATAGGAAACTTGAAAACATCCTACCCTCAGCTGCAAATCTTTAGCTGAGCTAAATTATTTCCCCCAAGCCTTAAGGGATTTCTTATAAATCTTGACATCTCAGCTCAAGTCTCAAAGTTCTAAGTTTCCTTCAAAGTAACTCTTCAAAAATGTACCTAAAAATCCTTCGAAGAAGGCCGGGCGCGGTGGCTCACGCCTGTAATCCCAGCACTTTGGGAGGCCGAGGCGGGTGGATCACGAGGTCAAGAGATCGAGACCATCCTGGTCAACATGGTGAAACCCCGTCTCTACTAAAAATACAAAAAATTAGCTGGGCATGGCGGCGCGTGCCTGTAATCCCAGCTACTCAGGAGGCTGAGGCAGGAGAATTGCCTGAACCCAGGAGGCGGAGGTTGTGGTGAGCCGAGATCGCGCCATTGCACTCCAGCCTCGGTAACAAGAGCGAAACTCCATCTCAAAAAAAAAAAAAAAAAATCCTTCGAAGAAATGTTTCTAAATCCCATTACTCTGTTTGTACTTCTTTGCTATTTTGCTGTGACAGCACAATAGCATATACATCCATTCACATATATATATATATATATATATATATATATATATATATATACACACACACACACACACATACATATGCACACATGTATACGTATATGTGTGTATACTCTTAGAATACCTTTTACAGTATATGCAGAGTTGATTTATATGACTGATTAAATCCAGTTTTTATAGGCATTTCATTTTTTCTGTAATAGCTCCCAGTTATATTTATAATGGAAAATTACAGTCCACTTCCAAAAAACATTTTTAAACCTAATCGATCATAAATTTATTTGGGCTATTACCTGGCAACAATAGCGAGCAGCCCTATCAGAGCTAAGGGAACTGTTAAAATCATGTAAATCAGATGTCAACATACTTTTCCTGAAAAGGGCAAATAAATATTCTATGCTTTGTAGCTATATAAGGTCTCTCTGGCATATTCTTCTTTGTATATGTATCTTTTTTTTTTTTTTTTTTTTTTTTGAGACGGAGTTTTGCTCTTGTTACCCAGGCTGGAGTGCAATGGCGCGATCTCGGCTCACCGCAACCTCCGCCTCCTGGGTTCAGGCAATTCTCCTGCCTCAGCCTCCTGAGTAGCTGGGATTATAGGCACACACCACCATGCCCAGCTAATTTTTTGTATTTTTAGTAGAGACGGGGTTTCACCATGTTGACCAGGATGGTCTCGAGCTCTCGACCTCGTGATCCACCCGCCTCGGCCTCCCAAAGTGCTGGGATTACAGGCTTGAGCCACCGCACCCGGCTGTATATGTATCTTTTTACAACATTTCAAAACTGGAAAAACCATTCTTAGCTTGTGGGCCATACACAAACAGACATGGGCCAGACTTGGCCAGCAGGTAGTGGTTGGCCCAATTCTGATGCAGATCAAATTATTTATTTCAAGGACACCATAACTTAGGCCCAGAGACTGGGTAAGTTTGCTACAGAGCAAAGCCACTGTTTCTTGATTTCAAGTCCAATAAGGTACCACTGAGCCACAGTGACTAACTTACTAAGCATATGCAATACAGATATGACACCAACTGGGTGAATAAAGAATACTAAGTTTCATCCCAGTGTTCAGATTCCAGGTTCTGGATGTTCTCTCACTAATGATACAACAACTTTCTGAAGTTTTAAGGCAATACAGTCAAGAATACAAAACAGCCGGGCGCGGTGGCTCAAGCCTGTAATCCCAGCACTTTGGGAGGCCGAGGCGGGTGGATCATGAGGTCGAGAGATTGAGACCATCCTGGTCAACATGGTGAAACCCCGTCTCTACTAAAAATACAAAACATGAGCTGGGCATGGTGGCGTGTGCCTGTAATCCCAGCTACTCAGGAGGCTGAGGCAGGAGAATTGCCTGAACCCAGGAGGCGGAGGTTGCGGTGAGCCGAGATGGCACCATTGCACTCCAGCCTGGGTAACAAGAGCGAAACTCCGTCTCAAAAAAAAAAAAAAAACCAGAGGTTTTGTATATTCTCTCTATTCATCAGTAATGATCCACTAAAACAATCATAATCAACCACATCCTTATTTGGAAAGAAAACAAAAAACAGTCAGAAAACCTTATATGATGACTAGTTTGCTAGTCCTTATCAGATAAAACCCTAAACGCAAAGCTGGAAAAATATCCGACCAAGGTAAATTTGGAATACATCTTAGTGGCAATTCAATAAACTTTCCATTTGAAAATGCACATAAATTTTAAAGAACCTTAAAGAGAAATCCAAACATTATACTTACATTTTGATGCTGACACAATTCCTGGGGCATAGACATGGGCTCCTCTTAAAACTGCATTGCCACACTGGGCTCCAACAATGGCTTCACACTGTTGTTTTTTAATATTCTTCCTAGAAATGTAAGACACACGAAGTTTAATGGTAACATACCTCCAAAGCCTAGCAACTTCTCCAGTGTTCTATCTGAAATCTAATAGCCTCTTTAATCTTAATTGTCCTGAACACATAAGAAAAAGCTGAAAAAAGAGGTATACATATAGAGGAAACAGGAAAAAAACACCACCACCATGAAGATGGGCACTTAAGGAGAAGAAAAAATAATCAAAAGAGGTCCATCTGGTGGAAGGCAATGTAAAGTGGCACCGGAATTTGCTCAATCACTTAACAAGCATTACTGTTTATCACACCATTAGAAGAAAAATAGACTTTTTCTATCTTCAAAGACTAAAACAGAAAAATACACAAGGAATTACAAAAACATTTCTAAAGCGGTAAACCATTGCATGGTATAGTATGAACAATTTAAACAATACAAGAAAACAAGATAAGTCTTTTTTCCTTCTTTTGCTGCCCAACCTCTTGGACTCTTTTCCAATTTCTCACATGCCACTCATTTCTTAGACCACTAAAATCTGTATTACTTCTAACAATCAGTGTTCCAAAGATCAGGGCCCCAATGTGATCAGTCCTAAATAAAAACCCTGATCACTGGGTCTCTAATAAGCTTCTTTGGATGTATTGTCACAACTCATTGCTCAGAGAATTAAGGGGATCCCATCTTCTTTCCATGGTCCCAAATCATCAAACTTACTCAATTTTCAGCTTTATACTACTCCTTCCTGGTCTCAAACATTCTGCTGCTCATTCTCCGCCTACTTCTTTTTTTCTTAGATGGAGTCTCACTCTGTTGCCTAGGCTGGAATACAGTGGTGCCACCTCGGCTAATTGCAACCTCAGACTTCCAAGTTCAAGTGATTCTCCTGTCTCAGCCCAGCCTCCCAAGTAGCTGGGATTACAAGCACACGCCACCATGCCCAGCTAATTTTTGTATTTTTACTAGAAATGGGGTTTCACCATGTGGGCCACGATGGTCTCTATCTCCTGACCTCATGATCCACCCGCCTCAGCCTCCCAAAGTACTGGGATTACAGGTGTGAGCCACCGCTACCAGCCTTCTGCCTACTTCTTCAAAAGGCTCTCCCCACCAGCTTCCAAAACATGCCACCATCTCTACTCACCTTGCATTCTATCCCTTGGCAATCTCATGATTTCAATAATCACTCACAAAAACAATCCACGAATTCTAATGTTTAACCTTTCTAGACTTTTTTATCTTTGAGACCAAGTCTTGCTCTGTCGCCTATAATGGAGTGCAGGTTCATGATCTCAGCTCACTGCAACCTCTGCCATCTGGGTTCAAGCGATTCTTGTGCTTCGGTCTCCTGAGTAACTGGGATTACAGTCAGTCACCATCACACCCAGCTAATTTTTGTATTTTTAGTAGGGACTGGGGTTTCACCATGTTGGCCAGGCTGGTCTCGAACTCCTGATCTCAGGTTATCCACCAGCCTCGGCCTCCCAAAGTGCTGGAATACAGAAGTGAGCCACTGCACCTGGCCTAGACTCTTACTTGACATTTTTAACTACCTACAGACAGCTATATAGAGTTGTCTCACAGTTACTTTAAACTCAGCAAGTACTGAACAGTGTTACGTTTCCCTCATCCATTCCTCAACTTCTTGGCAGAATCCCAAATCTTTTCATCCTGTTTCCAGTCTTGAACAAGGCATCATATCTGCCTGGATAATCAAACTAGATGTCTCAGTCTCTGAATGTGTCCTCCAATATTCACATGCTGGAAACTTAATCCCTAGTGCAACAGTGTTGGAATGCAAGGCCTATTGGGCACTGTTTAGGTCATGCGGGCTCTGCCCTCGTGAATGAATTAATGTCATAATAAAAAGAGCTTGGAGCGATGAGTTTGCCTTCTCTTGCCCTTCTGCCCTCAACCATTTAAGGATGCAGCAAGAAAGCTCTCATCAGATGCAACTGCCTTGATCTTGGACTTCCCATCCTCTAACACCACAAAAAATAAATTTCTGTTCTTTATAAATTACCCAGTCTCAGGTATTCTGTTATAGCAGCATAAGATAAACTAAGACACTCAGCATCTTAAACCCTTGCTAAGCCTTGACACTGATGTAGGAATCATGCTATCTTCCAGTTCTGAAAGGTCCTATGGACCTTTCTTCTGATGTCAGACAGGTATCATCTCTTTATGTGATTAGTGAAATAGCTTCCTGACTTTTACCATTGGTTTCAGATTTTCTCTATGTCTTTGGTGTTCTGCAATTTCACTCTGAAGTATCTAGATACAGATCTACTTTTATTTTGGCTTCAAACTCACACTTCTTAAATTTTTCATCAATTCTAGAAATCCATAGTTATTACATTTGTGATTATTGTCTTTCCCCCATTATTTCTATTCTCTATACCTGGGACTCATTAGAAATACAAACTGCTCTTATTTTTTATGACTCAATTTCACTTTCATATTTTTAATTTATCTCTGCTGCTTTCTAGATAATTCCCTAAGAGTCATCTCCCAATTCAAAAATTTTCTCATCAGTTGAATCTGATCTACTGTTTAATTCACTGTGAGTTTTCAACATTTTTATTTCTAGAAGTTTGTTTTCAATTCTACGTTTTTATCCTTCGGGTCTTTTATGTTTTATTCTTTCATTTTTAATCATTTTAAGAAAACTATCTTGTTACAGCCATACCACCATGAACATGCCCGATCTCGTCTTATCTCAGAAGAAAACTCTTCTCACAGTCTCTGCTAGAGAGATCTATTTGTTAAAGTTCTGAGGGAAATCTAATCCTGCAGCTTATTGTATATGCTGATTCTTACTCACAGTGGTTTGATTCCTAGTGTCCTTTTAACAATGCAAAGTGTTTGGCTTGGATTGAATGGGTGCCGCTCCAGAGTAATGTCACTTTGTTTTTGCCAAGCACCCAGGAATTGGCTTGGGACTGAACAGTTCATTTCCCAGCTTGCAGGTTCCAAGACAATTTAGGTTGCAGCAATCTGAATTCCAAACCTTTTTGAGGAAGGGAACTTAACGCTGTGCATTCTCAGAAACACTTTTTTCTCCAACCTATAACCTAAGGCAAGAAAGACCTACTTTTAATTACTGCCTTGTACTGACTAATGGGTACTTCTCACTCTTGACACTGTACTGTTTAAACCAAAGACCCTAAATTTAGGAGACAGACCGCCTCCCTTACCATACCTCCAACCCCCCAATATCAGCTCACATGCTTGCTATTCCCTTTTCAATTATTCTGCATTCCTAACCTCTAATATATCAATTACATTCTTAATCACTCAGCTCTGCCACTTTGTGAAACACTGTTTCTTTTACTTAGAACTCCTAGGTGTTATGTAGCAAAACCGGGAGGTAGGACAGGAGATAAAATAAAACTGAAATACATGTGGAAATTGCCTTTTATTTACTCCCTCTCTCCCAATCTAACTTCCTCAGAGTTAACTACTATTAAAAGTTGGGTATGTTACAGCTTCCAGACTTTTTTTTTTTAACATGTAAATAAATATACATAAATGCATAGTTGGGTATATTTTCTAATTGCAAAAAAATTATCCCAAGTATGGCAATTTGCTTTTGATAGTTACCAACTGATCATAAACTTCTTCTCTGATTGGCAGGTATTACTCTCCCATAGTAAATGGATGATAGATATAAGAGATGATTACTTTTATATTTATATACAACTCTAATTTTTAGTTGCTTCTATAAAGAAAAACCTAACTGAACTCTATCTTTAGAAAAACTAAAACTAAAGAACAAAGAGGTGTTTAACAGATTAAGAAATGGTCTAAATAAGTACAATTTTGCATTCTCATAAGGAGTATGATAACCTCCATATTCTGTTATTGTGGTCTATTATAGTAGCTAAATAACTGGTCCAAAACTAAGAGATGACAGAAATCAGAACAGCAGTTTCCCAGTAGGGTAGCTGAGTACAGGAGACATTTCTTACATAATGGAAATACTCTATCTTGACTGGAGTGGGTCTTGGCTACACAGATGCATATATTTGTCAAAACTCAACAAACTATAGATTTAAGATCTCTTCATTTCACTGTATGTAAATTTCACCTTAAAAAAACTGAACAAAAGATGAAAAAATGTTAAAAATAAACTGAATGAGAAGCCTACAAAAGTTAACTTTAATTGCAAAAAATGCATTATTATAGTAAAAAATAAAACTGAAATACACGTGGAAATTGCCTTTTATTTACTCCCTCTCTCACAATCTAACTTCCTCAGAGTTAACTACGATCAAAAGTTGGGTATGTTACAGCTTCCAGACTTTTTTTTTAACATGTAAATAAATAACATAAATGCGTAGTTGGGTATATTTTCTAATTGCAAAAAAAGTAATTATCCCAAGTATGGCAATTTGCTTTTGATAGTTACCAAGTGATCATAAACATCTTCTCTGATTGGCAGGTATTGCCCTCCCATATTAAAGGCCATATACTATCCCACTGCATGGACAAATCATAGTTTATTAAACCACTGCTCTATTGCTGCCCACTAAATTACTTTAAAGTTTTAACAAAAGTATTTCTCTATTTGTTGCAACTCTTAGGAGTTTAAAAAGATTTTAGACCATAATTGGGAATTGTAACATGCTCTAAAGGAATAAAACATCATTATAATCATTCATTATACTATAAAAATTTATTTTTCCTTCCCCCCATATCCCCCAGCTTTTTGGTTTTTTTTTTTTTTTTTTTTTTTTTTTTTTTTTTTTTTTTTTTGAGACAAGGTCTCACTCTGTCTCCCAGACTGGAGTACAGTAGCACAATCACAGCTACTGCAGTCTCCACCTCCCAGACTTCAAACGATCCTTCCACCTCAGTCTCCTTAATAGCTGTGACTACAGGTAGGCACCACCATACTCAGCTAATTTTTATCATTTTTTTTTTGGTAGAGGCACGGTTTTGCCATGTAGCCCAGACTGGTCTCCAATCCCTGGGCTCAAAGGATCCACCTACCTCAGCCTCCCAAAGTGCTGGGATAACAGGAGTAGCCACAGATCAAGCCTGAAAACCTATTTTTCAATTTTCAAACATAAGCTTTCCAAATAAATGAGTGAGTAGAACAGAAACAGCACATGGTAGTTTAACATAATTGTTGAATTATGAATAAAATTTTACAGGCTGGGCGAGATGGCTCTCATGGGTAATCTCAACACTTCAGGAGGCTGAGGTGAGATTGAGGCTACCTGGGATACATAGTGAGACTGTTTCTACAGAATAAAAAATAAATTAGCCAGGTGGAGTGGTATGCACCTGTAGTCCCAGCTACTTGGAAGCTGAGGTGGTATAACTGCCTGAGCCCAGAAGTTCGAGCCTGTCATGAGCTAGGATTGTACCCCTGCACTCCAGCCTGGATAACAGAGCAAGACACTGTCTCAAAAAACAAAATTTTACAAACATATCAGCTACGAAAGTAGAAAATAAGTTACTTTATATTTTTGTTGCAGCTCAAAAAAAAGTTTTAATTTAGCACTGAAAATTCCTGTATAATACAAGTAAGCAAATGAAATAAAGCTTCTCAGAAAGTGGGGGAAAAAAAAATCACAGCACTAAAGGGACCTAAAATGCATTATTCTCAAGGTCCTTGGCCCAATTCCTAGTCTTCTTTTGAATGATTTTCCAGGACATAATATAAAGTTTGCATTTATAAATTTCTGAATTCCTGTTATCTACAGAAAGTTGCTAACAATGGAGAAACTTAGTCATATCACTGAACAGTAAAGCTCCCTGTGACAAATTTTATTGAGAAGAATATATAATTTGGAAATGAAGTATTGACAAACCTGGGTCCAACAACAGGAATAAGTAAGACATCCTGAAGGTCTGGATGTTGAAGAATAGGAATACTTAATCCGTTCAACTGCTGTTAAAAATAAACATGATTATAAAGCAACTGATACATCTGATACATTTCAACTTACGAAACTTTTCAGTATCATCATCCACCACAGCATGAAGCTCTAGTAGCTCTGGAGCACTTTCACTTTATTCGATGGGGTACTGTAAAAATCAAAATGCCCTCAAAACAACAATGTTCTCTCTATTTTAATTCTGAAGTATCCTGACATCTTTACAAGACTCAATTTTGCGTACTGTTTGGCATTATAAACACAAGCTGTGGTTACCTGAAATTATTTACTTAAAAAACTAATATTCGATATAGAATTACATGTAGTATTCATTTAAGAAAAGTCTCTGAATAGGATGTTAAAGACTGAGATTACTATTAATAAATACTACCTAACATACACAATCAACAGTGGCATCCATGTCAGTTTTGGTGAGGAAAAGAAACGTTTATGGTCGAGGTTCGGCATTTTTGATATCCTCCATTATAAGCGAACTGGAAGGCTGTCACACTGAAAGCAGGTACAGGTGCGGGAGCCAGCTCATACCAGCTCAGCAGAGCCACTGCGTGCATCTCTTCTGAACTCCACAGTCATGCATGTAGCTACCAGGGAACCAGGTGAGTATTCACACCACAGAAATCAGCAGACACCACAAATTAGTTATTTTTCCCAGAAACTGGTTGTTAAATAGGTACCAGTGTACCACTGACACAAGCAGAAGACAAGTGGGCACCCTACACAGAATAAAAAACAGCTGGCCGGGGGTGGTGGCTGACACCTGTAATCCTAGCACTTCAGGAGGCTGAGGCAAGTGGATTGCCTGAGCTCAGGAGTTCAAGGCCAGACTGGAGAACACAGTGAAAACACGTCTCTACTAAAAATCCAAAAAACTACCTAGGTGTGGCAGCATGCATCTGTAATCCCAGCTACTTAGGAGACTGAGATAGGAGAATTGCTTGAATCCAGGAGGTGGAGGTTGCGGTGAGCCAAGATCACGCCAGTGCACTCCAGCCTGGGCAACAGAGCGAGACTCCTTCTCAAAAACAAACAAAAAACCAGCTACATAGAGAACTGGATGACAGGGACTGTATACTCTATCAGGCTAGGGTTTATCAACTCCATTTTCACATGCTACATAAAAGAGCGATAACAATACAGGTTTGCATTGCCCCACAGAATCCACACACTATCTACAAAAAACTTCTCAGATCACCTTACTAAGTTGATAAGGGAACAGAAAATAATTGTGCTTATTTTAGAAATATAACTTTCTATCTACCAAGTCACCAGCTCTATGGACTTCTGCTTCTTCCAGACAAAGGATATTTCAGATTATAACCATATCCAACAGATAATAAGCAATTTGAAGGATAAATTCCACCTCATTCAATCAAACCCTTCTTCCTTTCTCTTTCCTTCCCCCTTCATCATTTTGATAGCCTTTGACAGTATCAATTACAGGGAACAGCTCTCGCCAAAGAAGAGAATGAATTTTGACTTTTGTTTTGTTTTATAAGTAACATTTGCTTTACACTGAGGAAACAGCTTATACAGAGATCAAAGCTTGTCAAACCAAAGGCCACTGTCTCTCTCTTTCAATTAGGAGCATGTTAAGATGATACAGTATAAAAATAAAACCCATAAAACATACCCTTCATAACAACACAAACATTTTTTTCCAAACCAAGCATATCAACACCTACTTTTAATGCTTGTTTCTGCCCTATGCCATTTTTTTTTTTTTTTGAGACGGAGTTTCGCTCTTGTTACCCAGGCTGGAGTGCAATGGCGCGATCTCGGCTCACCGCAACCTCCGTCTCCTGAGCTCAGGCAATTCTCCTGCCTCAGCCTCCTGAGTAGCTGGGATTACAGGCACGTGCCACCACGCCCAGCTAATTTTTTGTATCTTTAGTAGAGACAGGGTTTCACCATGTTGACCAGGATGGTCTCGATCTCTCGACCTCGTGATCCACCCGCCTCAGCCTCCCAAAGTGCTGGGATTACAGGCTTGAGCCACCGCACCCGGCTGACTGTCCTATGCCATTTTAAAACAGCCTTATTGAGATAATTTACATTCCACAAATTTCGCCCATTTTAAATGTACAATTCATTGACTTTTAGTAAATTTAAAGAATTGTTCTCCAGTCTTAGACAATTTCCATCATCCTACAAAGATCCTTCATGCTCGCTGGCAGTCAATCCCTGTCCCCATTGCTAGGTAACCACTATCTTTCTTTCTCTATAAATGTGCCTTTTCTGGACATTTCACATAAACGGAATACAGACCAAATTCATCCCTAGTCTAAAAATCTGAACTGTTACAAATCCAAAACTTTTTGAGTGCTGACATGATGCCAGAAGTAGAAAATTCCATACTTGACCTGGACCAAAGTAAAAATGCAGGCTTACAGCAGTGTTTATCCAGCCTACTGTGTTTTTGTTTTTGTTGCTGAGTAGCTAACTCAGTTATAATAGTAATGCTACGTGCTGCTCAGTTACCCTGAATGCAATATGTATTAATGGTATGTCTTTTTCTTTTTTTACTGTTAAATACTTACATATGAATAAGTATAAGAAAATGTATAGGCCAGGCGCAGTGGCTCACACCTGTAATCCCAGCACTTTGGGAGGCTAAGGCACGCAGATCACCTGAGGTTAGGAGTTCGAGACCAGCCTGGCCAACATGGTGAAACCCCACCTCTAATACCAAAATTAGCCGGGTATGGTTGCGCGTGCCGGTAATCCCAGCTACTCAGGAAGCTGAGGCAGGAGAACTGCTTGAACCCAGGAGGCAGAGGTTGCAGTGAGCTGAGATCGCACTGTTGCACTCCAGCTTGGGTGACAGAGTGAGACTCCCTCTCAAAAAGAAAACAATTATATAAATATTTTCTCTGTATATAAATTCAGTCAGGAATGATAGTGACGCCGAACAACCACACTGTCCACATGAGTGTCAGAGATAGTGACACCTTTGCTTTCTGATGGTTTCATGTATACAAACGATTTCCTGCACAAAATTACATAAAATATTGTATAAAATTACATTCAGCCTACATACATGAGGTGAACATGAAACATAAAAGAATTTCATGTTAAACTTGGGTCCCGTATCTGAAATCTCTCATTATATTCAAATATTCCAAAATCCAAAAAATCCAAAATTTAAAACACTTCTGGTCCCAAGCATTTCAGATAAGAGATGCTCAGCCTGTAATACAGTATGTAGCATCTGTGTCTAGCTTCTTTCACTTAGTATTTTTAAGGTTAATCCATGCTGTAGCATTTATCAGTTCATTGTACTTCATGATTTTTATTACTGAAGGATTCTACTGTATGAATATATCACATTTTGTTTATCTACTTAGGAGCTGATGAATATTTGGAGTGTCCCCTTTTGACTATTATAAGTAGTGCTGCTATGAACATGCACACTGGAGAATTTGTATGGACATATGTTTTCATTTGTTTTGGGGAGATACCTAGGAGTGGAATTGCTGGGTTGTAGAGTATGTTTAACTTTTTAAGATACTACTAGTTTTCCAAAGAGATCATATCATTTACATTTCCACCCACAATGTATGAAGATGCCAGCTTCTCCATAGTCTCACCAGCCTAATGAAACTGTTTATTAAATTTCAGGTTGGGCACAGGATATACAGGATTCATGCCTGTAATCCCAGCACTTCAGGAGACCAAGGCAGGCGGATCACTTGACGTGAGGAGTTTGAGATCAGCCTGGCCAACATAATGAAATCCCATCTCTACTAAGGATACCAAAATTAGCCAAGAACTGCGGCCAATACCTGTAATTCCAGCTACTCAGGAGGGTGAGGCAGCAAAATCGCTTGAACCCGGGAGGCAGTGGTTGTAGAGAGCCGAGATTGCGCCACTGCACTCCAGTCTAAGCAACAGAGTAAGACTCCAATTAAAAAAAAATTAAGAATGTGGTACAGAGACACTGAGGAGAAAACACTTACTTTTATGTCACAGTATTCAGGACATCTCTCTAGGACACGTGAACTTTTCAATGTGAAAGGAAAAAGAAAACCTATGCCCTAAGCCTCCTCCAAGTACTGCTTCTTGCTAGAATCAGGTAATGCTATCTAGTGACTCTGACCCAGGCTTCCCTGTCCAACCTTAACGTTTAAGGAAAGGAACCCAAAGCCCAGAGTGATCCTAGCCCATAGGATCTTGCATATTCAGACTAGGATACTAAAATATCCAGGTTCTGGAAGTTATTTGCTAAGAAAAATAATAATAAAGTATATCTGGATGTGCCTGAGTTATGGATACTTCCACTGGGCCTCAGAACAGTTTCCTTTTAATTACCTGAAAACATATGCACGGCTACAGAAAAGTAATTACTTTAGTTGCTTAGGGCAACTGCTTATGTTTAATGTCTAATGTCATTACTCTCAATATAATTATTGCTATCTATAAAATCAGATTAATTTTTTAAAAATATTATTTAATTATTATACTAAGGTTTGGTCTCATACACTCAAATACCCTAACTGGTTCATCTTCTAACTTGGTCGTCTACTCACAACTTGGTATTTACAGAATTGCTCTTAAGGAGAGTATGACAGGGTCCATAAATGTAATAATGAGATTGTTTAAAAGAGGATAAGTTGGCCGGGCGTGGTGGCTCAAGCCTGTAATCCCAGCCCTTGGGAGGCCGAGGCGGGTGGATCATGAGGTCAAGAGATCGAGACCATCCTGGTCAACATGGTGAAACCCCGTCTCTACTAAAAATACAAAACATTAGCTGGACATGGTGGCGCGTGCCTGTAATCCCAGCTACTCAGGAGGCTGAGGCAGGAGAATTGCCTGAACCCAGGAGGTGGAGGTTGCGGTGAGCCGAGATAGCGCCATTGCACTCCAGCCTGGGTAACAAGAGCGAAACTCCGTCTCAAAAAAAAAAAAAAAAAAAAAAAGGGGGATAAGTCAATCAGCGATAGTTTTCTGAAGTTTTCCAAATAACTAGAGTAAACACAGCTTGTGATTTACAAATGGAAACCCTTTAATCATAATTGCCTCTTGCTTTTAATTCAGATACAAATAAGGCAGAAATGGGTCTGCTGACACCTACCAGTGACATAAGTCATTTAATAACTACAATATGCAAGGCCGGGCGTGGTGGCTCAAGCCTGTAATCCCAGCACTTTGGGAGGCCGAGGCGGGTGGATCACGAGGTCAAGAGATCGAGACCATCCTGGTCAACATGGTGAAACCCCGTCTCTACTAAAAATACAAAACATTAGCTGGACATGGTGGCGCGTGCCTGTAATCCCAGCTACTCAGGAGGCTGAGGCAGGAGAATTGCCTGAACCCAGGGGGTGGAGGTTGTGGTGAGCCGAGATCCTGCCATTGCACTCCAGCCTGGGTAACAAGAGCGAAACTCCGTCTCAAAAAAAAAAAAAAATAACTACAATATGCAATGTATGTGGTACTCCTCAGGCATCGATTTTTCTACATCTTACATTTCTTTTGAGGTAAATTTCAGTGTACAGTATATGAAACACATAAGGCAAAGCTTTCAAAAACAAAAAAGTAAAATATAAACAAGATAATTCAAATACTTTTCTGCTTAGAAGTCATAAATGGCATTTTATAATACTGTTTTCATCTGTAAGAGGAATATTTCGCCAAAACTATTTTATTGGTTGAATAAAAAAAGTCTCATGCTGTTTTACATTGAAAATAGATTCAGATTTATTATACTGTTCTAATTTCCTGGTCTCACGAAACATACAGTGCTTCAACGTCTTTTTTTTTTTTTTTTTTTTTGGAGACAGTCTCACTCTATTACCCAGGCTGGAATGCAATGGCATGACTTTGGCTAAGTGCAGTCTCCGCTTCCTGGGTTCTGAAATTCTCATGCCTCTGTCTCTCAAGTAGCCAGGATCACAGGCATGTGCCATCATGCCTAATTTTTTTGTATTTTTAGTAGAGACGGGGTTTCATCATACTGCCCAGGCTGGTCCCCAAGTCCTGGCCTCATGTGATCCACTGGCTTCGGTCTACCGAAGTGCTGGGATTACAGGCATGACCCACATACCTGGCCCAATTTTTTTTTGAGACGGAGTTCCGCCCAGGCTAGAGTGTAATGGCACAATCTTGGCTCACTGCACCTCCGCCTCCTGGGTTCAAGTGATTCTCCAGCCTCAGCCTCCCAAGAAGCTGGGATTACAGGTACTCACCACCATGCCTGGCTAATTTTTATAGTTTTAGTAAAGACAGAGTTTCACCATGTTGGCCAGGCTGGTCTCGAACTTGTGACCTCAGGTGATGCACACACCTCAGCCTCCCAAAGTGCTGGGATTACAGGCATAAGCCACCACACCTGGCCTACAACATCTATTTTTTATGTCAATTAACACTATAATTCGTTAAGTATTTAGCATGTACCTCCTCACCTCTGGGCTTATCTCAGCTATACAATCTGTTTTCCTGGTCATTACATGGTGCTTATCACAAACCCACAGGATTTTAAGGTTAGACTGTATTTCTTCACTCTTATTTTAATGTTGAAGCTACTGAGGCCCACTTTAATGAGGCCCAGAGGGGTTTAATGAGCTTGTTAGTCATCAAAAAATGAATAAATTTGCAATGAGAAGTACTAGGGTCAAGTTCCAGCATTACTACCTAGGATAACTTTGAACAATTTAGCATTCATGATCATCAATCTCCTTATCTGTAAAATTAGAAGCATATTATATCATTCACAGGATTTTAATGGAGAACAGTATGTCAGATTGCAAAAATGCAATTATGTAAAAACAACAGAAAATTTCTACAAACCTTCTGAAGTTCATCAAGTAATAGATTTTTCACATGTTGTACTGAGGCTAAATGTGTATTCACTCTGACAGTTGTGAATGATGGAGGATGTGACAGGTGTTTTAACAAAGTTTCAAACTTCCTTTCTGCTGCTTCTTTACCGAAAGCTGACACAATCTAAAAAAGCACAAGTGAATGTTTAAATTTCTTAAGAATCCAAAAGTCAGCAGAACATGCTTACATATTCATTGCATCTAATTAAACATCATTTAGAAATTATTCAACTCCACTCCATTTTGATGTATTGTTTATATGTCAATGACACTAAGGAAATAGTAATACTTTACAGGTTTCTTTGGCTTAAACGTGGTAATATACAACTAAGAAAATGCCTGACATAAAGGGCTTAGAAAAACATTGCCTAAACTTCAAAGCATTATGGACATTTTGCAAATATTAATATCTGCTACATTTGCTCACATAAATTCACGAATTCAGTCTATTTATGATGCGTTACCAATACATCATCTCTGTAGAGCTGACATTATACCCAAGTTAGCTAGATGTTAGCTAACTTAACAGCATATCCAAGAGAAAACTGGGTGATATCCTATTAAAAGGCCAATATTTAAAGAATAAGTAACAATGATATAGTCACTGCCATTCAAAGATTCCCCCAGAACATCAGCTTTTTATTATTAAATGTAATTTTTATTATTAAATTATTTATATTAATAATAAATACAATATATATTAATATATATTGTATATTATCTTTTTATTAAATATAACATGGTATTAAATGTAACACGTATTTTCCAAAAATGATGAGTTGCAAAGACACCTGTCAGATATGACGATATAAAGACTCAAACAATGTTCACTTGTAATTAATCGAAGCTTCTCAAGAAACATGTTTCTTTTCTTTTCATATTTGACTAAACCCTGCTCTACAGAATCCTGACAAACCGCTTGTTAGCCTAATCCATTAGCCTTAAAGTCTTCAGTATTTCTTAAGGTTTAGTCTTATCAAAACCGAACATTCAGTCTGGGCAACATGGTGAAACCCCATCTCTACGAACAATACAAATATCAGCCAGATATGGTGGCCCCTGTCTGTGGTCCCAGCTACTCAGGAGGCTAAGGTGAGAGGATCGCTTGAGTCCCAGAGGTCGAAGCAGCAGTGAAGTGAGATTGCGCCACTGCACTCCAACCTGAGCAAGAGTGAGACCGTCTCAAAAACAAACAAAAAAACAAGAAACTTAATATTCCTTTCCCATCAATACTTTTCACAAAGGCACAGCTTTTCTTTTTGTAAAACCATACTATTGATGAGACTCTTGAAGCAGAGGTGGCGTCAAAGACCTGTGGATCTTCTTTATAAAACAATGTTCGCCATTTTAAAATCTGCTGAAAAAAACTGTGGAGTGACCCTACTTCTCTTAACATGTCTTATATTTCAAGTCTCTTGAAATCAACAGAATGTATTTTTTCTTTCCATACAGTCTAGTCCCTCAACGTAATCTGTGGAAATGAAACGTAGGAATCAAATCTAAATGTCATGGCTTCAGTAACATTCAAAAATGAGGCCAGGCACAGTGGCTCATGCCTGTAATACCAGCACTTTTGGAAGGGCGAGGTAGGCTGATCGCAAGGTCAGGAGTTTGAGACCAGCCTGGCCAAAATGGTGAAACCCCATCTCTATTAAAAAATACAAAAACTATCAAAACATGTTTAGCTGTTTTCTAATGCTTTGTATTTTCAGTTAAAACCCAGAGAGATTTTGAGCCTTGTATTTTTCTGATACTTGAAATGGAGGGATCAAGAACACTTCATGGTTAATCTGTCAAACCTGCTGCAAGAGCCATAACTTTGAGGCATTTTCTAAATGAACTATGGGGATCCAGGATTTGTAATTTCTTGATCTAAACTTTATGCTGCGTAAATCAAATATCAGAAATGCACATTTCATAGTGTGAAGCACTCATTTCTAAACCTTATTATCTAAGGTAATATATGCACCTTTCAGAAATTTGTGTTCAAGTAAGTAAAGCATATTAGAATAATTACGGGTTGACAGATTTTTAAAATAGAATTTAGAGTATTTGTGTGGGGTTTTGTTTGTTTACAAATAATCAGACTATAATATTTAAACATGCAAAGTAACTGACAATAATGTTGCACTTGTTTACTAAAGATACAAGTTGTTCCATGAGTGAACATGTAGACTGACACACAGACACCCAAACTATTGCATTAAGAATCCTGGAGGTCGGCCGGGCGCGGTGGCTCAAGCCTGTAATCCCAGCACTTTGGGAGGCCGAGGTGGGCGGATCACAAGGTCAAGAGATCGAGACTATCCTGGCCAACATGGTGAAACCCCGTCTCTACTAAAAAAAATACAAAAATTAGCTGGGCGTGGTAGCGCGTGCCTGTAGTCCCAGCTATTCGGGAGGCTGAGGCAGGAGAACTGCCTGAACCCAGGAGGCAGAGGTTGCAGTGAGCGGAGATTGTGCCATTGCACTCCAGCCTAGCGCCTGGTGACAGAGTGAGACTCTGTCTCAAAAAAAAAAAAAAAAAAAATCCTGGAGGTGTGTTGCAGACCATAGCTAAAGCTGTTATTTTCTTTTTTTTTTTTTTTTTTGAGACGGAGTTTCACTCTTGTTACCCAGGCTGGAGTGCAATGGCACGATCTCGGCTCACTGCAACCTCCGCCTCCTGGGCTCAGGCAATTCTCCTGCCTCAGCCTCCTAAGTAGCTGGGATTACAGGCACGCGCCACCATGCCCAGCTAATTTTTTGTATTTTTAGTAGAGACGGGGTTTCACCATGTTGACCAGGATGGTCTCGATCTCTCGACCTCGTGATCCACCCGCCTCGGCCTCCCAAAGTGCTGGGATTACAGGCTTGAGCCACCACGCCCGGCCTAAAGCTGTTATTTTCAGTCAGGAAGACTACCTGTCATGAAGGTATAAAATAATTTAGGGCCGGGCGCGGTGGCTCAAGCCTGTAATCCCAGCACTTTCGGAGGCTGAGGCGGGTGGATCACGAGGTCAGGAGATCGAGACCATCCTGGTCAACAAGGTGAAACCCCGTCTCTACTAAAATACAAAAATTAGCTGGGCATGGTGGCGCGTGCCTGTAATCCCAGCTACGCAGGACGCTGAGGCAGGAGAGGAGAATTGCCTGAACCCAGGAGGCGGAGGTTGCAGTGAGCCGAGATCGTGCCATTGCACTCCAGCCTGGGTAACAAGAGCAAAACTCCATCTCAAAAAAAAAAAAAAAAAAAAAAAAAAAAAAAAAAAAAAGCCTGTAATCCCAGCACTTTGGGAGGCCGAGGTGGGTGGATCACGAGGTCAAGAGATCGAGACCATCCAGGTCAACACGGTGAAACCCCGCCTCTACTAAAAACACAAAAAATTTAGCTGGGCATGGTGGCAGGTGCCTGTAATCCCAGCTACTCAGGAGGCTGAGGCAGGAGAATTGCCTGAACCCAGGAGGCGGAGGTTGCGGTGAGCCGAGATCGCGCCATTGCACTCCAGCCTGGGTAACAAGAGCGAAACTCCGTCTCAAAAAAAAAAAAAAAAAAAAAAAAAATGTAGAAGTGAATGTTTTTTCTGTACCATCTATGTGCAATTATACTCTAAATTCTACACTACATTAAAGTAAATGGACATTCCAGAATATAGATGTGATTATAGTCTTAAACTATTATTAAACCAATGATTGCTGAAAATCAGTGATGCATTTGTTATAGAGTATAACTCATCGTTTACAGTTTGTTTTAAGTGGCATTATCATAACTAGATGGTGAATAACATATTCCCAATAAATTTATATAGCAGTGAAGAATTACATGCCTTCTGGTGGACATTTTATAAGTGCATTTTATATTACAATAAATTTTTTTTCTCTTTAAAAAAAAAAAAATACAAAAATTAGCAGGATGCGGTGGCAGGCGCCTGTAGTCCCAGCTATTTGGGAGGCTGAGGCAAGAGAACTGCTGGAACTCAGGAGGCGGAGGTTACAACGAGCTAAGATTGGGCCATTGCACTCTAGCCTGGGTAACACTGCAAGACTCCGTCCGGAAAAAAAAAATAACATTTAACTGGTGTTAATTTGAATAAAATACTAAAGTTTTGGAAGAAACAAAGTTGCTTAGAGGCAGCATGGTAAAGTGGAAGAGAGGACAGGCTTTGCAATCAAAGACAATCCACATTTATGGAAGACATCTGTGGTAGGCACTGCCAATAGCCAACAAAATTAACATTTTTTTGAGGACTTAACACGCCAAAGCAATGCTAGTTGTTTTCACTTACGTTTAATATCATAAAACAACCTGGTAAAATATTTTTAAACAATCTCAATTTTTCACAGAGGAGAAAAATCGAGGTTAAGCTACAATTTACAAAGCCCTGGAATGCTAATCAAGTGCCTGAGAGTCAAAAGCTGTACCTTTGTTCATTACACCTGAACTCTTTCCCTCCAGATTTCAGCAGTTACTTGATAGCTGTGTCAACTTGGGTCAGTTACACAATTCCTTGAACACTCATTTTCTCATCTATTAAAATGGGAACAAACCTTCACGAAAAAAAAAAATTACGATTAAAATACGCAAATCACCTAGCACAACTATTGGCATAAAAGAGGCACGCAACAAATTACAGAATCCTTTTCACCTGAGAGCCAGAGCAAGCGCTCTTTTAAAATTCGACTTGAAGACAGGCACCTTTTCTTGTTCATCCTTGTAACCCTTTGTGCCACGCCTGACAGGCACACGCACCTCTCCCTTCTTTTCCGTTCCTAAATGTTCAAACATATACTTTATTCACCTCGTATCTCAGTAAGCTTTAATACCTGAAGAATCATATTGGTATTTTTACATTTGGATAAAGTAGTAAGAAACGATGGCTCTAAAGATTTCCCTTTAGACTGTTTTCTATTTCTATAGAGTGTGTGAATATTTGTTTTCGCAAAATATCTAACATCGTTAGCTGACCTACCTCCTTATTCACAAAGCCTTCCTTAAGATAGTTTTCAACCTCGGGTCTCAAAGATACCTTAGGGAAAACAGACATTTTCCCTGTTGCTTAGCTCTCCACCAAGAGAAACGCTGGAAAACTGTGTTTTTTCCTCTTTCCGAATTAATAATGACGAGGGGCTTGACACCAAATACTGAAGAAAATCTAGCCGATCAAGCTGAGTTAAATTTGGAGATGCAAAAGTAAGTCCACGCTTTTTCAAACATAGCGGATTAGAAGCGGCTGCCTGGTTTGGTCTCCACCACGCCTCACCGAGGTAATGTTTTCTCGTGGAGATGCTCACGGAAATCACTGAGCCAATGCCACTTACGTTGCAAGGAACCAAAAAAAGAGAGAAAAAAAAGTCTTAGCAATTGAATCTGTGCTGAGACGGACGCAAATCAGTAAGGCAGACAGTCAGCAGCTCGCTCGCTTGCGGTCCTTTGTGCCAGTTTCCAAACACGCGCCCACTGTTTGTCGGCGGAAGTCGCTTCCGGCTTACGTCACGTCCGGGGCTTGCGGTCCGCGCTTTTTCCGGTCCCCCAATCAGCGCCCGCAAAGTTCCCCAACGCTACGCCACGTCACGCCCCCGAAGGTTCCTAAGCCTATGGGGGAGGCGCTTTTGCCTGCTGCCAGTCCTGGGGAGCCTTAAGTAGGCAAGGGCCGCTGGCGAAAGGGATGAAAATATTTAGTTCTCGGTACTGGAGAGCTGGGTGCCAGGGGCAATGGAAAAATGGCCAGATGGCGTGTGAAAGATGCTGCTGCTGGCCTCAATAAAGGCAGGGGCCCAGTTGCTGTGGTGCTGCATGGCCTCCAAGTAGAGGATGAGGCCAGGACTTGGGCGCATCAGTCACCGTTTGATCTCATGAGATGATTTTACCTCTCTCAGGCGTACAGATCTGGTTTTAGTTGTTCATATTTTTGAAAGTACAGATAATGTTTACCGTTGTTTATAAGGCTAACTGCTACTTGTATCAGTTGACATTCTTTAGAGCTTGAGAGACACTTGCCATGATTTTTTTTTTTTAATGATCATAAGTAGACAACGATATAGGTTTAAAAAACGAGAGTACCGGCCGGGCGCGGTGGGTCAAGCCTGTAATCCCAGCACTTTGGGAGGCCGAGGCGGGTGGATCACGAGGTCAAGAGATCGAGACCATCCTGGTCAACATGGTGAAACCCCGTCTCTACTAAAAATACAAAAAAGTAGCTGGGCATGGTGGCGTGTGCCTGTAATCCCAGCTACTCAGGAGGCTGAGGCAGGAGAATTGCCTGAACCCAGGAGGCGGAGGTTGCGGTGAGCCGAGATGGTGCCATTGCACTCCAGCCTGGGTAACAAGAGCGAAACTCCGTCTCCAAAAAAACAAACAAACAAAAAAAAAAAAAACGAGAGTACCTAACCAAAGTCATTGAGCCATTTTATGATTGTACAGTAAAATCAAAATAGTTCTCCTGTCTCTTTGCCGTATGTTTTTTGCAGCACACCATGGTAATTTACACATAACTATAGGAAAGGGTTTTTTTCTCTAATTTTCACACCTAATTATACACACACACACACACAACAAGTACTTTCTATGATACACCGACTCTTTACCAGAGAGAGTAGAAAATACTCTATGGCCATTATACCATACAACAACTTGCAAGGTGTTTATCATTTTCTCTTTTTTTTTTTTTTTTTTTTTTTGAGCTGTCACCAGGCTGGAGTGGCATGGTGGGATCTCCACTCATTGCAACTTTCGCCTCCCAGTTCAAGAGATACTCCTGCGTCGGCTTCCAGAGTAGCTGGGATTACAGGCATGCACCACCAGGCCCGGGTAATTTTTGTATTTTTAGTAGAGATGGTGTTTCCCTATGTTGGCCAGGCTGGTCTCAAACTCCTGACCTCAAATGATCTGCCCACATCGGCCTCCCAAAGTGTTGAGATTATAGGCATAAGCCACCATTCCTGGCCCATTTTCTCTGTTTCAAAGAGTAAATCAAGGTTCCCAGGGTTGAAATGACTTTCCATGGTCTCACAAATAAAAAGCCAGGATAAGACTGGTGATTTGGCTTCTAGAGCCAATACCTTGTCGTTGACCGTACCATATTTATTCAATAAATCCATGGGATTCTTTCATGGCTGAAAGATCTGAAAGTGATCAATGTCTAAATCAGACATTAGGATCAGCTGGGTTCAAGCGATCCTCCTGTCTCAGCTTCCTGAGTAGCTGGTATTGCAGGTGTCCACCATCACGTCCAGCCAGACTGTAACTAAATTTTATCTAGTCCTTCCTTTTTTATATTTTTCCAGGTCACCTTTTTATTTCTTCTGTGATAGGCATCCCTCTTATTACTTGTCAAAATGTTATTTCAGATTGATCCTGGAAGAAAGGTCTTAATTCTGCTTCTAGCTATCTCCATTCAGAGAAACTCTTTCCCTCCTAATTTCAATCCTACATAGTTCCATGAAGATAACGTGATACCTATAGTCACCCATTTACCCATAAATCCAATTCTGTATCAGTACAGCAGCTCCAGTCTAAGCATCTCAAATTTATTTGGCCTTTGAGACACTATAAATTAGGACCTATAATATCTGGAAAGTAAACGGAAGAATGAATATGATTTAGTTTGGAATACTGCCAGGATTAAACAAACAACCAATTAAACCAGTCTTGGATTGGTTCATCTTTATTTCTAGAAATAATACTATACACCTTACTGAGAACTTCCCATTTTTCTTGCTATGCTTATGTAACATTGGAAATTAGCACCATAATTTGCTTTGGGGAACAACACTTCCCTGAAAATTCAACAGTCCAACTGTTGCCAGACTTAAACTCCTGGCTGCTTTATCTTGAACATATACTTCCGACCTAAGTAAGGAACAAACAACACAGATTCTTGAAAAGAAAATGGTATTTTAATGTATGAGTGAAGTTTAGCAGTGTTCTTGGGCAATCTGTATTTTTGCAATGGTTAAGACCCTGACCTCTGGTGTCAGGCTACTAGGGTTCAGAGTCCAGTTCTTGCAACCTTGGGCAAATTATTAAAGTTGTTTACATTTCAATTTCTTCATCTGTTAAATACAGGTAATAGCTCCTGCTGCATAATTTTACTAAAAACCAAACAAATTTGGTAGAGTGCTTTAAACAGGGATAGAACAAAGTCCTCAGTAAATGTTACATAGTATTTTTAAACAAGTGTTATCATGTACTGAAGGAATGGCTATAGGATAGTGAAAAGTCATTTGTGAGATTTGAGGTGTTTGGAAGATGTCAGAGTGAAGATTTCAGGTCTTTGGGAAATGTCAGAGGCTTCACCAGAAGGCATGGGACGGTAGTAAAGAGGGGAAAAGTTGTTTCTAGAGAAGAGAGGACCAGACAATTCAAGAAACTGGATCAGCTTCAGAAGCCAAAAACCTACTATAAATGGGTAACTTATAAGCCACCATGACTGCCACTGAGCAGCCGAGCCCCTAAAGGACTACATGCATTTTTGATGGAAACTTTGAAGTACCTGTTGGAAGGAGCATTTATCAAATGTGGGAAGGCTGGTCACATTGAGCCCTGAACTACAGAAGAGATGTCAATTCTCATTACTGAATTGTGACCAGTCATAGATCTACAACTATTTTACATCTAGTAGATGTTTTGAAACTCAGGGTATTATGGCTCTTCTTTGTAAACAAAGCAACTTTGTCAGAAATTTACCAACACTCTTCCTAACGACAGAATTGGGACATTAATTTCTTTTTTATTACCTACAGCATCTAAAAAGTGTTGGTCTCTCAATAGATATTTACAGAAGTTGTGGGGAATATTCCCGTGTGAGATCCCAAACACAGTTTCCTACTGGAGGCAGTCAAGCTATCCGGAAATATAGGAACTGAAAGATGAATGATCAGTTTCTAATATCAACCACAATATCGTTTGGGCCTAAAATTATGCGTTGCTGCTAGACCAAGTGACCCTCTGCCAGCAACCGGTTCCTGCTTTTAACCTTTTTATGACTCTTTAAGAATAAGCCTTAGCCGGGCGCGGTGGCTCAAGCCTGTAATCCCAGCACTTTGGGAGGCCGAGGCGGGTGGATCACGAGGTCAAGAGATCCAGACCATCCTGGTCAACATAGTGAAACCCTGTCTCTACTAAAAATACAAAAAACTAGCTGGGCGTGGTGGCGCGTGCCTGTAATCCCAGCTACTTAGGAGGCTGAGGCAGGAGAATTGCCTGAGTCCAGGAGGCGGAGGTTGCGGTGAGCCGAGATTGCGCCATTGCACTCCAGCCAAGAGCGAAACTCCGTCTCAAAAAAAAAAAAAAAAAAAAAAAAAAGAATAAGCCTTAAACCTTACCTGACTGCCTTGTACCCTAGATAATGGTTTAACTGTCGATATTTGCAAAGCAAATGTCACCATAAGGGATGGCTTCGATTTCTTTTTTTTTTTTTTTTTGAGATGGAGTTTCACTCTTGTTACCCAGGCTGGAGTGCAATGGCACGGTCTCACCGCAACCTCCGCCTCCTGGGTTCAGGCAATTCTCTTGCCTCAGCCTTCTGAGTAGCTGGGATTACAGGCACGCACCACCATGCCCAGCTACTTTTTTGTATTTTTAGTAGAGACGGGGTTTCACCATGTTGGCCAGGATGGTCTCGATCTTTTGACCTCCTGATCCACCCGCATCGGCCTCCCAAAGTGCTGGGATTACAGGCTTGAGCCACCGCGCCCGGCGGCTTTGATTTCTGACTCAGAGACTCCTGAATGGGGAATTTGAGTTAAGTTGAGTCAGGAGTAGACAAAGGAGAATCTGATTAAAAGATATTCTGATGAGCAAAACCAGAAAACCTTTTCACATCTTAGTTCTAAAACAAGGTCAAACCATAGATACCTGCAGCCAGGAGGAATAATGTTTGGATGTAAACAAGCTTTGTGAATAATGTTTGGATGTAAGCAAATTTTGTGATTACAGGAAATTCTGTTACTTTTTACAACCACTGATTGCATATCTGACTTCTCTATTGTATAGGCCCTGTGAGGTATACATTTGCATTTCCTCTTGCTATGAAGTAAACCAGAGCCAAGAAAGTGTACTTATTCCTGGCCTTTGAAAAATAAAATTTGCTGTTTAGGCACAGCCTATCAGCCCTCCAGACGCCTCGCTTTCTCTCTCTCTGTCTTTATTATTTTTCCAGGCGCACTCCCTCTTCCAGATATTGGGACCCTCTTGCAGGTCGAGAGACCCCCCAGCAGACGTGCCTACTCGTCCCGGATGGTCCACGACAAGAAGTAGATCATATTGATTTCAGACCATATGGATGAGAGAATTTTCTGATGGGAAATCTATCAGTCCCACCTAATCTAGATACTCATCAACTAAATTGAAATCACAATGGGCACTGCCTTAAAGGTTGAGCAAAGTTAAAAAATGGTGGCTTACATCTGTAATCCAAGCACTTTGGGAGGCCAGGACTGGCATATCATGAGGTCATGAGTTTGACATCAGCCTGACCAACATGGTGAAAACCCATCTCTACTAAAAATACAAAAATTAGCCAGGTTTGATGGCATGTGTCTGTAATCCCAGCTACTGAGGAGGCTGAGGCAGGAGAATTCCTTGAACCTGGGAGGTGGAGGTTGCAGTGAGCCGAGATTGCACCACTGCACTTTGGCCTGGGTGACAGAGCAAGACTTTGTCTCAAAAAAAAAAAAAGTAATGGACAAATTGATCTGAGTTGTATGAGTAATAAATTGAATTCAATTACAGCTACAGCTAGCTCTTCCAAGTATTATCTGAAGTTACTTTATAATAGTTCCTTTTAAAAACATATTAGATATAGTTTTATTTTTTAAATTCCCATGTTGTTTGGCATTTTTCTTCCTTGAACTTCAACAAAATATTTTGTTGAACTGGGCAGAAAATTTACTGGGATTCCAATTTAATTAAAGGAATTAATTTCCAATGAACACTTAAGAATATAAGTTATAGCCGGGCGCGGTGGCTCAAGCCTGTAATCCCAGCACTTTGGGAGGCTGAGGCGGGTGGATCATGAGGTCAAGAGATCGAGACCATCCTGGTCAACATGGTGAAACCCCGTCTCTACTAAAAATACAAAAAATGAGCTGGGCATGGTGGCGCGTGCCTGTAATCCCAGCTACTCAGGAGGCTGAGGCAGGAGAATTGCCTGAACCCAGGAGGCGGAGGTTGCGGTGAGCCGAGATCACGCCATTGCACTCCAGCCTGGGTAACAAGAGCGAAACTCTGTCTCAAAAAAAAAAAAACAAAAAAAAAAAAACAAGAATATAAGTTAAAATTCCACCCCCTCCCCACACACACTTTTTTTTGGTTCAGACAGGGTCTCACTCTGCCACCTAGGCTGGAGTCCAGAGGCACGATCTTAACCCACTGCAGCCTCGACCTCCCTGGCTCAAATAAGCATCTTGCCTCAGCCACCCCATTAGTTGGGGCTACACATGTGCAACGATATGTCCATCTAATTTTTGTATTTTTTGTAGAGACAGTATTTCCCCATGTTTTCCAGGCTGGTCTAATTCCTGGGCTCAAGCAGTCCACCTGCCTTGGCCTCCCAAAGTGCTAGCATCACAGGCATGAGACACCGCCTGCAAAATGCATTTGAATGTATTTTTTTCTAATAGATTTATAGATACATCAGCATGATTTCTGTACAAATAATATATAACTATATTCTATTAATCAATCATACTACTTTTAATAATTATGGCTAGTTTTATTTCCCTCCAATTTGTAAAAATTTTAGATTTCCAAATCAGCAAATAAAACTTTTAAATATGAAAAAATATTTTAAAAACATTAGAACAGTCTCATTGTCAGGTAAATTGATCATAAGAAAAGTGTTAAAAGTAAAAGTAAATTTTAACAAGCTGAAAACTTCAACATTAAAGTTTTCTTAAATTTCAAAGATGCAAAACAAATAAAAATATCAACAGCCCTCTTCAAATAAATATTCATTCCACTTCGTTAAAACTGGAAGTATAATTCAAATTTAACTGTCTCTAAAATATCATAAAAATGTTTAAGAAATCATTAGCTTTTTGCTTCAAATCTCTGCATTTTCATACCAAGATGCTTTGTTCTTTTCAGAAATGGTTTTCTTAGAAATCCAAAAGCCAGGGGAAAAAAAAGCAGAATGTGGTTTATATCCATGTCTAACAATTGAAGAAGCTGTTACAGAATCTAGTTTGCTGTGTAATAATGAAGCTAGGACTAAAAATGTCCCTTTAAGCCATTATTTACACAAATACAAAATTATTCGTTTATGGTCCAAACTGATAGACATGAAAGGTAAGTTTGAATTGGGTAGGGTGGCTCACGCCTGTAATCCCAGCACTTTGGGAGGCCAAGGTGGGTGGATCACGAGGTCAGGAGATCGAGACCATCCCGGCTAACATGATGAAATCCCGTCTCTACTAAAAATACAAAACATTAGCCGGGCATGGTGGTGCGCGCCTGTATTCCCAGCTACATGGGAGGCTGAAGCGGGAGAATCGCTCGGGAGGAGGAGGTGGCAGTGAGTCGAGATCTCGACACTGCGCCCCAGCCTGGGTGGCAGAGTCAGACTCTGTCTCAAAAAACAAAAAAAAAAAAAGAAAAGAAAGTTAAGTTTGCATAGGCTCCACACATTCGTTTTCCTATACATAGGAGATTAAAACTTGTCTTTAATATCATAACGTTGGAGCATGTTTTCCTGTGTCTAAGTCTTAAACGGTCTTTAAACCATAGCACTGGGAAGACACAAGTCACACATTATCTTCCTGCAGGTTAACTCAATAGTTTGGCATGTTAAAAGGCCACGTTGCCAAGGTTAAAATCCAACCATCTGACTGAAGTCATAGTCTTTTAAGCTTGCTCCTCTGTCAGCTGGTTTCAAGGACATTCAGTTTCGTTTCATTCCAGGCTGCGAAACTTTTCAATGCTAAAACCTAAATGGAAAATGGAATTGAAAACAATTACGTAGCGAATTGGCTTATGCGTGGATTTCGATCTGGGATCCACGAACATACCTAATGCCTGGCAAAATGGGGAGGGGTGCTATGTGCTATTATTATGTTACTATTAATCACAGAACTGAACTCTGGCTACAGGCATTCCGTGGCTCGTCTCCGGATCAATTCTTTTCAGAACTGAAGATCATGACACGGGCCGGGCGCGGTGGCCCAACGCCTGTAATCCCAGCACTTTGGAAAGCTGAGGCAGGAAGATCGCTTGAGCCCAGGAGACTTGAGACACCCTCGTCTCCAGTGGATCCATCCATCAATCAATGAGTACAGGGATGAATGAATGAATAAGTAAATGAATGAATACGCGAATGAACAGATGAATACACGAAAGCAAAAGAATCACGCCAGAATTTCTAACCCCTAGCACGCCTACAGGGGAACAGGAAGAAGTCGGGAAACAAACACTCTTCACTTTTGCGCGTTCTCTAAGGGCAGCAAACGGCGGTTGTTCCATTAGAGAAGCTACGGTCTTCCCTGGCTTAGAGGCCAGGGACGCTGCTGCTGGCAGCAGAGAGATTCCAATCTAAGGGGAGCCCCACAAACGCTCTGAAGGCTGACGTCAGAGGGACCCAGCACCGAGGAAAATTCCCTACCACCCACTGGTACCGCAGATTCCCCGACGCCGGCCCGTTTGGGACCCGCCCTCCGGAAGTGAAGCCGGAGAAAACGCCACGTCGAAGGCGTGGGTTAACGTAAGCGCTCCGACGTCACGCGCCCAGCTTCCGGCAATGGGTGGTCCTGGGAGCGGGAGGGGAGGCGGGGCGGAGGCGGGGTTTGGGGCTGAGAGAGGCTCCGTTGGGTAGGTGGGTTCAGACCGAGGGGACTACGGGTCGGCGTTGGGCTCAGCGGGCTCGAAACAAAGGACTCTCCGGCGGGGACTCGCCGCGGCGCTTTCTGAGGCTCGGGTCGAGGCTTCCCGGCCTAGCAGTGCCCTCGCTGCGCGTTCTCAGGCGGCTTCTCGTTGTCCGCTCCCCGCAGCCCGAGCCGCGGTGGGGGGCCCGGCGCCGCGGCACCTGCTGCCGAGGGACCCCGCGGCCCGCCCGGGTGCTCGTGATGGGGCTGATCTTCGCCAAACTGTGGAGCCTCTTCTGTAACCAAGGTGAGAAGGATGGAGCCGAGCGGAGGCTCGGAGGGTCTGGCCGCCGATGGGGACACCGGAGGCAGGGGAGACGCCGAAGAGGAAGGGACTTAGACCGGGGGGCGGGCGGAAAGCCAGCGTTTTAGACCTGGAGGGCGTGCGGGAGAGACCCGAGGTGTGGTGGAAACGGAGGCAGAAGACAAGGCGTTTGGTGTCCGAGAATCCAAGTTGAGAATGTGTGGATGTTGGCGAAGTATAAAGCAGGATACAGCTAAGGATACCCGGAGGCGTGTGGAGGGCCGTGTCCTGTCTTACTGAAGCGTGCTTGTGTCTGTGTGTGGCCCCAGGAGCAGTGTCCTCCCAGAAACCGAAAACTTTTGTAAAAAACTAGTGTTGGTGCTTTGCTTTCCCGCCCTGCCCTCTGCGCCGAAAGCCAGTGCACCTTCGCTCTGATTTCGCCTGCTTTCTTCTAGGACTCGGGAATGAGTTGTCCTATTAAGATACACGAGTTTTCCAGCATCTTCATCCTAAACACGTTCAGATACTGAATGTTCTCGGTTTTGTGTAAGACGTTACGTGTCCGTCATTAGTCTGGAGCAGGTTATGAGACACCTGGTAGTGGCAAGTCCAAAGGACCGAGAAGTTGCAAAACCTGTTCTGAGTCAGAATGAGATGTGATGTCTTCTGAAGAGAGAAAACACCCAGACCAAAAAAGGGGCTGACGATAAGTTAAAGTTTCAGGCGTTCTTTGAACAGAATGGTTTCTTAGTGTTTGAAACCAGTTTTGAAAATCAACTCGTTTCATTTTCCATTTAAGAGCCAGGCATAGTTAGTAAGCCAGTTTTATTTCCTTTTATGTTGATACGAATTTGTTACTGCTAATGTGGGTATCTAATCTTTTTCTGGATTTAAGAAGTTATGGAGGTAATGGAAGGGCTTTAGTTGACTTGTTTTGTAGATTGATAAGAATACTAAAATAGTCTTTTTCGAATTTATGAATAGAGGCACACACGTGTATATGTGTATGTCTATATGCAGTGACCACAGATATTACTTACCAAATGATTTCAAAGTGAGCAGAGCTTTACACTTTGTATTATCCGTACATTTAACATATTATTTTTGTTTGTTTATTTATTGAGACAGAGTCTTGCCCTGTCCCCCAGGCTGGAGTGCAGTGGCGCGATCTAGGCGCACTGCAATATCCGTCTCTGGGGTTCAAGCAATTCTCTTGCCTCAGCCTCCCAAGTAGCTGGGATTACAGGCACTCGCCACCGTGCCCAGCCAATTTTTCGTATTTTTAGTAGAGACAGGGTTTCGCCATGTTGGCCATGCAGGTCTCAAGCTCCTGACCTCAGGTGATCCACCTGCCTCGGCCTTCCAAAGTGTTGGGATTACAGGCGTGAGTCACTGCGCCGTTCCCATTTATTTATTTTTTGAGACAGAGTCTCGCTCTGTTGCCTAGGCTGGAGTGCAGTGTTGGCAATCTCAGCTCACCACAACCTCTGCATCCTGGGTTCAAGCAATTCTCGAGCCTCATACTCCTGTGTAACTGGAATTACAGGCTCCTGCCACCATGCCTGGCTAATTTTTGTATTTTTAGTAGAGAGGGGGTTTCACCATGTTGGCCAGGCTGGTCTCAAACTCCTGACCTCAGGTGATCTACCCGCCCTGGCATCTCAGAGTGCTGGGATCACAGTTGTGAGCCACTGCGCTGGCCTTAAAGCAGCTTTTTAAGACATGCTTAACGGTATAAAGATTAATACAAAAATCACCAGTTTTCTGTTTTCCCTGAGCTTGAGAATTAAAACATTACCAGAGTAACTGGTTTTCCCTGTATATCCTTTTCTATTTTCCTTTCTCCCTTTTCCGTCACATGGCTGCATAGCTGCCTTCTGTCTTTTTTGGTTGTAGGCATCCTTATCAGACTAGAGGGAATAAAAGATGTAAGGGGAAAATTTAGAAGATGATGAAAGACAGTCAGTGGCTACTTTTATAATATTGTTCAGGCCTCCTAAATTGCCGTTTCTACTTAGAATTTTCCTTTTCCTTTAACTTTCCTGTTGGAAAATTAAGAACCAGTGGTTATTCTGTTATTTTATTCTCATTCATTCATACAACCATAGACGATTCTTCGGAGTTAAGCCTATGAGTTCCAAAATTAAAAAGAAAGAAGGATACCTTACTTGCTGGGAAAGTACTCAAACATCAGTAAATGAGATGACCATGGAAAAAAAATGCAGGTGGTAAATTATTTAACAGATATGTGTAAAAATATAACATTGGCCGCAGAATAAGGTGTACTTGGACTTTAATGATGAGGAGGAATTTGGGTGGCATGCTAGGCAGACCTTGTAGAAGGGACATGTTATTCTCGTCAGAAGGATTAATATGCAAAAGGGAGAGGAATGAGCTAGTTTGGTACATTTAGAGAAGCTGAAAATAGTTGAGCTTGGCTGTACGTTAGTTTGCTTGTCAAGGAGTGAGGAGGAGATGAGATTGGAAAGACAGCCAGGAGAACCTTTTCACATAGGGCCTCTAAAGTTGACTAGGACATTAAAGTATCTAGAGGAAGGAATGGGAGCCATTGAAGACTTTAATCCACAGATGTATCTTAGCCTGTATTTTTGTTTTCTGCATCAACAAATTAACTACCAAGCTCAGCATTTTCCATTTTTGTCACTGCGTATCTAATCCAGTGGATTTAGATGTATTAGAATAATATGCCCAAAGCCCCACCTCACACCAACTAAATCAGAGTGGGACTAAGTAGCCTGGACATCAGTGCCAAGGTAAATTGAATATTCAGCCAGTGTTAAAAACTTCTGATCTTACTTTATGTACTCCTTTCCCTTGTCTTTCTTCCAGTATTTCCACATTCTCATCTTTTCTTTCCTGTAGCATTTTAGAATCTCATGCATCTTATAAGTTAGTATACTAAAGCATGTGTTGTCTAAGTAAAACAATTAAAAAAGTACCTAATTCCTGCAATTTTGTATTGTTTAAACTGGAAGACTGGTTACTTCTCCAGTTATTCAAGGACATAATTTCAAAATCTTTGCAAACATTTTATATATCACTGTAGTTCTGTGAACTACATATGCCTGTATGGTAGCTTACCTCTAAAGTTTTGCGTTCTTTTTTTCTTTTTTTAACCTTTTTTTTTTTTTTTTTTTTTTTGGGACGGAGTTTCGCTCTTGTTACCCAGGCTGGAGTGCAATGGCGCGATCTCGGCTCACTGCAACCTCTGCCTCCCGGGTTCAGGCAATTCTCCTGCCTCAGCCTCCTGAGTAGCTGGGATTACAGGCACGCGCCACCATGCCCAGCTAATTTTTTGTATTTTTAGTAGAGATGGGGTTTCACCATGTTGACCAGGATGGTCTCAATCTCTCGACCTTGTGATCCACCCGCCTCGGCCTCCCAAAGTAGTGGGATTACAGGCTTGAGCCACCGCGCCCGGCCTCTTTTTTTAACTTTTGTAGGCATAGTCTTTTTCTCTCTGTTTTATGACTGTACAAACCTGTCATCAGTTCTTTTTTTTTTTGAGATGGAGGCTTACTCAGACACCCAGGCTGGAGTTCAGTGGCGCGATGTTGGTTCACTGCAACCTCCACCTCCCGGGTTCAAGTGATTCTCCTGCCTCAACCTCCTGAGTACTTGGGATTACAGGCACATGCCACCATGCCCAGCTAATTTTTGTATTCTTAGTAGACACAGGGTTTCACCATGTTGGTCAGGCTGATCTCAAACTCCTGACCTCAAGTGATCCGTCTACCTCCACCTCCCAGAGTTCTGGGATTCCAGGCGTGAACTATGGCACTTGGCCCAGTTATTTCTTTAAATTTTTGTTTGTTTGTTTGTTTGATATGCAGTCTCACTCTGTCGCCCAGGCTGAAGTGCGGTTGTGTGATCCCAGCTCACTGCAACCTCCCCCTGCGGAGTTCAAGCAATTCTCCTGCCTCAGCCTCCTGAGTAGCTGAGATTATAGGCACCTGCTACCATGCCCAGCTAATTTTTATGTTTTTAGTAGAGACAGGGTTTCGCTATGTTGGCCAGGCTGGTCTCGAACTCCTGACCTCAGGTGATCATGCCTCAACTTCCCAAAGTGTTGGGATTACAGGCTTGAGCCACCACGTCCGACCAGTCATTTCTGCTGTTACCCAGAATTAAGAACAAATGAAATACGGTTTTAATTGTAATTCCTTTTCAGAACCTGTAACAGTAACATCTTAATTTCATTATTTAATAATTTCTTTCCCATTCATTAATTTCATGTTATCAGTTTGAACATTGGTTTCCAACTGTTTATGATTATTGTTCTTTACTTCTGACTGCTCAGTTCTCAGTAACTTGTGGCTCACATTTCTCCCTTTAGCATGTTCTGCTCTTAGCTTGGACTTTGTGCCTGTTTCAAACACAACAGTCTTAAACTTATCATCATCTATCTGCATCCCCTCTTCCAGACCATTCTTTTTGTTTGTTTTTTTTTTTTGGGTGGGGAGACAGAGTCTCTGTCATCCTGGCTGGAGTGCAGTGGCGCAATCTCGGCTCACTGCAACCTCCGCCTCCCGGGTTCAAATGATTCTGCTGCCTTAGCCTCCCAAGTAGCCGGGACTACAGGCGCATGCCACCACACCGGGCTAATTTTTTGTATTTTTAGTAGAGACGGGGTTTCACATTCGGGATGGTCTCGATCTCCTGACCTTGTGATCCGCCCGCCTCGGCCTCCCAAAGTGTTGGAATTACAGGCGTGAGCCACTGCGCCCGGCCTGTTTGGTTTTTTTAAAGATGGAATCTCACTCTGTTGCCCAGGCTGGAGTGCAGTGGCAGGATTTTGGCTCACTGCAGGCTTCACCGCCCGGGTTCAAGCAATTCTCCTGCCTCAGCCTTCCGAGAAGCTGGGAGAAGTGGTGTTTGCCACTAGGCCTGGCTGATTTTTTGTATTTTTGATAAAGACGGGATTTCACTATGTTGGCTGGGCTGGTCTTGAATACCTGACCTCAAGTGATCCTCCTACCTCG